ACAAAGAATCTGGGTGAAGGATGGATTAGCACACGCAGGTAGCAGGAAACGTCTGAGCTACAGGGGGAGAGCTGCAGGTGAGTTAAAAGGTGCAGCTCCCGACACCCAGTTAACTCCTGACTGTGAGGTTAAAACTCATGGGCCAAAAAGGAGAACAACAAACGCAAGTGTGCACATTTTCAGCTGAGGACTGTGGCTTACTTTGGATTCAACTCAACAATCAATCAGGATTTCAGTTAAATGCTAAAGTTGCCGTTACGGTTACCTTGTCTGTGGTCCGCTGGCAGAACACCGGCTGCTTTCTGATCAGCTGCCGTCGTGCTGTTGCAGAGGCGATACAAGTTTCGTTTTACGGTGGACGGACGGTAACATTACAGAGTTGTTGTTTTCTTTAGCTTGAAATAATCCCATATTTTGGACACTTTCGTCTTTGTCCCTCACTCTCCCTCCACTTTGCAAACAGCTTGATTCTAATCACGTCGTGTTCACAGTGTAAGGGCGATGTGCGACAGTAATAAATGTCCCTGCGAAACACTGTGCTGTAAAGTTAAATGGATTAAACAAAGCATCGATGCATTTTATTAAATCGATTTTATTGATTTAATCAATGAATCCTTTCAGCCCTAAAGGGCACAGCACATTATAGATGTGGCTCAGTTAGGCATATAGTCCTGTTCACCTTGATTACAGGAAAAGGTTACTGATCACAGTCTTATTATTGAAAGCAAATATAGGATGATACTTCGCTAAGATTTTCCATAACTCATTTTACTATGCAAAAATAAGTGCATACTAGTTTGACTGTAGTCCATATTTAGTGCCTACATACTGGAAATAACAAATGCTGAGATACTCATACACGCTTACTCTAAAAATAATTAATCTTACACATTTTAACCATTCAAAGTGATGACACACCCGTAATGGAGAGAAATACACAGCAGATATGGTTTGTGACAAACTACATAGGTGTTAACCTGTCTGCAAAGAGAAGTTAAATGGTAAATATTAGTAAGCGGGCAATCATGTTGTTCCTCTTTTTCAGCCAACTACTTTCACCAGCCAAAGATAGCGAGACAATGGCACTTCTTACTGGAGTGAATTTAATATTCTGTTTGTAAGTCTGTTATCTCCAGAGAAGACCAAGAAACAACATTAGGTGTGGCAGTATTAACCTGATCAAATCTGAGCTTGGAAGTGGAGTGTACTCCTGATATGTTCAACAGCAAATATTTGACATACACCTTTCTAACGTTTTAAGCGCCTTACACTTTACAATTAACCCCACGCGTGTGAAGTAATATTTGAAAAGTTTTAAAATTTTTATGATGTTTCGTCTCCTATACTCTATCTGCATTGTTGTGTGTCAGTGCAAAACATTTATTTGGAAAGAACTAGCAGCTGGTACAGAGCACTCCTGGAAATGTTGGCAGTGTTATCTTATTCCTCCACATTGGGCTGTTGTTTTCCTGTCGGCTTATCGAGAAAACTGACTCACTGCTCTCAGCTGGTCAAATGAGTTTCAGTGACAGATGAGGTCTCCTCTTTAAACAAAGAGGGGTAGAGGTAGTTTCCAAAAGAGGAAAGTTTGTAATACTACACAGAATCAACTGGCAAAATAACACGGAACAAAAACATTAAATGATTCTGCATCATTACCGCTTAGTCTGGGCCCACAGCTTTATACTGAACTCATTACAATGCTTAATCATTGCAACGTTGATAGTACAATCACAATGAGGGACAGTACAAATTGTTCCTTTATGACTAAACCGTCATAAATCCTCCCTGCAAAGACAATAATGACAAAGTATGTGGAAACTCCAGCCCTCCCCGATAGTATGATGAACTAAACCTCCTGAAATGGGGAGTCTGAGTGATACAATCAACAGCAGAGCAGGTCTGTCAGATCGAGATGGCGTGCACTGTAGTATTGTACAGTGCAGTCATGCATATCTCAGACAAACCATGGAAAGTGGCAGAGATGAAAACAACTTAACTTTGTCTCAGTGTTTCTCTCTATCTCTGATCTTAGCCTGCTGGTGGCTTTGGCCCCCCGGGCAACTGAACACTTGGCCCTCTGTCAACTCACAAGTGTTTATTGTACATGTCTGAGAAAAACATACACAAACAAACACAAATATCTGTGAAATGAAACAAACTTCCTTGAGACTGAACTCCAGTGACAGAGAGAAGTTAAGAGTTTCATAGTTTTTTTGCTTCTATTTCGATCAGTTGCGAGAACATTTCACTAGCTGGCCTTATTGAGAGGGCACCACTAGACAACACTTTTACAATGGTGTCTACTGGTGACAGTTTTTACCGAAGTCCAATTTAATCCAGTAATCTGAATCACATACAGTATTTGAAAGTGTAAATAAAAAAGTGATAAAAAAATGTTTAAAAGAATTACACACAATTTCTATTAGCCTAGTCAGCTAGATTAGGCTGAATGATTTTGATAAAACATCTAATGAAGGTCATTTTGACTCATATTGCGATATGATTTGCGATACTAGGATGAATGATAATTTTTACATTATTATTCTCATTTTCATTGAAAAAAAAAAAAACACATTAAAATGAATTATGGTGTGATCTGTACCAAACATAGAGGTTTTCTTAAGTCTAGAATATGATGTGTAGGCCAGGACATCTCTGCAGCACATCAATATTTAATTTAAAATTGTATTTTGACCACACATCACCTTTAAGAAATATTGCTGTAGGCCATTTTGCAATTTTAATAAAATTTAAATTAACTGTTCAGCCCTAGCCTATGCTGGTAATGTGCGGGAATGATTTACCCACTTATGTGCACACACAAAGTTTGGTTAAGCTCTTAATCTGTGAATTCAGGTACAAATAAATATAACCATCAAACTGAAAAGACATCCTTGCAATTAGTCGGATGAATAATCAGCCACTGCAGCAAGTTTACAACAATTTGGATTTATTTTACTTGATAGCTTATGCAAAGCGGAGCCACACGCAGTACCACTATAGACAAAACTATGTGTTGTAAGTAGGTACATCCTTGCTGTAGGGTGTACCAGGAAGCGGTTAAGAATGTCAATGGTCCATGACTATGGAAATGTTGTTTGTAAGGTCAAAAAGGTTTGCTTTAATGCACCAGCCAGCCTGCCAGCTGTTTCCAAACTCCCTTTGATGCACTAAGGTCAAAGCCATATCTAGCAAGATCATACTTTGCCTAATTACATGGTCAGAATTAAACTCAATTTCAAGTTTTGTTCTGTCCGAGGAGAAATAAATGCCTTTGTGAAGCTGGATTAAGGTAAAAATCAGTGGACTGGTCTTTCAACCTTCACATCATTATCTCGAATACAGGACACAACGATCACATATCAAACACCATGTGATACGATACATCCGCTATCTTTTCCACCCATATAGTGGCAAACTATTTGCATCAACTGCACACTCTCTGACTGCCAACACTGCATTTACTTGAGTCCACAACAGCCTTAATGGTCATAATGGTCAAGATACAAGCCGATTGCTGGAGTCAACATTTCAGAGGTCACCTTGCACAGAAATCTTTACCCGGACGAACAGTTGGTAAACTTGTGCGGACTATTAGTTATGATGAGGGATACATAAGTGAATGGTTGCATTTCACTGCATGATTTCCCACCAAATAACGCTAGCAAAACAAACACTTTAATTATATTTATTATTTTTACTTGCATATGGCAGGTAATATAACAAACGGTGTACTGGAAAGTATCTGGAAAGGGCTATCGAGGAGAATCTGACATTATTTGAACCAGTAATGCAAAATCTACAGTATTACATCTCAGTATTACATACAGTCGGCCTACATGTATTTATTCATGTTTACGGTGTTCAGCGCAGCCTCCTGTAGCTCTTAAACTGTCACATGTTAAGCTGGTCAATGTTTCAGGGAGATCTACAAATCATTACTAGTCCACAGATGCACATGTGGTTAATAATATGTAGGAAGAGGACAGAGTCATTGGTAGGAGGAAAACATACCGTACAGATTTATGAGTAAAACAAGACTTAAATAAGTTGTTAGTGTACAGCAGGCCACTGTCTTTGATTTAAAAAGATGCAGGCATTGATTATAAAATAAATCAATATATGTTATGTGTATCAATGAGTAATTTTATATATTGAATACTTTATAGTCTTTTAAAGTAACTGTTTTTAAGCTCCAGTTACAAATTACATGCACACTTGAATTGTTTTCGTAGTTCTTGACAATACATGAAAAGAGTGAGAGTGAATGACACCTGAAACACATGTTTGATCTCAACTTGAGTTTCTCCTGAGCTTTTACCAGAGTGCTCTTTTTAATGTGTTATGTTTTGCTATAATAGTGTCTGTGTAGGACTTGGATTCACAGGAAGCTACAAGCCAATTTCCTGCATTGTGCACTCACAGAAACAAAGAGGACAGATTCAGAAAAAGGCAATAGCACTACATTAGTCGTAAAAGTGACAATAAAAACGTAAATGTAAGGAGTTTTTCATATTAAAGAGGACTCAGGAATAAATATAAATCATACCATTCCTAAAAAAAAACTTGCGCACATAATGCAAACTGAGTGTTAAAACGTGAAAACAGAGCAACCTTAGGTAGATTTGAACTCCACTGTTTTTTTTTAACTTTGCAGCAGCTAGCTGAATTTAAGCACAAATTGATGTAGAGTTACAGCTTTTTTAAAGTTTCCAACGTTGCCACGTCTTCTTACCACCATACTTTATACGTATGTAACATTCAGAATTAACCAAACAAACGTATAATGAAGTTTCTTCGGATGAAATGTGACTTTGAGAAGTCAAGTGCCTCCGTTACAAGGGTCTGTGGCACGAAAAAGTTGAGGCGCCCCTGCTTTCCTGCTGGCGGTCACTTTAATCTCGCCCGTACAATCTCTGACCACTCGTGTTGTGTAAAGCGGCGGTTTAATATTACAGCGCGATTAATGACCGTTTAAAAAACAAACTCCACTTTACCTGCGAGATGTCATAGCAGTCTCTAAAAGCTGTCAAGTGTCCCCAAACGTTCCCCTTTCGCCGCTGCTGAGTCGCTGTGAGGAGTGAGAGATCTGTTGAACCTGCGTGTGGAGCTCCACAGAACTACTGACACGTATTCCGGTTAATGCCTTCAAAACAAAGGCCGTGATTTATAGGCTCATTAAAGGGAAATCCGTAGGCGGATTATGTCAAATATTCCTGTACTGTGTTTATGTTATTATATAATTGTATTAACTTATTGATATTTTCCGTATGTTTGCACTGTTCCCGACTTCTGCAGAGACATTTTGATTCAGATATTTTTCATTTTGTTGGACAATTAAAAAAGATTTCTGTTATTGTAAAATTCTTCATATACAAGCATAGGCATGTGCTAATTTGTTAACGTCAAACTATCTGGTATTTTGATGTCTTATTGATGTAAACTAGCCTACTATAACATTTAAGAAGGCTTTTTAGGTCGGCCTACCTGTTCTTTTGCCATTGACCGTTTTATACTTTTATTTTGCAAGACAGTCTTCTTTTCCTGTCCTGTTCTGAACAGCCCTAGCTAACTTGATGCATTCAGAGAACATCAAGAGTTCATGTTTTCAGATTAATATCAAAGAATAACATAACAAGCTAAAACATACCACAACATGTTGTTTAGCTGTTGTCCATGCTGGAAGGTTAAAACATTTTATTTGCTTAAGTTATGATTAGTTTCAAAATGAATAACCTATTGATTCCGATTTTTACTATTTAATTCATAATGGTGTTTAGGAGCAGGACAGTAAAGCTGTAGGCCAACAACCTGTAAAATAATATAAAATAAAGAAACTGTCTTAATAACTCATACATGCATCTACTTATATTATGGGGTGGTGGAAAATAAAGGCCGGTTCTCAATATCAATTCCCCTGTTTGATTAAAATCATTCATCCATTGATTTATTGTATCTTCACCAACTAGGTGCATAACCTGTGCAGTGTATTGTTATGCTGTAAAGCTCCTTGTGATAGATGAGGAAGATTTACATCTCTCTCTCTCTCTCTCTCTCTCTCTCTCTCTATCTATCTATCTATCTATCTATCTATCTATCTATGTATAGCTTGGGGACTGTGACCCCCAAACTGAGAGTGGTTCCAGTAGATTCCAGGTACAACATCAGTAGTCTCTGTCCTGAAGAGTGCAGTCCTAGGAACAGCTAAGATACTGCACATAACCCTTAAACTCCCAGGCCTCTGGCAGAGGACCCAAGTTTGAGGATGACACATACCACCCCGCAAAGGGGTGAGAGGTGTTTTTTTTATATACAGGCCTATATATATATAAAAGAGGTTCTTTTACACCCTCATGATGGGACAGCCTTGAAGCTCTGGAGAATGGTGCTGGTGGGGGAGAGGACTAAGAGAGGCAGGGCAGCATTGACGTCACAGCCTATGGTTATCAGTCGAGGTTAATCTACTGGGGGATGGATGGGCTTATGCAATTGTCTGTGAGCTCACAGGCTTCACATCTATGGATTTGCTTTTCCACTGTTTGTCCCAGTGTGTTGCTGCAGTTTACAGACAAACACTGAGATGATGGAGAGGGATTTGTAAATTTGTAAATTTGTAAATTTGTAAATCTAAATGCACATGTTTTAGTCCATAACTGGCTAGCTCACTTTTGCTTATGCATGTGACTGAGAAGGTCAGTCAAGCTGTGTTTTAGTGTTTGTGTGTTGGGAGCAGGATTACAAATAGTCATGACCTTAAACATTGTAATTGCTGTCATTAACCCTCTCATGCAGGAATTTTTAAAAACATTATATAGATTTTTAAAGATTATTTTTATCGCTCAAAATTGGGCTAAAATACAATTCCATTTACATTTTTTTCAAAATTCGGTTCTATTTTTAAATTATTTAACTATCCACATATGTGGACACCATGCAACAAAGGATGTTATGTTTTTTATCATGTCATGTTATGCTATGTATTTAAGCTCAATAGCTGAAAAATTAATTTAATACATATTTTACGAACAAATAGAGGAAAAACACTCATGGTGGTATTTATAACTGTAGTTTTCCCTGTCAGAAGCAATTGAGCTCAACCTGTGCTGCCTTGAGTAAATAATACTGAATGTCAGTGCTTTCTCAATGACCACATGGTGTAGGCAATGAGGAATGAAGGGATTCGTGTATAGATTTTAGGGAAATGCGTGTGCTTTTTGAAAAATGGAGTTATGGTTTTTATATTTTAATTCAAAAGCCTGCTTATAGTGTTTATGCAATTGAGAAAAACTGTAACTCGGATCATGTATGCTTTACATTTTTACTTACTATACATGATAGTAAACAGGTTTTCGGTATAGGATATGTTACATACATGCATTATATACATTCTACATACATCTTCATACACTATGGAACTCAATTATCTTACACTAAATAGCAACAATAATATGTGCCCTGGATGATTTTCACACTATGCAGACATGAATGGAACAAACAGAATAAATAAAATATATTCAAATTTCAAAAACAAAAGAGCTGGGTTTGCTTAATGATTTACTGTGACAAAGAATGATTTGTAAAATTATGGAAGTGGTTAAGTTAGGGATAGAAAGATATGATGAGGTTGCTGGACTAAAACATTCACCTTTTATCACCATGCAGACTCATGTCCTGTTGAGTCTCAGATGGACAAAAATACTCAAGAGCGCAAAGCCTAGTTTCCCACACAGCGGATTGGAAACCAGGATGCCCCATCTACCCCGAGGAGGCTGCCTCTGTAGGTTTGTGGCCTTTGACCTCTTTAGCCTTGAGACTTGCAAATCTGCCAGTCCAAAGATTGAAAAAAATCTGGAAAGGGAAACAAAGAGGACTTATACTGAGAGTGAAGCAGCTGGACAGCTGGAGCCTTGTCCGAGAGAAAGAACTTTTATTACCATGTAGACATAAAAAGCTGTGAGAAAGAAACTTTATTTCACAAAAGGGGGTGAAATGTAGAATGGTAAGGGTGAGGTCTAGATTTAGGTTTAGAAAACATTCTTAAACGATCATGGTTTTCTCAGGCTGAAAGATCTGTTTGTTGCATGATTCCTAAATCCACTTTGACCTTTGTACATACTGCATTCCCCAACAAGTCTTAAAAAACACATCCTAAAACGTTTTGGCTGCTTCTGCAGCTTTTCTCAAAGCCAGTCAGTTGCTCGACACATGAATCAAAATTAGCTTTCTGTGTCTCCTTGGTTCTGTGAATCCTGTGTCCTCCAAGGCATCATTCACCCCAAACCGTCTCAACTGTCTAGCTCCCCTGAGTGTCACCCAAGCAGTGATCCTTCAATTATTTGGTTCTATGAATAGATGTTGTATTTTGTTTTGATTTTAATTCCTGGAAAACAAATCGAATTACTTACATTTTTTTTACTTGAAAACAATCTTTCCCCAGACGGATTCCTCACTGGGTGAAACTTTTTAATCTACACCATTTCATAGAGTTTTAATTAACACAACACAAAATGCAATGTCCTTCTGTGTCATTAGCAAGGAATAAATTAAACTCGTTAAATCTGGGGCTTAATGGAAATGTTCAAGACAGATTTGGGATACTGAATGATGTATGAAGCTGTGCAGCAGCTTCCTTTTTCTTTTGAATCCCAGGCTTTCAATTAGCAGTAGAGCCCCAGAGATTGCTGTAGGTTATTTGAATCATAAGTAAAGTAAATAAGTAAATATCACTGTAGCCAGAAATGCTTTTTTTTTTTATGTGTGGGAGCGTGCTGGCTTAAATAGCTTAGATCTGGAAAAACAATCTGATCTGGTTTCAATCAAAATGTTAGCAGAAACCTCTCATTAACACAGAACATAGATTTAAGTCTTAAATTGTGAATTGCTTCAATATACCCAGGTGCCTGGAAACAAATAATGGTCTAAGACGTCTTTCACGCCTTAGCCATCTCAGTCACAACTGAGCAAACAACAACTACAGAGGGAAACCATGAGAAGTGGTTGAAAGCTCAGGAAAAAAGCTAACCATGTGTTAAAATAATTTGAAAATGATTTATCTAGTATTATTTAGTACTACTACAAATGCTCAGATGTCAAATGCAGTTTTCTATTTCGGTATACAGTTTTCAAACTGAACAGTTTGTTATGTGTTCATTTGTTTCATTCTTCCGCAGTCATGTAGTTTATTTTGAGTCAATACCACATGTGCCATCCTGTTGCCAGAAATACTCGAGTCAAGCACCTTTTGTATATTAATCCCACAGCTTGTCACTAACAAATTAGCACATGCCTATGATGTCTTCGGAAGTAACGATCAGGCTTGGGCCTTAGAGCCACAGACAAGGTAAGGAAGTCAGAAAGTACTGAAACATGTTTTGCTCTTCTACCAGGATTTGTTGACAATTCGGAAATTACAGAATAACATCAGCCTTATCCTTTGAAAAGTCATCAAAATACAAATCAATCACATGATGACAAAAATCAAGATGGCTGACAAGAAAGGATTCCCATTTGGTTGACATTTTATTTCATGGTGGTAGGAACACAAGACAAAGGTCATAAAGTTAGTAATGTTCAGGTCATGCCACTCTTACTCGGTGCACTGCCCTTTGAAGAGGTTTGCGCAGTCAGACAGTAGTTTACAGAGGCCAGAAATGGAGGGTAATCACATGTAGACATAAATAAGGAACAGAAAATAGATTCAAAAAACAGTAAATAGAAGATTTTTTGTAAAAAGCCAGAGGGGACAATTGCAGAGCCCCCCTGGGATTTATTTCTGTATGAGCATTATTACTAATATAGTTATCATTATTATTTATTACTCATTTACATTATGGGGATGAGGCTAATACACTGGCTAAAGTAAGGAAACAGTTATATGGATAACGGCTTTGCCACCTGCTCAGAGTCAGGGTGACCAGTTTTTAAGGCAACTAATAGTTTCCACCCAAACCATAGACTGCAATTGTCTTCATTGTTCTTAAGTCCTTCCAAATACACAGGAATCGCTCTCTTTTATTCAGTCTTACCAAATTCATCAAATTCAGTGAACGGTGTGGTAAAATTAGACCAGTCTAAGGTTAATAGAGTGAGTGCTGGAATTTCAACGTGTCTTAGTACACCAGAAAGGTTTTCCTAATCTGGTGTGGACACTCAGAGCTTGATTACACACAACACAGTTATAGCTTTAGGGCTATCCCTCCCCCATGTACAAAGGTATATCATCGTGTGGGTGAACAGACAAGTCAGACATGGTTCCAGTGTATATTACTAAAAACATAAACCTCCACAGATCACACATTTGCTAAATTTACACTTTAAACTTGCAGGGCTGTACAAAAACAGGTTGTTTGATGATTTAAGAAGGAAAACATAATTATGAAAAAAAAGACCATTTGATACTCTATCACGAACAGGCATGATTTTTTCTTATAATATTGCCAAGGTTCTCATATCAAAACAAGTGTCTTTAAGTCAGTCATCGCAGCTTATTGTGGTTCAGCAAAGACGGCTCCACGTTGCATCAGTTCACTGAATGGTACAGAATTTGCACTAGTAATACAAATCCATGCGTTACTATGTTAATTTGCAAGTACTGTAGGGTTATGCATCTTCTCCCATTTTCGCGGCTGTTATGGCTTGAAAAGGTCACAACAACGTCACAGTCTCTCTCACCAGCCAAATAAAGACTCCTCCAGGAATGCTCCTAGGTCAAATACGGGAAAACAAAATTAAGTTTCAGGCAGCATTTTTGTTTGTACTGACGACTGACTGTCGTTTCACAGGACATTCCCAAGTCTAGTAGCACTTCCCAATGATAAGATCTCTTCTTGCCTCCTTTCTGTCTGTCCTTTTCTTCAGTCTTTGCTTTCAGCACCTCCTTAAGGTCAGATTTGGTAACAACCCCTTATGCATCATTTATGGTCCTGCAAAACTAACTGCTCCCAAGAAAAATAAAGACGACCAAAAAAGATACAGGGAATGAACAAATGTCAAACGTTATTCTGAGCTCTGTATTTTCTGAAATTACATCAGTGGTTCTAAAAGAAAAAAAGTAAGAGTTTTATAGTTATTGCAAAAAACAAACAAACAAACCCCCAAAAAGTGACATTTTCCAAAATAGAAAGTTTTGTTTTTTTTTGGAACAAAATGTGAATAAAAAAAACAAACAAACAAAAACCAGATTCAAACCAACACTGCAGAAGTGCATGCATTTATAGTGGTCATCATTAGTTCATCTGCTGATTGTAAAACAGAACGCACAATATTACATGAGAAGCACAATTCTGCAAAGAGAACCCATCTTACATATTCACAGTCTCAGGTATTATTTATATACTCTATATTTATAACATTTATTCATGTCTATGATTCATGTCTTGACTTATGACTAATGATATGCGAGTCATTGTGGAACGCAGCGCTCTCTCTCCGTGATGTCGGGTTGCAGTGTTCGTGAGTCATATTTCAAAACTAAAGGCTCTGATGGGATTCAGATCGAGTGGAGAGTTTTTTCCTTTTTTCTTGGCGCTGTGAGATGGGGGTTGATCGAGTGGTTTTGACTGTGTACTTTCTCACTGTAGCAGCTTGACTAATATCTGAAAAGTCCCATTAGGAAAATACAGAGGGTTACCGGGGCTGAATACAGTTTCTTGACTGGAGATGCAAGCTGGCTGCAGCATTACAGAACTGCACACACTGGCCACAGCATACTCTGCGTCCAGCTTACACGGGGGAATGTAAGTCTTTATATTCATGAATGTATTGGCCATGCTTGGGGAATGTGGACGATAGATATGGCACCAAGACAAGGCAGTAACCAGGGATCATCAGCAAGGTCCATCAGTATATTCAAGTAATGAGCGAAGAAAAGAAGCAGGCAATTATTTTTTTATGCTGACGTTTGTTTTAAAACAACAAAACTGACAAGAATAAAAGATCTCTTTTTCACAGAGAAGCCTGCTTTTTGAAAAAGCTGAAGGGCTATGGGAGTAAAGAAAAGAAAGTGTGTTCTGTGAACGGAGGTGCAGATAAAAAAAAAGAAGAACAAAATATATAAAACAAAAATCAAAACAACATATTCATTTTCTTTCCATATAAAAAGCGATGAAAAGTATACAAAAATACAAAATAATTACAGCAGGAGACATGGGTGCTATGGAGGGACCAGGTGGGAGGGTATCATTTTTTTTCTCATTTTTCCTTTAATATTTTGTCTCTGCCAGGTTATTTGGCGGCGGAACAGTGTAATATTTTAGGGCTGTTTAAGGCGTCCTCCACCAGGTGGAGCTCCACGCCGTCCACCACCACATCCTTGATGCAGCCAACAAAGCCGGTGCTGTAGGCCTTGGGTAACCGACGGGCCACCACCAGCTCCTCCAGACCACCTGAGGGAGACATAGGTTGATACAATGATGAATCAGCTACTGTACATAAACACTCATACATTCGCATTAAGATAAAACTGAGACATGTATCAGAGAATAATAATCCAGACTGAGGCAAGATAAATCATTCATCATAGCAACTATTTTTTAAAGGGCTGCTCCATATAAGCCAAGAATGCATAACACTAGTTCTTAAATATCCATTAATAAAGCCAATAGCATTGTTTATTAGGCCTTACCTAAATATTTTTCAAATAACACAACCCCCATTTGTAAGGCAGGCTTTCTGTTACAAATTTTAAATTTCGAGCCCAAGTCAAGATATCCCCTCATGACATCATCAGGGGTTATTTTCTCAGCTCCTCCAGAGTCACAGAAGGTATGACACAACTGTTTTCACAGGCCGAGTAGTACTCCCCATGACTAGTGAACTGACCTTCATGTGTAAAATGCACGGAGTGCCTATTTAAAGATCAAACACGAGGACAAAGGTTTGGATTATATACCATGCTAGAACTCGCACATGCCATCAAAAGGGTGAAATACTTTGGTGGAGAAATGTGCTGGTGCTAACGCAGTTGCTTGTCTTTGTCAATCTTTGTCTTTATTTTTCTTTGATTTTTCACATGATGACACCAGCTGATAGACATGACAGGGTGATGCTTTATTTGCCAAACCATGATGATTAAAGGGGAAAAGGCAGAAAGCCTGCATACCAGCCACAGAAAGTTAAGTTAGACGAGAAAGAAGGTTCTTTTAATTTGACACAGTGCATAAAGTGCTCCAAAATGGGCTACAAATGAAAGGTGGTGACAGAGTGTAAAATTAGGAATACCTAATATCAATATTTTTTTTATTTGTTTCCATCATGCTGAACCCCCAATGCTGTACTGTGAACTGCCTTCATGCCACCTTTCCATCACGTGTGTATTCACAACTAAGACAGATTTTTCTTAGTTTGAGTTCTTATGGCTGCTGCACTTTTCTTTGGCTGTTCAACCATGTTGGATCCCACTGCTACACACTTCTTCCTCTATTTATTCAAAACAAACCAAGGACATTTGATGTACATGGGCATAGATATGTATTTTTCCTGACTTAAAGTCAAACCAAACTTGAAACAATTTTGTATTGAATAATAAGTTCCTAAAAACATGTTGACAGCATGTTCTGGGAAAAGAGATGAAAAGAGATTTTGCTGTATATCGTTTTTAATTTTTAGTCGTTTTAGTGCTTTGAGCACCACTAACCAAATACCGTTCATCTCCATTGTAGTGGGTCGGGGGCCAAAACTGCATGGCCAAATACCACAAGGTTTAACTTTTATTATTTGGCTAAATGACCCTTTAAAGAACATGTGGACTGGATGTAAATTCAACTAATCTATCTGTCATAGTCATTTTAAAATGGAAAATGGAAAATATTTCAGCCTCTTATACTACCATTTTGCTTTTTTAACTTTACTGAACTTTTGCTTCTTTTTCAAATCGTCCAAACGTGTTTTTCTTTTTTAAACTAAGTCTTATAACATCCTTTTGTGCAGACTTGATGACCTAATTGCTGGGTGTGTGGCTGGCTCCTTTTTCCTTTTGATGGTGTTTTGAGCTACTCTTTTGAGCCAGCACAACCAACGTAGTCATTAGAGTCTTTTTCAATAAATCAGCATGAAATGTCTTTATTCAGAATTTCACAAGATCTGTTCTTACTGTGAGAAAGGCTGACCCTAGTTTTTGATGTTTTACCTGGCTGCCATCTGCGCTCTGTCTCTGCACCTTCCTCAGCTATCAACACTGTAATAATCCTCCTGTATCATGTTTTTCTTTGCTTCATTTTAGCCCCCCCCCCCAACACACGCACACATTCCCCATCTCTTCTTCTCTATCCTGTTTTCTCTTTTTAGTCTGCTGGGCTGGGAGTTCAAATCCCGTCAAGCTCTTTACATCCCCTGTCCCTGCCCCCTTTAATCGGATTGCGCGCCTCGGAATCAGGGATCGACAGGGCTAATTTCATGCAAGTTACAGATGAATTAATGATGAACAGTGAAAAGGGGATTTAAAAAGGAGAAGGGCTCTCGATGGGAGGGCTGTGTGAGGATTATGTATTCTTCCTGCAGGGCTCGCTCAGCACCTGTTCCACTTCTCTGCCTTCCCCGTCTGTACGTGTGTGTGTTTGTATGTGTGTACCTAAGTACACGAGCGCACCTCTGCATGCAGCATGTCTCTTAAATGTCACTCACGCTGCTTCTCCTCTTAAACCTGCCTCTTCGCCACTTTGCACTGTGCATTTCAAAGAACAGTCTGACTTTATTTCGGTTCTCGTCTTTAATGTTATTTCCTACGAACGTTCAATCCCACCGTGCCGTGTGTATTTTTTCAAAAGAGATTTCTCTGAGCCAGGTTCAGACAAAATTTAACTTGAGGTAGATAACGGGCTGACTTTGGTCATTTTCAATTCAGGAGAGCAGACAACTTTTGAATTAGTCAGATAGCCTTTCATTTCTCAACTCAATACCTGAATAGGCATGGACATACTTTTTCCCTGCCAGAGACTTTGCTTATCCTCTGCAATTCCAATGAGTTCATTGCTCATCTTTGGCAGCCTTCTACCAGTGGCTAGGATGAAAAAGTACTACAGAATTACAAGTATTCCCCTGACTTGATGTATGGCATTTGTAGACACATTTTCAAGTCTGAATGATATTTTGTTACATATGTGCGGGCGCCTACCCAACCAGAGCGCTCCGTCTGTGTCCAGCTGTGTTGCTGCCAAAGGCGACGACCCTGTTACTGCTGCTTCATTGCCAACCTGTAGAGAGCCGTCTCTAAGTGCTCTGAGGAGGAGAAAGAAAGAGAGATGAAGTTGAGGTGTCAGTCTGATGCATGTATGTCATACTGATTAGCTGTAAATAGCAGTTTCATTTAATCTAAAGCATCAAGACTCAATTGCTGCACTGCCAACACACTAAGCACTCACATAACTGCCTTTGCCAAGCAGCGTTCTAAATGTGCCTGTCTACCAGCTAACAGATGCCGTTAGAGCACCATTCATTTTAGGTGGCTCTGTGTTACGCATTAGCACACACTTAAGGATTGTGATGATGGGGCTAATTTGAACCCACTAAAGTGGCTTTCCAACAGAGATTGTCATTAAAGGCAAGCGGCAAACACAGATAGCTATGTAACTAGCTTTGCAAGCTGCATGCCGCATGCTGTGATTGCCACATGCTGCGATCTACACCACCATTATCAACATCCATCCCGATCACGTGGAAGAGTTTCATTTTCAAGTATCAGCAGTTAATTTATTTCTAATGAAGGATAATGTGCCACTGCATGGCAAAAAGAATTGCAAGCTTTTTTTCTGGACTGATTATCGATGTACTGAACTAAAACACTGTTATTGTGTCTAATTGAATTATTTATGCATATACTGTAGACACATGCTATAGGTGTAGATTCACAAAATGTGTACAAGACTGAACCTACCAATAGAGGAAAGTATGCAAGTGGGCCTCAATCAGTTTTTGACCCAGAATATAGGAAAATACACTACTTATAACTAACATCATAAGAGCATTATCTTGAAGACTTTAAAAGAGGGTTCCTGAATCGCCATCTAGTATTTAAGGCCTTCATTATTTCAACTACTTCTGTGCTTGCATATTGCATATCCCTGGACTAATTTGTGCTATTTAAATTAACACAAAAGAACCCTACAAGCAAAGTCTGATTACTGCACTGTAACAGAATTTACTTATACAGTAACATGTATTCTATTTTGATTGATTATTTCTTCAATAATAATTAATACTATAATATATTCATAGGTATGTTATTTTATTTTTATTATGTTTTTAAATGTCATTCTAATGCAATTATTTCCCTTATATAAAGCACTCACAGGATCAATGTATGTAATACAGTATGGTGTATACAGTGTATGTGTTAATTTATATACTGTTGTGTGATGTTTTTATTATTTTTATTTATTTATTTCCTGAATAAATGTGTTGGGGTGTTGCCATATGTTCTTCCCTTTTGAACATTCATTAATGTGTCTAAGTAATTTGATGTGCAATGTGTCATATTCATGCATGGCCAGGCATGAAAATAACCTTAATCTGAAACTAATCAGAGTCATCTCAGTGCAAGAGATCACTGTGTGGCAGAGGATTCATGCAAGAGATTGCACAGTTTGCAGCAACACAAATACAATATGGATTAAGTCTAATCCTGGTCTAAATGTAAAAGCTTTCACTGTTGATCCACAGCTACCTGTCATCTCCTATCTTACCTGCTAGCCTTAATGCGTATCCAGCGGTTGGTGTCAACCCGCACTGAGGAGCGCAGCACCACGGGCTTGGAGCCCAAATCGTACGTCATCTGGACATGTCCGTCCACAATGGCCAGGGCAATGTAGTCAGAGCGTTCCACGCCCTTCCCGCTCCACAGCACCAGGCCCTGGGTCGCCTCCGTCCGGATGCTCAGCTCAAATTTGTTCACCAGCAGAGCCTTCTCACTAGGAGAGCAGAAAGTAAATTAATTAGCTTTTAGCATAATTCATCAAAATGAATTTTAATCTTTGGAGAAGCTGATGCAATCAGTGTCATTTGTAGTTTTCATAAGTGATGCAAGTTAATTCTGCTGTTTTCTTGAAGGACCCATGATTCAAGCATGACACAGAAAGCTTTGCAGCTCAGGCTCTCCAGTCTCATACAGATTTACAGTGATTTTTAAAGATGCAGACTGAGTTTAGGAGTAGCAGGGGGCTATTTCGCTATTAACTTTCCTACATCCTGCTGAGACTGAACTGCATTGCTGCTCAGTGCTTCCTGTGTGTGTGTGTGTGTGTGTGTGTTATTTAGGCAGCGGATTGATCTCCAGTTTCTTAACTGCTACAGTTGCGGGGGTGATTTGGATGCAGAGAGTAGGCGACTTCCACCTATCCTTAAGAGGCACAGTATGTCACTGTCACCGATATGTGAGAAAAATACACACTGTGATGTGCCTCTACTGTATGTGTGCGCACACAAACTATTCCTGCACACTAATACACTAACTGTCCCTGTGTTTTTATGAGTTCAGCAGAGATATAGTTGACACCAAGAGGATCATACCTTCAGTTTGTGTGAATGTGTATGTACGATCTGCAACTGTCTGCACATCTGTCAAATGGATATACTTTCACTTCTTCAAAGGGTATTTAAACACAAAGACAAAGACAAGGTGAGGACACGTATGACAAAAAAACGAACAAAACAATTACACGTGGTTAAAAAGTTCACAAACAGCACAGAGCTGAAGACAGATTAGAAAAGACAGACAACAAGACAAAGGAGTCAGCATAGCAAGCAGAGAGGTTCATGAGAGTATACACAGACAGGAAATGGCAGGGGTAAACGAGGAACTGAGTATGGCAAGTTCTCCTTAAATGTAAGTAGTATTTTAGAGTAGAGTTTTTTTTAAAGGAGCACCAGGTATAGAAGAAATGGGATCATATTCAACTTTGGAGTTCATTGACTGCTGGCCTAAACTAAAGCAACTTTGACAGCTCAGGCCAACAACAGTGCCAGTAGAAGTGGAGAAAATTCAGAGACAATTTTGATTTTCTCTGATTTCTTCCTTCAAAAACATTCTTAGATTGATAACTTTGACCCCCGTGATTAACTAACTGCTGAGGTAAACAGGAACCGAAAAAAAGTATGAGTTAAGAGCATCATGTTTTTTTTTCTCCAGGGAGAGAAGAAAAAAAAGCCCACAAATACAGCTCAGTGAACCCTCTCTTGGCAAACCCTCAAAGAGCTTACAGGGCCCAATAAATCTCCATCGGAGCGGCTTGTCAGTGATAAGGTCAAGGTTATTAAAAGTGCTGAATATATCATGAATAAAACAACGCTGGCGCACAACGTTCTAAATCTCATATACACCACTGACTTCATAGATTTCTGGTGTGTTGCTGTTTCTTTTTGTAAATGGAGGGATTTTATCTATGTCCTATATGTATTCAAATTCTCAGAAGGCTTCGCAGAGTGCTGTCCTCTGTTTAAACTCTAGGTGGCAGTAGTGGTTAGAATAATAAAAAGCCATCAGGGAGGACAGCTACTGCAAAGATGCTGCAGCTCTGGCTGGTTTTGTGTTATCAGAGCTCTGAACTTCAGAATTAATTGAGGCATATGCAGAGGCGCTTTGTGATTTGTATTGGTAACTCTATCTCAATAACTGAAACAATCTTGTCTCTGTGGAGGAGAGTTTAGCCCTGTGAGAGTTCAGGGAGGGGTTGTCTGGAGAGGAGGAGAGGAGGAGAGGATGGGGAGGGTGAGGAGGCGATAGGCAAATGGACAGCACCAAAGTCTAAAAGCTTTTGAGAGACTCACCTCTGGTCAGATGGGTTCTCCAGAGACTCAGGACTTAAGGGAGCAGGGAAGAAAGTCAACGGCATGCAGTTTAAGCGCAAGAGGCCAGAAAGGAAAGGAAGGAAGGAGGGAAGGAAGGAAGGATGTTGTGAGCCTACTGGGTGACTCACAGATGTCTGGTTTAGACCTGTAGCTGCAAAAAGCATAACTTATCTGCTCTACCACAATATCGACCATGTCAACAGTCGATAACAACTGTTGTGTGATCATAGGAAGTGTGTAGCTTAGCCGAGATCACAACACAATCATAAAAGGAGGTTCTCAAGGGAACTAGTTGGATCTAGATGATGACTAATGCACCAAAATGCCCTGTGATGAAGCATTTTTTAAATGTGAGTGTCAAGATTAAGTACATTCATGGTCAGTGTCCACACCGGTACAAAGGCTACTTTAAGTCACCGTCCAATTATTGAACAACTCCTTTATATTTATGGCGCTGCACGCCACGGTGAAGCGGCAATTACCTTCTGTCTAGAGATGGAAGCAGCAAATGAGAAAAATTGGTCAATTGTCAAAAAATGGGGTCAAGCGCCATATCAGCTGAGTCATGGCCAGATATGATTTGTCATTGAAATAATTGGGCTTGAGCAAATCGACCTGAGCTTTCATATACAGGCAGAGAGGTGAAGGAGGAGCGATCAAAGGGTGCTGTAAATAGTAACAGAAACATTAACCCAAGGTGAGTGTTGGACGTTTTGGCCTCACCCAGCTCTTAATGGCCTCTTGAGAAATGTTTTCATTTCCTTTACAGCATCAAATCATGCTAAATTGATCGGCACGCTTTCAGAGTGCTGCACCAGGGCTCTGGTTTGCTTAGATTCACACTCATTGTGGCTCTTAGTAAATGTGACATCCATTAAACTTTTGACAGTCTGGCTCCAAGGACCACTGTCCTCTCCTGCTAAGTGAGATTGATGCCCATGGCTACACACTGCAGAGAGATCTCAATTGGAGGTCTAATCTACAAAGGGAGACAAATCTGTGATTAACATGTCACTGCCTCTCTGTAAGGCCGACTCCGTAATTATTCACAATTACAGTTAGATATCTGGCAAAAACTAAATGACAGAAGCCCTGGCATCGACTGGAACTCTGGGCTGAATCCAGTCGGCTTAATTTGAGCTGAATTCTGCTTCGCCACTTTGTGGGATTTTTTAAAAAGAGGTTACTTACCGAGCTAATGAGCAGGAAGAAAAACCCTTAATAACTTAGTCATGACCGAGGGCTTTCCCAAGCAGAAACTCTACAGGCACCCGAAACTAGGTTAAGGGGTATTTAGTATATCCGTTTTCAAGGGGTCTCATTCATATCCCACATAAATGTTAATGACATTCAGCGTAAAGTGCATGGCAATTCCTTTTGTTTATGAACAAGTTACAACCATGCATAAAATATTGCACATTCTTAGAACAGCAATACATTTTCTCTGAGGGTGGAGCACAATGCTTATCATGCACACGTTCATGCTTCCCTTGGCAGTGGAAAAAAAGAAAGGATCTAATGACACTGTAAAATGTACTTAAAATAATGAAATCTGTCAAATTAAATCATGGACATGGAGCTTGTATGTAAAATCTGACATTAACGTTAAAAATGATTTCTGTGTGGAAATTATGATTGGAAACTGAATGTACTTTAATTTTCTTCAATTGGGTTAACTGTCAAAAATGGCTTTTTTTGTTGCTGTTAGTTGGGCTTGATTCGAAGCTGGGCAAAATTCCCAGTCATAAAGTCTACTTACTCTGGGATCTCATTGGTCAGTTGGCTTGAGTGAAAAGGAAAGACAGTGAAGGACATTTATATGAGACAAGACACGTGTGGACAACAACATGGGTGGTCCGACTGAAGGACAGGACAAAGGTCACGCAACTGGAACGCCTAGATCACGGATAAACAGCAAAGATACACATAAAGACACACACATATCCGACAGAGTTCTCCAGCCAGTTGTTTCTGAGAGAGTGTGTGTTGTGCGTCTCCATGGGAGAGTGATGATCTGCAGGCTGTGGCCCGGTTTTCACACCTCTGAGTGTTTGTGTGAAGAGCTGTGAGACGAAGATATAGAGCCGTATGCTTGATGTCTTTTCAGGTTCATCACATAAACATTTTTGTTTATGCCAACCTGGAGGCAAACTCTTGCCAACCTTGTAGATGGATGGAAGAGTAAAAATGTCTCATCAGCTGCCTACAGGAACAGGATTTCTCGTTTTTTTTTTTTTTATGCCCGCTCCAGAAACCATTTTTCACTTGCGTCATTATTTTCCCTTTACAGAGTGTTAAAAATTGCAGGTGACATGTCTTCAGATGCCAGTTTTATGGAGAACAGTGATACACACATTCAAAGTTGAATCATGCATGTGTGTGTATTGTCCACTGTGTACTAGGCAGTAGACCATAGAGTGAACTGAGGGTGCTCAGGGCTACACTGATTGTTAACTGTCTCGCTAATTAGTGAAATTCTGTCAAAAGCGGCGCACGACTGCTATGGACGGAGGGGGTATGAGCTATTAGCCAACCGCCTAGTTCACCCTGAAGACCAAGCACTGATGATTTCATCAACACTGTCATCATGGCTGACCAAGGGAGGAGATAGATAGAGGGGTTATTTGGCTAATAGCTACAAGGGAGGTGTTGGATAAAGCAGAATAGATGAGGATGATCCCCTTGTCCTCTTCCTTACCTCTTTGTAACAGCATTGTGGTACTCGATGAACGTCCGCCCATCAAACGCGATGGCTTCTGTCTCTCCGGCAGACTTCTCGTAGATGGCTGTGAAGGAGGGGGAAGGGGTGGGGGAAAGAGGAGTGTTCAGAGGATGAGATCATACCAATCAATAAGACAGAGGGTTCAGTTATCAGAGCTGAAGGCAATGGGGTGTGAGCAAATGGGGCAGGGGAGAGTGTTGGTGCATTTGTAGTTTTAATTAATGTAAAAGGGACAGCCGGCCACGCGAACAAGGTTAATGGGGAAGGCAGTGACTGAGTATGTAAGACAGAGCGGGCCAGAGTGAGTATATGTCTGGCAGAGTGACATGAAGATGATGAAAGGGATGTGCAACTCTTGAAAAGAGCATTTCATGAATATTCAATTGACACATTTCATCATTTTCATAACTGCTGCATTAGTTTGAAATCAATACATAATAACCATAACATAAAAGAGACATCGCTTGTCTAATATCGACATTATTACCTTGCCTAGACAGGCCACAATAGAAACAAAGGTCTTACACGCAGAAAAAAAACAAGATTAGTAGGTCACCTTACATTAAGGTGAGCGGAGAACACGTTGTGTTATATAAAGTATAGTTGATTTCATTGCCACACAAAATGCTGCCATTGAAACCTTTAAAGAAAAACCAAATAATGTGGAAATAGAACAATTTGTACAGTCACAATAATTCATGATTCAATGATTTCGCTGTCATTGTAAATGGAGACGAATGACACTGATTCTTACAATTATAGTTATAGTAGTATAAAATCGGTTAAAGCATCAAGATCGCCTGTGGCTCTTTGACTTAAAGTCGGATAAAACAAATGTAAAATGGCTGTAAGGAAAGACGATAAAGACAGAGATGCTCACTGTTCTGACAGTGTCCTCCTGAGAAACCACTGAGGCAAATGCACTCGTAGGTGTCCAGCTGGGGATTGCAGCGGCCGCCGTTGTGGCAGGGCTCCTGGGAACAAGGGTGGTCCTGGAACATGGCTACGTTGCTGGAGCGCAGGGCATTCTCCTCTCTGAGGATGGGGGTACCCATCAGAATGATCTGGGAGCAGGAAACATGAGGTTAGCAGGCACTCTACCGATTTTTCACACACCAAAGATCAGCTTACTGTCAATGTCAGAGATATCTCAGACTCGAGGGTACATGTTTACATTATGTGTGACAAACTTGAGCCATGGAGTTTGAAAGACATGCAATGAGGGTCTAACAGAAATGCTACAAGGTAAATGTAGTATACAAGATTAAAAGTCTGGATATCTTGGCCTTTGACTTATCTTGTTTAATCTGTCTTTGAGACTTTATGGAAGTACAATCCTAAATCACTGGAGTACCACTTTCTAAAGTGTCTTAATTGCTGTAACAAGGAAAGGTAAGACAGGTCTAGCTAAGAGTAATTTAGCAGACCCCATAAGTGTTTCTGACATTTATGGCTTTAGCTCTCACATGTACTTGTCCTTGTCAGGGAGACAACAATAGACTGATTATTTAGAAACAGCAGCTCAGGCGTCAGGCTAGCAGATATCAGTGTTCTCTGTGAATCTTACAAGGTTAAGTCCTACAAGAATGTTTACAAGAACTCACTGGCTCCACAGATTAGAGTACAACTCATGGATAGTGAGAGATTCCAATATGATGAAGCACTGGAGTCTAAACATCAGATAGATTTGTTGTTCTAGGAAAAAAGGTGACCTAATGCTGAAACCTACAGGCACAAGGGGGAAGACAGAAACATAAAAGGGACCAAATGATGTTCTCCTTCAGATTTGGTGTTGGCATTTGACGTGTTCACATGTTGTATGCTGGCACTGTGTCTCCTCGGCCGGGCTCAATAAACCATGCTATGTTAAGTCTTCATCAGGCTCCGAAACTTCTTCACACCTGAACCTGGCTCACAATCTAATTTCAACACCCTTTAAATACCCTGAAAAACTTTCTATTGAAAATGAAATATTTCTTACTAAATAAGCATAAATTAAAGTTATAGTTTGGTTAAAAAAATGTAAGATTTAATTGACAGTGGCCTGGCAACATAAGCTGACATCACATTTGTTTTTAAATATTGCTAAACTGTGATTGGTGCACAGAAATATGTGACACCTTTTTTTTTTTTTTTAAATGAGCCCTGCCTACTTCAAACTAGTGAGAAAAGCAAGGACAATGAGAGAAAAACAGAAATCTGTCATGTTAAAGGTAAGGTAGGTAACCTATTTCAGCATTTTTTTTGTTGTATTTGTTGAAATTCTCTTTACATTCCAACAGCAATAAACAAATTAAATGCCCTGACACATATGACAAAATATCTATCTGTGGCTGTCGCAGAACTGTAATAAGCACAAGCAATAATTTCATTCGGTCCGAACAAAATGATGGGCTGGGGCACCTGCCTTCCTCCCGACTTGCTTGCACACATGAAAATGTGTCTTGGGGGAGTGGCTTTGGAGGGAAGCCAGTAGAGAGAGGGAGTGAGGTTTTGTCTCATTTTGTCTAGCCCAGCTTCAAATACCCCAAACTGTTCTAACTTTGTCAGAAAAGTGTATCCTCATCTAGGTGTTAGTTCATTAATAGTAAGAAGCTGATTGAGAAAATATGTTTTAAGTGCCTTTATTATATGGCATACTGTTTATAATATACAGTAAATATATACTACACACTCCAGTGAGGCTAACATTATGGTTGTATGTCAGACATAAAGTCCCTACAAGCTAAGTTTAAAAACTATTTTTATAGACCTATGGTTATGTAATATTAATTGTTTTTTAACCTTTCCTTGGAGAGTTACCTTTATGATTCTTGTCTTGCTTTTAAATCTCTTACGTCCCTTTCATTGCTTTTGCTGTCAAATGTATCTGATTTAATTTTTCTCTTCTTAGCAAAACACTTGACGATTATCAGTTGTTACCATTCTTGGTTGTTGTCCAAAGAAAAATATCAAGTTATGGGGCATTGTGTTTTCTGCTGAATGTCACAACACATCTTAAGAGCAAATAACTGTGTACAGTGATACTATAGATTGTTTGTAATATGTTGTTCCTCTAAACATGAATTTCACACTGTTACCACACACTTTAAACGGGACATCAAACTGAGAATACATATTCTCTTCCTCGTAATTAACTACTCCCTACAGGCCAAGTAACACAAACGCCACATTTAGCTTTTGATTTGCTCGAAGCTGTCAAGGGAAAGTTTGCAGAAGAGAGCTAATGACAAGTTTGCACAAACAGCAACATCCTGCCTTTGTTCTACTGGGTTATTTTTGGCACTCAGAGATGAGCTTTTTGCCGGAGAAAAAAAATAAAAAAACTGGAAGGCTGTCAGGGAAAGATCTGAAAAAAAAAAGTGAAAGGGAGGGACTTCAAAATGTGCAGTCTATTATTAGTGCATGCTAATCCAAATGAGCAGGGTCACTGCCCGTCACAGTGTAAGCTTATAATGGAAAATTATTAATATGAGAGTCTGTAGTATGACAGCTGGACAGCTAAAAAAGTATAGTTGAATATGCTACTGTGCGTCCGGATGGAACAAGGGCCCTGAGTCATATAACATATAAATTAGTTAAATCCACATGAAGAAGTAATGACACAATACTCCTTCAAGAAATAGAGGCTTATAAACATTTACCTTTTGGATTGTTCCCTTGAAGCCATCCGTGAGTGCAGCGACCCTTGCTAGTCGGCTGTAATCGGGAGCTCCACCAACAAAAAGAGACTCTTTCAGGTTAAGATCTACGTGCAGGTTCTGATGAGAGAGGACACAAAGACGTATCAACTGGTGAGCTAGAGCTGTGCAATCATGAAAAAAGCTCCACATATATCTTTAAAACACCCAGTTTTATTTTTCCCATGCCCAATCTGAAATTTCTCCTTTTTTATTCAGGATGTAATGATTTATGGTTTTACTTTAATGAGTGGAGTTATGTGCATAGGGAGCATGGAATAAGTTGTATCGTTTTAGTCGAGATATAAAGAGTGACATTAATAAACCACATTTGCAGGCATGTCACAATTTTATAGGTTGTCCTTAAAAAACAAAACAAAAAAGGATTTATCCATATAGTAGCTGGCAGACGCTTTAACGGCACTTCCATGCCTTCTATCCATGTCAATACACTTGATACATTACAACATAATTGAGAGTGGTCAATTATCCTCTATCTGTGAAACATAAAAAGAGACTACAAAGGGAAATCAGGAGCAGGCTGGACTTGAGATATGGATGGTTCTTTACAGACATCTCTAATGAATGGCTGATCACAAGCACCGACCTTTCAAACAGTTGAGTGTGGAGACATTAATTGCAATTCATTTGGGCGGCAGACAGCTATGAAATTCGATTCTTTCCACCAAACCTTTGGGACAATTGCTTTGCATTAGCAAGGTGATGCTTCCTTCTTTTGCATGGAAGAGCCGGCCCACTTCACAGGGAAGGAATTAATGATCTTTATTTTATGTAGAGCAGTAACTGCCAGAGGGGTAAAGTGGAGTTAATTGCTGGAAAAATGATGGAAGGGGCCAAACAAACAGGCTTTGTGCAGTTGCAGTTGGAACTACCTCAGTTTTTATTTAGGATGGGATTTGGAGTGCATGAGGCAGCGGTGCTTGGCTGAAGCCCGGGGTTGTGCCACTGCACGTTGAGCCACTTCCAACAGAGACAGACAGGGTGAGGACCTTGGCCAAAGCTGCTGGACACAGCTGTGGCTGGTGCCTCCAGGCTTAGCCAAAAGTTGTGACCAATTGCACAGCAGAGCAGGCCACCTCAGGCTCTTTATGTAGACCTTAGTCCTCTCCAACACTCACTTACTCTGAAGGTGAAAGTTACAGATGCAAACTGAACCTGCTCGCCTGGGCATCTGGTTTTTGATTGTGTTGCACCTTCATACTCTACAATTTGAGCACACACACAACCTATGCAAAGTGACCTTTCTATGAATCTAATGTGAGATTTCATGCAATGAAATGGTGCATAATGTTCTGTTCTGTTCTAAACAGGTAATAATCTGCACCTGGTTCTATGGAGTGATTCTTGCTCAGTGATGTTCAGTTTGTGTTGTTACGAGCGAGTGAGTGGGTGAAAGAGTGAGCGACTTCATGATATTATGGAGGATTGTTCCTATGTCCAAAAGAAGTGAGAGCAGATGACAAAAGAACAGCTCGGCTTGGCTTGGCACCTCACCGTCTCCTACGGTATATTTCCTCCCCTTCGCTTGCCTCCCATCTTCGCTCTCACTTTCAAGAGCCACGTGGCACTGGCGTGATATCCCTGCCTACGCCTGTCTAATGAAGACGTTTCTTTGTTGCTAAAAACAATGGCCGTCACAAAGATGACTGTTTCCTTTCCTTTTTCCCTCCCACCTTCCCACCCCCTTCCACCCCCACGGCAGATGGACCGAGGTGAAAGCCAAACCGTGTTCTTTAAGAGCATCTCTCCTTCAGTGCTGTTTGTGTGTGTGTGTGTGTGTGTGTATGGGCTTATGAAATGGCAAAGTTTTTCTACAGAACTGGTGCCTTTAAAGCTGCCCGCAGCTCTGCAGAAGTTCCTTTTTTTCTGTGCTGTTGTTGCATGGAGAGATGGGGGTGAGAGGACGTAGTGAACGACTCAAATGAAACATGGGCTAAGGTGTGACTGGGACTTGTCTCATTACCTTGCGTGATTTCTTATTTCCAGACAGCACATCATAGAGAAAGAAAGAAAATGGGGAGGAAGAGGGTTATTAGGGGAAGACTAGTAAGTGTCTGTGCACAGAGAGGCATGCAGAACTAGGCAAGTGCAAAAGCCCATGAAATACACACACTCACATATACTCTCATGTATCCACACATACACACTTGGCACGTCTGTAACTGCATTAAACATAGCTGTAGTATAGTACTGACAAGTAAGATAAGTGCATTGAATAAGAATATGAGAAATGTCAAGAGCCCATGTTTTTTGTACTGTATATACAATACATACACATACGACCACAAAGCTGTGCAAGGCAAGCGTGTGTTCACACTTAAGAGAGTGACTACAAATAAAACAGAAAATATAAGAAGGCCATGCATGAAGCAGATAGTGCCACCATTCAGTGAGAGGTGAAGAAGATTTATATTTCTCCTATTTGTACCTATGTGCCTTTTAAAGTATGTACTTCATCATGCTGGCAGAGCCCGAGCCAGCTCTGATTGTAACGTTCCCAGCATGCAATATGTATCCATACATGTGCATGTGTGTGACCACTTTGATATGATATGGGTTTCTCTGAGCAAAGCCTACTATATATCCCTCCTAGCTCTTAAAGCAGGAGTAGGAGAGAATTAGCTGAAAGCCATACTGGATGGGGTCTCTGCATTGAGCTTCATAACTAGTCTCAGCTCATCCCTTGCGCCCCCCCCAAACCCTAACCATCTTCGCTTTTCCCTTCCTCTCCTCTTTTAATAAGATTTTCTGCCTCTGTTGCTGGAGTAAAACACAATTATCATACGGACGACGGGAGGCAGTGGGGGAAGGACAGAGCAGGGAGAGAAAAAAAAGGAGGAGAGCGTCTTAGAGGAAGATGATGGAGTTGACAGAGTGCATGTTCATAATCACAAATTACACTGTTTAATATAATTGGATGACTTACAGGCTTATCAAACTATTAGATCGCCTTCATTTGGAAGCATGTACCTGCTTTATTGGTCTAGACACGGGGCTGAAGAGTTTCATTACGCTCTTCTCGCTGCTGCTATCTCCTTTATCTGCCTCCACCTCCCCAGGCACCACCTCAAAGGCTGAATTTATAAAATTGACTGTATACCATCAGTGAAAACTGCTTTTGCTTTCTGCTTTTGCTTTTTTTTGGCTCTGTGCTTCTGTATGTTTTATCTCCAGTATGTCAGCAAGCTGAAAGGCAGAGTTTTTTTTTTTTGGAAAGTGGAAATACAGGACTTCCATAATTAAGACAGCTTTTCAAACTAACCCTCTACACCCGGAACTGTCCCTCTTACCTTGATGGATATTGAGAGACAGTGGTATATTTTCAGAAAATCAACCACATGGTGTGAACTGGTGTGGAAAACCTCCGCAAAGAGGAAAGTTTGTTGATTCAACTGTGCCTAAAGCAGCAAGTAGAACCGTCGCTACAACGGCAAAAGATAGCACTATATCCCAAGTTTGTGGGGCTGATGTGATAAGAGCACGCAGATAATCACACAAATACAGTATATACAGCTAAGCATAGAATAGGCCCATTAGCCTTGCATGCTAGAAGCAAGATAACCATTAGCAGCACTTTGTTAGCGTGCTCTTTCTTACTGGTGCCTCCCCTCGGACAGGGTCCTTCTTGTTCACCATGATCTCTCCCTTGCGGTTGGAACGCTCCAGGTCGATAGTGTTCCACACGTTCAGCTGGATTGCTTCCTTACTCCTGAATTACACACACACACACACACACACACACACACACACAGACATTCAGGTGAGTAATATATTAGGAAACACTGTATTCAGTATGGCCTTTAACCTGTAGCATGTTCAAATATAATTTTACAGCAACCCCCATATCTTTTTCATGCCTTGTATATCTTTCTTAATACCTTATTTGAAATCTATTTTACATTTGTTTGTCCCTAGTTAAACCCTGTTAGATGATGTTAACCTGATGGTAGCGGGTCCCTTCCCCAGGTCGTAGCGGAACTCCAGGATCCCCTCACTGAGTGACAGAGAGATGAAATCTCCTTTTCCGTCAGACTTTTGGCCGTTATAGAAGATCAGACCATTGGAGTCATTGGCCATGAGAATCACTGTCATGCTGAGCTTTTGACTGCAGACACAGAACAAGCAAATCCAGTAAACACACGCAAGAGTCAGAGATACACCACTATACATAAAACAAAAATGTTTGTGTGCTTGTTTTTGGTGCACTCACAGTATTTCTATGTAGAAATGAGGTAAAGATACTACATATTCTACCTATGATAGAATAGATAACGTGTTATTTGTCAGCTCAGGCTTAAGGAAGGCATCTCTACCTTAGGCAGAGAACAAACTCAGTCTATGAAAACTACATGATTTCCTGCGTTTAGTAACAAGTTTTGACTGTGCAGGTTTAATGCATAGACGTAGGACTTACCGCAGGTCATGCCCATAGAGATGGAGCCCTTTCAGCTCCAGGAAAGAGTCTCCGTTGAATAGTGGCATGTAAGCCCCTCTCCGCTCAGCCACTGGAAAAACAAAGAGACTATATTCATCCTCAGGTTTTTGTTGCTGACAGAATTGAAATTCAGGGATAGTCAGTACATCTTTGAGGGACCTGTCAGCATTATGGAAAGAGATGGATTTGTGTTTTCATAGCCTTTGGGATTAAGACTTTCTCTTGACAGAAATTCAAACAAAAAAATTCAAAAACCCTTATGTCAGACTGATTACACAGCCCGCCACAGTATAACAAAGAACCTTCGGAGACATGTAGAGTTTAACACCACAGCTGGGGCCCATGAAATAATGCAGCCATTGTATTTTGGCAGGCCTTTTTACAAATTCATGTCTTTGCGATGGGTCTACGCCTGGCTTTCCCGTTTCTGGCTGTCTGGAGTGATTAGGACAGGCACTGTGCCATCCTTCTAACAAGTGGCTTGACATTAAAAATTATTCAAGTGTCACCCGGGGGTATGCGTTTATGGTGTTGTTTGCTAAAACTACCATCATTCAGAGGCAATACTAGACGCTCACACTCGCGCACACACATACACACACGAATGAACACACATACCTATGTAGCCGGTAAGAAAGCTTTTATTCGTAATTGGCTGGGATTAGCTGAGTCGAGTCAGAAGGCAGACTGAGATGAGAAAGCTAATTAGCTATTGTGCAGAAGCCTGCTAATGATGATGGCACGCACCATGGAGGAGAGGGAAAAATTGTCTTGCACACAAAACAAGGGTTCGTCCCAAACTTCTGAACTCTATTAGAGAAATAGAGCTGCTCAGAATGAAGTTTCTTATATAGGAGTGTGAAGGGGGATTTCTCTTTCACCTTGTGTTTAAAATGAAAGCACTGTGATCAATAGTCACTAGAGGTCCAAGCCATGAGCTGAGTGACAAGGACAACCCATTAAGTGTGAGGAGTTGGGCTTGACAACCAAGAAAAGTTGGTCAAGCTGAACTTATCACAATTATCCTTTGGTGAAACGCCACAGAAATAAATGCCTTAAAAGCAATACTTAGGGATCTGTTGCATCTAGTGGTGTGGTAATTTTGTTTATATTTGAGTAATGCTACCTAATTAGTACTTGCAATAAAACCCATCAAAACAATATAAAATTACTAAAGGCAATAACAAAGCAGCTACAACGCACATTTTGCCAGTTAAAAACTCAATCTAATCTAATCTGTCTGCAATCAAAGCTCCTGGTCCCGGCCCCAATCAATCAACAGACACACACTCTCTCTCTCTCTCCTTCTCTTTATCTCTCTCTCTCACACACACATAAACATTAACATGGTCCCTGGCTTGATGTAGCTAAGGCAGTGAATGTAAAACAACGTTGAAATTCAAACTCACCCCTGCAGTTAGGTTTTCAAGGACCGGCTGAGTTCAAGTGATCCTGCTTTCATCACTAAATTGTAATGATTTACACTATCGCGGGGTAAAAGCACAGAGGAAAGTAGGCCATTCAATACGATTGGAACGCCCTTGAGAAAAGTTCTTGCTGGTGATGGTGCAAGCTGCACTGACGAGCCCTGGCGGAACTGAAATGGAAACAATAGCTCAACTGAACGTGCGCACACACTAGATTACGCACACTTAATAATACAACTAATTGACCTTCAGGCTGGTGATGAGTGGCTTCTAAGCTAGCTGTCTTTTTAACTGTTCTCAGCGCAGCCCTCAGAGGGTATGTTCACCTGACTGCCGCCTTATCTGTGAGCTCCTGTCTGGGACTGACACTCTGGCTGACTGACGCTCCCATTAATCACCACCGGCAGGGAGGACTGATGCGATTAGTCATCTCATTGATTCCTGTGAAAAAATAGCCTTTTGGAATGGGAGACTCTCGCTCACACAGCATTGATTTTGGTTCACCTCAATTTATTTTAATCACCTGCTAACTTGGAAGGAGGCTACCCCATTTGTTTTTTCTAAGTTCCCAGGGGTGCAAGGGTGCTGCTTCTCTTTTATTAGCAATGTACATGATAGCATATTCTCTTTCAGTCAGTTACAGAAGCAAACATTCATGACAACATCTACAAAACTTAGGGAGGGAAAAAACATGGGTAGACTTCAGAATGCGACACAACCAAAAGTGCTAATGATGAACTTCAAAAGCAGCTGAGTCGTGCTCTGGTCTTTTCCCCAGCCGCGGCCCGATTCTGCCATGTGGAGTTAAGTAGCAACAAACATATTTGAACACAACACCTGGGGGCAGATAGGCAGGGAGTTGAGGAAGGCAATAACCACTAACAAGCGCAGCCGAGTCGATGTGGTGAATGGCCCAACGGGGCCAATCATCTACCTCTATTCAGGGGCCCACCAACCCTCCCCATCCCCTCCCACCCTGAAGGCTCAAACCCCACCCCTCTTTCTGCGTTTGATCTCCTTTTTCGATTCAGGAAGGATGGACATGTCAGAGCAGAATGAAAAAAAAGAAGAAAAGAGGCAAAAATCGAGGAGGATGCTATTCAGCTGACTCCAGACCAAAACATTGGTGCTCCTTGATATGCACTGGAGAGAAAAACTGAGGCATGAAGTTATGGAGTTATACCAGGATGTACAGCGTTAAGTCAGATCACCTTTCTCACAGTGCCTCCCTTCACGTCCCATGGGACATTCGCATTTGTAGCCTCCCTCGGGCAGCGCCTGGCACTGGGAAGATGGATGGCACCTGTTGGGCTCGCATGGGTCATGGACGTCAGCACAAGTTGGACCTAGACACATACACATAAAAATCCCCCATGAGGAAACCATTTTCTCTTTTATTCCATCTGGGGGGAGGGAGGTAAAAAGAGGGTAGAGAAGCAGGGTATGTGGATTTCCTCTTTAATAGAGGTCATTTTCTAATAGGATTTGGAAATATTACACGGCCAGATTAAACAGTAGAGAGCCTCCCCGCCATGCGGCCATGTTTATGTGCCAACGCTGACTGTGGGAAAGGCTCAGGAGCGTCTGGTGGATGATGGTTTTGCCCTCTGCCACTGCCCATCTGAATTCACCCGTCATTATTTTAGCAGTCAGAGCCTGTGGTGAAGAGAGCACTTTAATGAACCCCATCCCCGCTGAGCTCACAAGGCTCCCCTCTTTCTCCTCACTCACGCTTTTAGAAGCGAGCTTTCATCCTCCGCTCTCACTTCTTCCCTACCACAGTTCTTTTTTCTTCTTCTTCTCTACTTCTCGCCCATCTTTTTAACTCTAAAACTCTCTCACTTCCCTCATTCACCAGGCTGTCCTGACATGTTCTCTCTACAACTACAACTCTCACCACCCATTTACTCTCTCTTCCTGCTTTCTGTGATCTGTCCCCCCTTCGAGAATGGCAATCTTGACCACTTTCTAAACTGACATGATGACAAAATTAACTTGAATGTGAGTCTGTCCCCATCCATGCCCATTTACTTTATGCCATGGTGCCAACACAACTTTGAACACAGAAATGCTTCTTCAGAGTGGAGTTAGCTTTACTTTTTACAGGCTTCTTAATAATGACAAATCATAACAGCATATCTTATATGAAAGGCAATAATAACGTAATGTGATTCTTTATTGATCCACATTTAAATTGGCTTGAGACTAGTCTGAAAGGTGGTTCCCTAACCACAGCCCCCATGTGTGTATAAAATCCTTTGCTATTCAAGCACAAAAGTTAACGCTGACAATTACTGCTGTGAAACTTTCTGCAGTAGGCAGCTATACAACCAGCAAGGGGCACGCTTGGCTAACCCCTGATGGTGTCTGTATTTAACCATATTCTCTCATAGTTCCTTGTTAGTTGGCATCTGCTGGAGGGAGAAAATGGAGGAGGAAGGGATGTGGAAGTACAGATAGGCCAAGGGCCATTCAGTGAGCATTTGGTGGTAGTTTTCATGTTTTCTGTGCTGTGTCAACATTTAATCTCTTATTTCGGTGTGGGACACACAGATTTGATGGTGTTGGTGTTTATAAAATGACTTCCAGCGCTCCTGCTGGGGGCATGAGTTACACTGTCAAATTAGGCTGTCAAGCTTACTTAGGATTTGTGAGTAAGTCATGACCACACTGAATCCCAGAAGAGAAGGAAAGTGAAGATTTTAACAAGGTGTTAGGAAGGAGTCTGGAAATTTCACATATGAAGTTATTTATTTTCTACTTATTTCTCAGCATTTAAACAGGAATAACCCTCTGAAAAATTCCCTGACTGTCCAGAAATCCCAGTATTACCATTAGGAACACTGTGGAACTGCACCGCAGATCCCTTTCATGTGCATCTTACCCCAAAATCCTTTGCTGCACTTGCAGTGGAACATCTCTGCCTCCTTGACCTGGCATGCAGCGCCATTCTTGCATGGATTTGGCTGGCAGGGGTTGTTGCCACATTCACCCACACCGCTGCCGTACAGACTGTCACCACCGTTCTCCTGCAGGTTGAGCACCCGGTTGTTGACATCCAGCAAGCGGATGCAGCCCACCAGACCTGTGGCCACCGCTGTCCTTTCCCTTACACTGCAGACAAAATGGTAAACAGAAATGATGTAATGTCTTTTAATGTCTGAGCCTGCAGCTACAATTATTACTACTGACTGCCGCTTAACACTGAGCTTAGTATTGCTGATACATTTAATACAGCAATGTACCTGAATATATTACAATAAAGGACCAGGTTGAAGAATAATTTGAGTCTTTTTAGTTGTTGATTGACTTCAGATCCTTTATGTTTTCCAAGATTTGGTCCAAGATGGACGTTCAAGACATTCTAACTTTCATTCCCAAGTATTTGACTACTGAAGAGGTGATGATATGATATTTTCATACATATTTATTTATATATTTTAATTCATTGGTCAAAGTGTCTCGTTACAACACGTGTTGAAAACCACGTTTCGGCTGCTTTTTGCTGTACTAAAAACTGAATGCTTTAGCAAACTAAACTGGAGATCCACCCCAAAGATGTAAGCAAGGCTGGACTACTAACTGGCCAACCCAGACCCCAATTGGCCCCTGGAGGTCTGAAATTTGTTGGTGTAATTTGATTAAATGGAAATTTCTTTTGGAACATGGACCTTTAAATATCAACTGAAATGAAAGGATCCTTAAGGTGGGTTCTAGAACACCTGTCTACCTGTCTAGTCCCCTGTGTCAAAATTGACATGGCACACATTTCTAAATTACCACAAAAAAGGGGTTCAATAGGGTTAACACAATAATGTGTAACTGGAGTGAGAAGGTCTTACTCCTGCTTCATTTCCTCGGGCACTCCTCCAATGAACAGGTGGGTGTCGAGGTTGAGGCCGTCTGTGCCGTGTGGACTCTCGCCCACGATGTGCGGCTCGTTGTCCACGCTGAGCATGGCGCTGCGCCGGTTGCGTGTCACCACCAGCTGATGCCAGCGGCCCTGATTGATTTGTACTTTGCTGACCACTGTCCCTGTCCCCGAACCTGTGTTGAACCTGAGAAGTAGAGACACAGAGCATGTCAGATGCTTATTCAGTCAACTTTATCCAACAATCACTAATCATTATTCCTGTATCACACTTCATATGTACAGCAGCTAAGGAGGTTATTATCCAAATTCTGTTTGTTCTTTATCAAGCAAAGCCTAATGACTGCAAGAAATTTGCTCATATTGCTCAACAAGAAAGAGAGAAAGAAAAGAAAGGAAGGTCCCATTTGAGATTTCAAACTATGTGACTAGAATGAGGCAGTAACGCTCTTAAAAATGTGGTCCACACCCTCTTTTTAATTAAACCTTTTATCTAATGAGGTTTTGTTGAGAAAAAGGCCATATCATCACAGAAAGGAGATGCTGTGTATGTGCACCTACACATATGGGAGAATTAGCACAACCTGAGAGCAATTATCTGCCACAAATAATTAGTTCTTCTCCCCACGTCTTGGATTTACAGAGCTGTGGGTGGTAATCTCACAGCTGTATTTCTGGAATTGAGGCAGCGCTCCATTTGAAAGCACAAGTGACTAATGATCTCCTTTAGTTTGCTATTGATTTCGCCCCGAATAGAGAGATCTAACCTGGCCAGGTTGGGAGGAACTGAAAGGGCTTCAAGGGGCCAGGATGAAACACAAGACCCAAAAGATAAGAAAAGCGGGTGGTGTTTGAAATAATAGGTCCAAAACAGACAAGCTGCAGAATATCTAATTAGTCCATTCACGGTTCTTGTGAAGACGCTGCCTGACCCTAAATGGTTTCACATACAATTCCACTGTATGGGATGAGATAAATACTTAGTGTATCTGCAGGTTTTTGGCAGTAAAAATGTCTAGTCTTTGGATGAAACTTTTGGTTACTGTCAGCTATAATCCAAAAGTGATACTAGCCTCACAGTAGATCCTTTTTGACATGTTATGGAATAATACTCTGGATTTGAGTCTATTAAACAGAAAGTAATCATTGCAAAGAGGGTGTGGAGATGAATGTCCAAGTTTTTGGAGTTGGACCTATACTAGGGACTAAAAGTCAGGACATCTCGGCCTAGGCTGCATTGATTTTGGCAATTGATATTTAAAACAATGTGTCATTTGTTAAATTGTTTTATTTTATAAACATTTATTTATTCAGAGAAGTTTCACTGAAAGGAAGCATGTCTTTTGCAGGAACGCTCTGATCAAATTCACACAGTTACACACGTGGAAGCTCCGTGTCACATGCCCGCTTCTGCAACCTTTAGGCCACCACTGCCTCTTGTGAGTATTACAGTTGGATAGAAGCGCAATACCAAATCACCGCAGTACTCTTAGATACACAATACAAACTATGCACGTATCAGATGCAAAATCAAACATATATATCATAGACAATGTCAACCACATGAATCAAGGTTGGACAAAAATATCTTATATTAACAGTGTTAGTATTATTATGATTAGTATAGTATATATAATTCAATATCCAAATATTAACAAATACACAATATAGAAGAATATCTGGAAACTTAGAGATATAATCAGATGGGATTTAGGGTATATACTCTTCATAACTCTGTATGAATCGTCTCAGATGGTTGGTCATTTTACCCAACCACAACATAAATCATCATATTAAGGTTTATAACTGTATATATTTAAGAAAAAAGCTTTTAATAAATGGTTTTAAAGTGCGTGAATAAATCCAGAATTGTAACCCTAATCCTCAAGGTAGGCAGCATCAGTGCGGCGCATGTGCAGGAGTAGCGTGTATGTGTGTGTGTGTGTGTGTGTGTGTAGTGGCAGAAGAGGAATTTGCTGTAGAGCCTTAACTTCACCGTTGTTATGCAACCCCCCCGGTCAACTATAGGCTAGACTTCACAATGCTGATTCGACTATGTAAATCCTTAGTCGGGGACAGCCCTACTCTGTTTATATATGTGGTTAAAATTACATATGAAATGCCAAATGTGGATTTCCTGTAAACATTTCTGCGCATATGTTCCCACCATCTGTAAATGTGATCATGTGAACAGTTTATTTGCAAGTTATTTGGAACATGTTTCTGAAAGCAGGCATTCATAGCCGTAACCTACAAATCTGTCAAGAAGCTTCTGTGTCTTCATTTTCTGGCAGTGGGGTTTTCAGCTCTTTACATGCTGTACTTATTTGCGTCATTATCTTCAGAACTCTCTATTTGTTTTATTCTTATCTACATCATCTCTCAGTGTACGCTGCAATGACCATCAAAAATAATCAAATAAAAGCTGCAGAATAAGAGGCCGCCGTCACTCTTAACTCGCTCACCTGAGCTCCACCCTGCCATTGACCAGAGACAGAGAGATGAAGTCCTTCTTGCGATCCTGGCCATTGTAGAGCAGGATGCCGGTCGTCTCGGATGCTCTGAACTCCATAGCAATGCGGACCGTGTGATAGGCACTCATGGTTTGAAAAGCCAAGTACGATTGGCCTCCAAATGACGGGATGAAGTACTTGATCACTGTGGAGGAATGAAGACAACAAGCCAATCCTGTCATTACAACATGATTTGCTTTATCATGGCGTAATAGGCATTTAATGTGCGTAATTAAGTGTGAGCGGAGGTGGTGTGTCACTGGCTCTTGATGACAGAGAAATAAGCCTTTCAGTCAGTTTATTTTAGGAATGATGTTTTTCCTAAATGCTAGATGAGTTTATCAGAAGGAGAAGGTCGAGAAAGAGGAGGAGCTGAGCTTTTCACCCACCCTCAAGTCACAGGGATTAACACACTCATGCACACGTGCATAGGAAGCCTTTGTTTTTCCGCCACTCGACAATTATGATTATTATCATCCATTTTCTCCCCCGGGCTTTTCTCTCCGTCCATCTGTCTTTCTGTCTGTCTCTCTGAGGAGAATGGCAGCTGATGAGCTCACTCTTTTCTAATGACTTGATTGATCTGGGGGAGGCTGGCGTGCAGATTGTGAGTGTGTGTGTGTGTGTGTGCGCGCATGCATTTAGCCACTCTAACTCAAAGACACACAATGATTCTCACCAGCTAATCCCCATCAAAGCAATTAGTGTCAATTATCTTAGGATGCAGCTGCGTGAGGTTGCTCCACATCCCCAAAAAAACCCAAAGTAGGGTAAAAGGGAAGAAACAAAAGAGTTGTGCTTCTCAAGAAGTTCTCCTTGATTTATGATTTTCTCCATGGTGCTGATTGGATTCTGTGTTGCATTTGGTTAACGGCTCAGCGGTTGCTTACATCTGAGGTTATACCTGTTTGAATCAATTGAGATGGGTTTGAAGCACAGCCACCGGGGAGAGATGTTGTTTTTGACTCAATCACACCTCAACTCTTTGTACTATAAAACTGACATTCTGTTCTGAGCTCTGATTGCTGTTGTCTTGTTGAGCTTTTAATGACCTAATAAATCCACATCTGTGGCCACATAACATTTCATTTACATATTCCAGTACTAACTGAAAGTCATTACTCACACTGCTATTTAAGGTGTCACTTTGCAGCCACTTTGTGAAGCTGCAATTAGACAAAAATACTGCTTAAAAGAAGGATTTTTTTACTTCTTTAAAATGAAAGTTTCATTAAATTAAACATTCCTTTAATATTTTTTTTTTTTATTATAATGGTGTGTCTCTGCTACTTTATAAATATATAAAAGCACTTGAGGATGTGGTTAGCAGTGATTATACAGCTAAAAGGCATGATTGGCACAATGGAAAACTGAGTCCCTAAAACCCTCTTAGTTGCTGCAAAATCACGGTAAATGTCAGCCTTTGGTGGTTTCTTTGAAATTGCTAATTGCAATAGTAACAAATTATAGGAAAAGTCTGTTCCAGCTCATTTTCTTAGATGACTTTGAAATAAGCTCAGACTTTGAAAATTTTGTTTAAAGAGTAATAACAAATATGGGACAAGAAATAATTCCTAATATACGAAAATGAAGAACAAACACTTACACTTTTCACACACTGAGCCTCCTCGCCCTGCGGGGCACTTGCAGCTGAAGTCGCTGCCATTGTCCTCGCAGGTGCCCCCGTGGAGGCAGGGGTGGGAGCTGCAGGGCTTCTGAGCCTTGTGGTGAAGCCTACCCCTAACATGGGCTATGGTGGTGGCTGGAGGCTGCGCAGTTGTGGTGACAGCTGCCGTGGTGGTGGTGGTGGTGGTGGTGGTTGGAAGAGGCGTGGTGACCGGCACTGAGGTTGTGGTGGTACGTCTGCCATTGTAAGGCCTGCGAGTAGTGCCTGGTGGGCGACGGGTGATGTATGGAGAGGTTGGCACAGGCCTGGTGGTAGTCGTGGTGGTGGTAGGAGCAGCTGTGGTGATTGACGCCGTGGTGGTGGTAGTGGTGGTGAAGAAGGGGATGGAGGAGAGGCCTGTCAACAGAGCCGGAGAGAACAATGAAAATTAGAAAAAGAAAAAGAGATGTTAAAGTAAGTTGAGCCTGTGGCCTTGAGATTTCCTATTCAAGACCTGTAAAACCTTCGATAAATCACCTCATGAATAACTTAAAACCCCTTTTCATTTTATTAATCCCCACACACTCCTGTTAAGTCCACACTTTATTACCATAATTGGTGAAGCGGATATTCTCATCCTCTGGCTTCTTCACGGCGATGCTGGTCTCTTTGGAGGCCTTCAGCTGTTTCAGCAGGGCCCCTTCCATGTCCTCCACTGTGTATCTCGTATCTACAATAAACAAGTGGGACAACCACTCAGGACAAGGCCTCAGAGGAGCACTCCAAAGCAAATACAGGACTCTGATTTCTTTAGTGGGTACAATAGATACATTAGAAAGCCCTGTGTATGACAGGTGGAGAGTCTCCAGAGACCACTTGTCCTCCACCTGCTGCTTGTCCGGCTTATTTCCAGATGAATTGCTCTCATAATATTTGCTGCATATGTTGTGGCCATGGAGGATCGCTGCTTATGGTATGAAGGATGCTATATGACGCACATAAAAATTGATTTTGAGTTCATATACATATATAAGACTTAGTCTTTGCCTTACACTGGTATTACTCTTACAAATCAGCATTATGTAGGTGTGCAATTTGTCATAATTGAAAATATAAGCCTGTGATTACACCTTTAGTGGCGTAAACAAATCCTTAACAGATTAAGAAAGGATTAGTGGCCCACATTTAGTTGTCTAGTTTTTGTCACTGTATTAAAACAGTTGTGTCAGTCAATTTCAGAGTAACTTTCACCTTCCATTCCCATTTTGAATTTTGTTGGGTGCACGTCTTTTTCTCAATATCACAAATGATACTTTTAACTGTAAATGAGACACAGAGAGAAACAGAGCACCAGCCAACAATCTCAACAGCATGGTCATTTACCCGGCACTGATGAATAACAAATACCAATCTGAAAATCGAAGCAAAGGTAAAAACCTTCTAATGATGTTGTGGTATTTTTTTATACTGGCGCAGATTGTTGCAAGCAAGAGATTAAAGAGGCATTGAAAAGAAAATCAAAAAAATATCCAAATGAGAAAAAACATTCAGTGCCTCAATATTATGAGCTAAATAATAAATAAGTGGAAAGCACTCAAAGAAGGCATACCTCTGCCAAGGATGCACAATCCTCTAAATTTGTTATTTTAATAACAGAAATGTTTAGGAGTGTTTAACCTGCATCCAGATCTGCATCAGAATACAGAGAGCAATAGAACACCTTAATGATTTTTTGTTAATGAATTGAATTGAATTGTGTAAATCTTCAAGTAAAGCATGCCTATTGAATCACAGTCATTTAAATTAGTTTTGCTGCTTGTAGTTTGCAGGATCACTCAGTGGTTATTCACAGGTACTATTTGGTTGCTGCTGCACAATTACTTTTAAGAATAATGGGAATTTATGTCAAAGAGGCCACACCTGCAAGAACTTTGTAACAAGTTATAACAGAACTGTACTGAATATTCAAAATGTTATGCACTATATTAAGTGAAGACTGAATGAAATGTGTAGAAAGAGTAATAAAAAAACAATATGTAAACTCTATAAGAATAGAGTGCTGGACCAAGAATTCCAGCAGAGAACTAATTTTGCCTCTCGGTCTTACAGTCCAAGAGTTACAAGTGAAAATGGAAAGTGCTTTAAAAATGGGGATATGGTGGCTTATTCTGCATTAAAAACTAATTAGGTCTTCCTTGGCCATCCCAATTTTATTTAAGTCTAGCAAGTCATTTTTAAGATGACTTGCTTGAAGACAGAGGAACAAACGATAACTGAATCCAACCACACAGTGCATCTCTCTCTTTTGGCTGCTGTAATTTGCCATTTTTGAGTTGTTTTTGTTTTTAAATAGTCTGCTCTCTTTAAAGATCTCTCACCTGGTTTGAAGTGTGCCTCCACAAAGGCCAGGATAGAGTTGCTGGGCGCCAGGTTACGAACACGAACACTCATAAAGTCTTTGCGCACCTCCGATTTCCTGAACAACTCATTGAGCTGAGGAAGAAAAAGAGAGTGAGCAGGACAGAGAAAGAGTTGGAGGAGAGAAGAGGCAGACAGAAGAGATGATAAATGAGGCTTGTAATGAGCTCCACACTATCATAGCAGCGAGTCCAATTCCAGAAGACTGTACTTTATCTCCATAGAAGAAAGACTGCCTCTCAAACTGGGGTGCAGAGAAGAAACTATCAGGTGTTGGTACACAAATTGACATTTAGCTGCAGTTGTGGCATTAATTATAGAGATACGTTTTCGGGAGGAGCTAAGATAAATGTCATGCTACCTCGACACCCTAACCTGCTCCTGATTGATTTAGCTTCTGATGCACCCCCCTGTGTGCAAGTTGCAACAGCGAGAAGAGCCCCATAAGGAGGTTTGAATAAAATGTTTTTTTAACCAGCAGTGAGATAGAAGTTACACTCAAGTTGCCTTTAGCCAAAATTCTGTGCCAAAATTTTATCTTAAAATTGGACCATTTTCATACTAGAATTTTAAAAAGTTACATATACAATACTCAATGTTCCCCCACATTTCTGTTCTTGTCTGTGTGGTGGTGGATTAATTACATTCGCAAGCTCGAAAGCAACAAGAAACAAGAGGAAACTCTTCAGCCTTGTCCTCATTTGTGTTGGTCTGTTGGTTAAAATAGCAGGAGCCACAGGGCCTGCTGACCCGCTGTACTGGAGCATCCTCTGAGTGGCCGCTTCCATTGTTTCCAGTGAATGCTCCTCTACACGCCCCATCTGGATCTCACTGATTTTTACTGAAGTCAATCACTGTCTACCAAATAAAATTGCCAAATTATGTGATATCTGAATTAAAGTGACATATTCAGCTGTGGTAGATGTGGAGAATACTAGTCATTTTGCTCAGTCTTAATAGTTATTGACTGTGGAGTTCATTCGTTTGTTAAGTTATCACATTATCACATAAGGTGTAATACTCAGCAACCACCAGCTTTAGGAATCAGATTACTTCCTACATGTACAGAACACCTCTAATTTGTGGGCTGAGGTGTGACAGAAAAGTAGAAAGTAAATAAAATCCTCCAAAGCAGCTTAGGGATAGAAATGGTGGGGGACAAACTCTCGTGTGGACACAGTAACCCAGACACCTCCTCATGTTTCTTTCCTCTCCTATTTTTCTCACATATCCTAATTTATTCAATAATTGTAACAGGTTGCTGTGGTGCAAAAGAAATGTGCTGCAGCTTGATTCTTTGTGTGTGTCTATACGGTACATCTGTACTTTGCGAGCATGCGTGTGTATGTATGTATGTAGTGTGTGTGTTTGAAGTTGAAGAGGGGGTGGTGGCTGTCAAGTGGCACACCGGGCTTCAGAGACACACAGGCTAAGAATGTTAACTGGCGCACAGACACACACGCACAAATGGCTGTGAGGCAGTAGATTACGTCCCAGTGGGGGTTAGTGACACAGATTCAACAGCTGGTAGATATGTGCTGTGTATACCGACACACACGTCCCCATTTCATCAGAGGAGCAAGGCCCTGGCTTGGCAACAGAGTTATATGTTCAGCAGTCTAAGCTCAACACAGAATATGGACAGTGGAGAAAGCCGTGCTGTACTGTACATGCTCTGTACCTGCCGGGGCCTTGGGAACTGGCATCGTGAAAAATCAATTAATTAATTGTGTAATTAATCTCACATGAGATGCTGCTGCTTTCTGGTGCTGTGAAGTGTTTGGCAAGCAACTGACAAAATTATTCTTTGCACAATTATGCAGAGAGCTGTTAGTTCTTTTTATTGTTCATTTATTAAACTTTAAGAGTTTCAGGAACCCTCATGTAATGTATATGCTAACTCAGCCCTAAAGCTTGCATGCATCTTGAGATTAAAAGCACCAGCCAAATTCTATGAACATATTTAATGAATCAGTACTACATGTGAGGAAATTTTTAGTCTAGAATTCTTATTTTGATGTTAATGTTTGGGGGGAATAATTATTGAACCACCACAATAGGCCACAATCATGTGAAGGGTCTTGTTTTGTTCTGATCTACTTCCGTAGGTCGAAAAAAAAGAATTCAGTCACTATATTCTTTCCTATGGGTCACCTGATGTTACAGTTTGCCAATATTCCTTTTATTAAAATCAAATATCAGCCAGCCTGTGTTGTCTCTCTCTGATATTATGTATGTTCCTCCCAGACCGCAGCCAGTGAATTTGATTTTTTATCATTGTTATTTTTCTATCAGATGTCTGACCAGAGAAATCACTCCAGCTCAGTGTGGCAGAATATTACTCAACAGCTTCAGGGGTGTCAAGTCTGAAAACCAGCAACGAAGCCTCAATGAGCCCACCGAAAGGAGCTCAAAGAATTTGATTAGTCTGGCTCTAGGTGAAGAGTGTTAGTGTCTCATGATGCTTTAAATGTTGTTTCAGAAGCTTTTCCACTCATTGACGCAACGATTTAAAATGGGACTATACAACTTTTGTTGAACATTGTCCGCTGTGTCCACATGATTTCAACATTATGATTCATTTGCATTTGTGTTTCTGGCCAACTTACTACTGTAACTAATATTCACTCTCCTTTTAGCTTTGATCTCCCCCAAAGCACCCTTGTAGAGTGTGTTTGTCATAGTTTTTTTGTTGTTGCTGAAAACAGCTGCCTGCTGCAGCTAGAAATGGTGTCAAAGAGAGCGATGTTTGCAGGCTAAAAGGCTCAGTAAAGCTGGAGATATACACATAGTCATTACATAGTCTTTACATAATCCTTTGATCCATAGTAAAAATATAAAATGTTGATTAGTGCAGCTTTAAAGAAATCCTCATAATTATTAAGGAGATGTGTTTTATTGCCTGAGTTCAACTTTTAATTCATAGCATTAAGATTGTGTTATTTCTCACTTTAACTGTGAAATGTAAACAAGTTAATATCAGTTCAATATTGTCTTATGGCAGATTTTGCCAAGAAATAGATTGCTACTTGAATTGTATTCCAAACGCTACAGCTCAAACATCACTTACAGCACTCTCTATGCTGCGGGCCGTCTCTCCAAACAGCTCTGACTTGGGGTCCTCCATCTCGGGGGTGTAGAAAATCTCTTGGCCCTCCACCTGGTCCAAGTGCAGGAAACCGCTGAACCTCATGGTGGCTGGAAGGAGAGGAGGCGAGGAAAGAAGATGATACTAAAAGACCATAGTTCAAACCTTCTTCAATCACTCAGTTCCTGCTGCCTTCACACTGTGCTCATTTTGGGGTAGTGCCACTTTTGGGTTAGTGATGGATTGTGTGTTTGTGTGTGTTTGACAAGGGGAGGTTAGTGAGTTTGTTGCTGATTGTGTGGGAGTTTGGCCATTAAAGGAGGACGTAGTGGTGGTGGAGGTGGTGGAAGATGTGGACTGTGAGATATGAGAGAAGGGAGGGAGGAACAAAGAAGGAGTGAAGGGAAGGTGGAAAAATGGGCCAGTTTTACCAGACTGAGACTCGTCCCAAAAGCTGGCCGAGGCATGAAGGGCTGAGTAAAAAGACAACAAGTTAGACAGACACACAAAATCATGAAGGAAAAACAACACACACACAAGAGAGGAAACAGCCCACAGGCACTCTCAAAAGTGCCCTCTTCAGCAAAGAGACTGTGCAACCTTGGGGGTTATGTTGTCCAACATTTATCAGCTCTCTATTTGGTTTCTTCGTACTGCCACCAGAGAGGAGAGGGCTTGAAATAAAGCTAAAAGTGGAGGGGATTTGTGTGTTTGTGTGAGGGTGTAGAACGGAGCATGTGCACGGTGCTGATGCCGTGCTTCCACGCTGCTCTTAATCAGCAGAACAAATTGCCCAAATCAATCATGGCTTCGCCTGCCTGAACAATGCCAGGGAGAACAGGAAGAGCACTTGTATGATTATGGTGAAAGATAACCATAATTGTCTCTTAAATGCCGCCACACCAGTTACTGACACAGCCTGGTTAAAATTACATGAAAAGTAGACAAGGCCGACTCAGTGGCCGCATTCCCTCCGTCTCCCCTCGTCTTTACAGTACTTTCACGGGCAGCACACATTTATTTAGATGTGACAGCGGCCATAAAATAGAGGCAAATGGGCGATGTTTGGTCAATCAGACAAAGGGGGGAGAAAGAAGAGAGGGGACAGCGAGAGAGATCAGACTTTTAATCTGCAAAGAAGACAAACATCAGAGACGGTGATTTTCCAGCCCACTGCTGTGACGACCATTAAGAAAGGAAGAAAGAGAATGATAAAAGAAGGGACAGAGCGATTTGACTATCAGATTCTAGTGAACTGTAAAATGCAATGGATTTGTCAGACTTCCACTGGCATATGGAAGAGTTTACGGGGAGCTGGAGCTTAGCGTGCCATTAATTTTCACACGAGCATTTGCTGGTCATAATCTTTGATGTCCTATGAATGGTAGTGCCTTGTTTAAATGTAACATATGGAAGGCCTGCAGTGATTTTCTTGAACAAAAAAAACAATCTGGCTAAGGAACTAATGTTGCACTGAAGCTTTTTTGGCCTTATAGTTCTCAGAAGAACATATCGCAACTGCAACTTGCAAATAACCCCAAATCTCCACGGCTGAATACCACTACATGTAAGTGATTGTAATTTGAGCGAACTGAACCTTTAATACATTCTTAACCAAGCTCTCATAACCACTGTGAAGCTTTCCAACAGAATACAAAAATGGATCTCCTTGAGTGTGTCAACGTGAGGACTACACTCAACCTTGAGCCACTTCACCAATTTCACTTTTGGAATAGCGAACAATTAGTCCTTTTTGTTTTGAGACACCCAGGCACACTCAATAAATTGAATGGTACAATGAGATGATGCCCAGTGGATTGGTGATACGCATTTCAGGAGAACAAAGATCCAGCATATCGATCAGCCTATCTTGTTGCCTGCTTTTATTGGTAACACTTGAGCTGAATGAAGTATTGATTACTGGGATGTCATTGTTGGCTGAGATAAATATTTACAGGGCTTTTTGTAATTTTTTTTTTTTTAACAGCTGTACAGCTTAAACCTGTTACAGGAGGTTATATAGTACATGCTCCTGTAGTCGCCTGGATTTGGGGCCTCAAAAGATGTGGTGTTCCATGTTTCACCTCTGTTTGGCTATAAAATCTGTGAAAGAAATAAATGCAGTAGACTGTGAAAGGCCAAAGGTGGCCTCATATCTTCAGATCATGTTGTGGATCGGGTGGCAGTGAACTGTGCTGGTTTATTGGAAGGCTTTGGGACCTTCAACACGCCAGTAATGCAGCTCTGTGCACTAATTTGTGGCCTTAGCTCTGTCAAGTCATGACCTGGAGCCTGAGAGAATCCCTCTTTTCACAATCAGTCAGACTAACGCCGCTGGGACAAACAGAAAGCAGATTTCAACTGAGGGATGGAGGGAGAGAGCGATACAGAGGCAAAGGGGCGACAGAAGCCCTTTATCTTTATGAACTGAGTCTGGCAGAAGGCACTGATTGGTACAACCGTGCTCGTCGGCCTTTGGTAGTCTCTTGATTCTCTACCAGCTCAACTCCAGAGAGAAATGAACTGATGCAAGAGCGTACTGAGATTGACTGAGGTGAGGGAGAGAAAAGAGTGAGATATAGCTCAAGAAGGAGATACCGAACAGTGGCACTGTCTGATAAAGAGAACAATGTGTGTGTGTGTGGGGGGGGGGGTAACAAGAGAGGTGGGAGATTCTAAGAAATAGAAAGAAGAGATTAGACACTGTAATGCTTATTTATAAAGCAAGACACAGGGGCCCTAAATATGATGGTGACTCAAACCAAACTTCTGGAGAAAAACTAACTTCTAGAGATAATTAAACTCACTGGGGATCAAGCAGGATACAACTAATATCAGAGTCAGACTGTCAAGTAGTGTCAAATTCATAAATATGGATTACTGAGGTCAGACTTCATGTTTTACTGTGTGTGTGTTTTTTTTTTCTTCCCTGGCACCTGCCAATAGGATCATTTACATAAGAGGGCGGTGATTCATGAAAGTGCCACTGCAGAAATAAATACCACCTGTTCATGGGGTTGTTTAAGGCAGATGGCACAATATCATTATTCCAGAAGTAAACATCAAATATGAACAAAATATTATCAACGTATCAACAAATTAAGGTTATGAAATCAAGACAGGAGTTTGAAAACAACAACGCTCCAACAACAAGCATTCTGTGCATTGCCACACTGCATTCAGGACCAGTGTCTGGCAAGTTTTTCAGAAATTGTACATACATTACTGCACTACTTTCACTACCTTCCACACCGTACCTTTCAAAAAGTGAGTTGACAACCTGTTTAGCCAGCTCATTTTCTGATTGAATCCAGCTTATTGGAACAATGATTAACGTTAGGAGTCGACACTTAGCCAAACTGAAAGCACTGCAGTCTCTCAAACCAGATGATGCTATACAATATAGACATTCTTTGTTTAGCTTTTTGCTAGCAGCAACCTTGCCCATACGCAGTATACAGTATACCAAATCATGTTCTGGTAATGCAGTAATTCTGCGTTACTTGGTTTAACAATTTCAAACATTTGTGAAAGAAAGGGTCGCTCTCAGGAGCTCAGTGAATTAAAGCGTGTGTTTGTGATAGTTTGCCACCTGTGCAATAAGTCCATTTGTGAAATTTCCTTTCTGCTAAATATTCCTGTTAGTGGTGTTATAACAAAGTGGAAGCGATTGGGAACAACAGAAACACAGCCATGGAGTGGTAGGCCACATAAAATCACAGCGGGGTCAGCTCATGCTGAGGCACAGTGCACAGAAGTCGCCAACTTTCTGCAGAGTCAACAGCTACAGACCTCTAAATGTCGTGTGGCCTTCGGAGTAGCTCAAGAACAGCGCGTAGAGAGCTTCATGGAAATGGTTTCCATGGCCGAGCAGCTGCATCCAAACCTTACATCACCAACTGCAATGCAAAGCGTCGACTGCGGCGGTGTAAAGCGTGTAGCCGCTGGACACTAGAGCGGTGGAGACGTATTCTCTGGAGTGACGAATCCCGCTTCTCTGTCTGGCTATCCAATGGACGAGTCTGGGTTTGGCGGTTGCCAGGAGAACGGTACTGGCCCGACTGTATTGAGCCAAGTGTAGAGTTTGGTGGAGGGGGATTATGGTGTGGGGTTGGCCCCTTACTTCCAGTGAAAGGAACTTTTAATGCTTCAGCATACCAAGACATTTTGGACAATTTCATGCTTCTAACTTTGTGGAAACAGTTTGGGGATGGCCCCTTCCTGTTCCAACATGACCGCATACGAGTGCACAAAGCAAGGGCCATAAAGACACGAATGAGCGAGTCTGGTGTGGAGAACTTGACTGTCCTGCACAGAGTCCTGAGTCCGATAGAACACCTTTAGGATTAGAGCAGAGACTGCGAGCCAGGCCTTCTCGTCCAACATCTGTGCTTGACCTCACAAATGCACTTCTAGAAGAATGGACAAACATTCCCATGAACACACTCCTAAACCTTGTGGACAAGCATGAAGGCTTTGTGTTGGTGAGCTTTTTAGAGGTGTTGGCTTTAGATGCTTATTGACTATATCTTAGAATATGGATATTAAATTCCAGGAAGATGTTTAACTTTTTCAAAAAGACCAATGAAAGAAACTCCCTCATAGCAGTTTGAGTTTATGTGACTTAATGAAAGAGATACATTTAGTCTTAGAAGCTAGTGGAACAGCAGCAAGCCCGAAAGTGAAATAAAGACGCTCTTATCATATTTCTTAATACAGTACCAACTGACAAAAGAGACAAAAACACAGAGGGTGAAGAACAGGGTAATAGTCAGGTCATTATAGGTTTTTGAAGGGGCGTTTTGACTTACAGGGGCAGTTGGCGCCCTCTGGAGTGCTGGACGGTGTCTTGCCATCAGGGCAGCAGCCGAACTCTGTGTTGTCACAGGATGACCGGTCCTCAGCTGTGGGTACAGTGGTACTTGCTACCGTGGGACCTGGAGGTGATACACAGGGGTTCATAATAATTCACAAAGCTTCAAGAAAATTCAGAAATTCAGGCTAGCTTATCTAAAAGACCCATAGTAAAGCTATTTTTCTTTAAGCGAGTAATTTTTCTAAGATCAAAACCTACAAAAGATTTTTCTCAACTTGCTCTTGCTTCTGCAGATGGTTGCGTTTTTACAGTCCGCTGACCTGTGACTGGTTGCTAATAGAGGCATTTGTCAGGAGTGATTGTATGGCATTTTCATGGGAATTTTACACCTGGAACTCATTTTGTCAGACAGAGAACACATAATAGAGACTGTTGCCAGTCATGTCACATACAGAACACTTTAAATGATAAGGGGATGTGATAACGTCTCACTGCTGATTGGCTGACAGTTACCTTCAAGGCTTCCCAGGAGAAAAAAAAAAACCATACAGTCGTGTTTGCGTTACGGTCACTATATATCTGGCTATCTAGGGACATAAAAGACATAAAAGTGGATGGGCTTTCTCTCTCTGATGAATGAGAGTGTGTAACAGCAGTGAAGCTCTGTCCTCCCTAATGATGGTGTTGGTGGAGAGGGTGTCTTGGTCGAAGAGACGCAGTTTATGGCCGCAAAGAGATTAGAAATAATCGTGCAGGCAAACAGCTATCAGCTAAACAAGTCATAAAGACGTCAGAGGGAAGGGTCGTTCTGCTCAAGGACTCACGGCCAAAGGAGAAGGAGAGGAGGGAGGTGGAGAGGGAGAAGGGGAAGAAGCTGGGGTTTATAGGGCATCTGTGGGCATGTGGTCTGCAGATTTACAGATGCTGTGCTAAAGAGGAAGGCGCTGGTGGGGGAAAGAGCACAGTGCAGCAAGGGGACGCTGCATGACCCCAGTGGGAGCCATGAAAGCTGTCAAATAAATACACACACACACACACACGGCACAGATAAATGCCGATTTCAACAGAGACACAAAAACACGTTCGAATGCACATCTCTGACCTGCTCACATTTATACACTCAAACCATGATATGTGCACTTGGAATTAGACACACTCAGTGACATGAGCCATGGCGAGATAAGACTAACACACACACACACACACACACAAAACAAAGACGTACAACACACACGCACATTGAAATTATGAACACAGATCAGTGCTGATTTTAATATCCACGTTGAAATCTGCACTGTACCATCTCCTAATCTGCTCACACGTTCAGATTGATGTGTGCACGGGTGCTTCAGCAAGCACACACAATGTAAAAAACATCCAGGCATGCTTGGGTACACATTAATTCACACACATATACACACACACATAAATACACACAGCTGCAAGACACCAGGTCTCCTTGGCAGACAGGCTACATGCTCCTCGCGTCACCGAGCACTCTGGTCAGCCTCTGACAAGAGAATAAATCTAAGACTCAGGGAGGAGGAGCGAGAGGGGAGGAAGAGGAAGAGCTGAGGAAGAGCACATTGGGCCACGCTGTGCCATCAATCCTGTCCCGTTACTGCAAGCTGTCAGACGAGGTGGATGGATGGATGGAAAACAACAACAGAAAAATAAAAAAGGTCTGATTGAAAGTCTCAGTCATCCCTTGTTGTCCAAGCAGAGGCCCAGAAACCGCAGCCTGCTGTTACAGTCAGGAGGGCATGTCGAGAAAGATTTGAGACTAGTCATGTGACATGGTTCGCAGCCTCCACACAAACTTACACCTCATCCTCCCAGTCACATCAGCCTGTCAAGTCAGGCTCCAGAGATCCCCAGATGCGGGCCAACAGTTTCATCCGGCCTGCCGAGTGTATTTTACAGAGCCAGGGTTTGTTTTGCTAGCTGTCGAGAGCGAGAGCGCCGGTGGAATGGGAGAAAAGAGCATTGGTGATGTAGCAACAGTGAACCGTGCAAATACATTCCTTTATTTCTGAAATTGAGATATGCATCTTATGTAAGTGGAAACGACACTAACAGCAATCTCTTCTGGGCCTGCCTGGCTTTGACATTTGTCTCTTAAAAACAATTTGCATACAAATAAATCAGCCTCTGTTGATGTTAATGTAACTTTCAATTAACTGATGATGGTATGAATGTGTTATGATGTCAGCTAAGAAGAGACTATGAGTTTTTCCAACCCCTTCTTGAAAAAAAGGCCCCTCCCACATAACCCTCAAAGCATTATGGATAATGAAGTGAAAGAGCAGGGATTTACCGACAGGCTCCTCTGCCCCACTGGCCTCCGTTGGGATGCCGCTACCTCCTTCCACTTCCTGCTCATCCTCTTCTTCAGTCGCGTCGTCACCGCTTGGCTCGCCGCTGCCCGAGCCCTCGAAGGAAGTTGCAGCGGCAGACGGGGCAGGGCTGCTGCGAGAGGAGGAGGTGGTGGCAGCGGTGGACTGCGGCTGGATGTGGATGGGGTGGCGGTGGTTTGCTCGTGCGCGGTTGTGGGTGAGGGGGGAATAGGGGGTGGTGGCTGTGGGCTGCTCAGTGGTCTCGCTTTCGGCCGTCCTCGGAGGCGGGATGGCCCACACGTTGTTGGGGTGGAAGGGGGCAGGGGTGGTGATGGAGGGGTTGGGGGTGGGTCGGTCTGCCGGCTCAGAGATGATTTCTGGTGGGGGGAAGGGGAGGAAGCAAGGAATGGATGAATGATTGAGCAAAGATGAAAATGTTTGATTTTGCTTCCCCTAACTTCATTACAACCTCAAAAATCACAGCAAAGGAATTAAAAACATCATTTGTCAATAAATCATAACAAAGCCACTTAATAATTATTACAACCTACTGTTGACAATAACTTTTTACCTCTGCATTTACTGAATTATGATGTGCTTTTTAATCTTCTAACCCCTCTCCCTGATGCTCAACAATGTCATTATGAAATTCCATTAAAAATTAATATATATACACAAGTGCACGCACACACACACACACACACACACACTTGCTAGCTCCTATTTGTAAAAGCAACCTCTGATTAAAAACCCTGCAATGGATGAAATGTCAGGAATCTTTATATGACAAACCTTAAGTAATGAAAGTGCATCCATATGCAGAATGAATATGGAATATGCCAACAGATGACATACAGCTTTCAGAGTTATATGTGTGTTTCGCCTGCGGATGAGTTATGTTGCCCAGGCAGAGTTAAACTGCTCCAGTTGGTGTCAATACATTGCGCATGGTGTGTTTGTGCTTGTGTGTGTACATATATGGCATGCGTTTGTGTGCACAATATGCATGTTCGTGTGTTGTGTGCATGCTTTGCCAATGCCTATGAATTATATATCCATATTCAAATGCTGCCCTCCAGTAGCAAAGCTTTAATCACCAACAGCCAGTGCCTCCGGTGATGAATGATTGATAGAAATGGGGCAAAAAAAGCTTGCTTTTACTCTGGCTTCAAAGACGGCAGACTGCAGCTTGCAGAAAGCATGAGCATCCGTCAACGCCACCACAAACACACTGCTGTCAACAGAAGCACACAAACGTGGACACACACACGGCAAGGAATCACTCCAAATGAGGGAGCGAGAAGAGGCTCTCTGCAGACAGACCATCATTACCAATGCAAAAAGCTCTGGTGCAAAAGGACAAACTGTCTGCGATAAAAGAACGATAAATAGGACAAAAACTCCTGAGGGGGAGAAGTGAGTTGGCAGGGAGATGCTACGTAAGTGAGCACTTCAGATTTAGCCGAGGCAAGCAGGCGTGACAATACTGTCGTTCTTTCTTTACTTCTTTACGCCCCAAGAGTATAGATGTATGTTAGTGTGTGGGTGACAGGAACGGGGGAAAAAACCAAGATTTGCGCCTCATTAGGATTCGCCTAACATTATGTGTAGGACTTAATTACACTGCTATAATCGCCTATTTGATCGGCAATTATTCACTGAGGTGTGAAATGTGGTACCTACTGAGATGGCAAAATTCCTGGGAGAAACACAGAGTGTCAGCTTAAAGCACGGCAGATATTTGTATAGAGAGAGATTTGGAGTGGAGTGCATAGAGCGGTGATGCTATCACCAAGAACGGTGGCATGCATTGCCTTTCCTCTTGGCTACACCTGTCAGTCAGGTGCCAAGCTTAGCGTCAGGCGGCTTGCTCCCTGGAAAGTGCTTAAAGTGTGTTTGGGTGTGTGTGCATATCTCAAGCAGCGAGTTCCATGACATAGGATAAGGAAAGAAAAGAACACATCTGACAGAGGAAAGAAGGACTGACAGCGCAGTCTGTTCAGCTGATGCTTCTCTTAATCAGGTTTAACAGTCCATTTGCCTTTTTTTCCCTTTTTCCTCTCAGTGGAGCAATGGACACTTATGTCACAGGATGGAGAGAGGGGAAAAAAAAATCATTGTCGTCTTGGCTTGTCTCAGCCGAGTAGTTATTGCTGAAAGGTGGTTATTAAGATTGTTTGTGGTGTCACCCGCACTCAGTGAGGAGGAGGGATCTGGATGAAGAAGACCGGAGTGGAAAGACAAGGGAACCGCAGAGCCAAGGAGAAAATGATGGAGAAAAGAAAGAACAGGTTAACAAAGCTAGCTGTGGGAGTGTATGGCAAAGCAAACAGTGGGAACAAAACGACGGATTAAATAATGAGCAAAAATCGTAGGACATGGAGCAGAGACAGTGAAGGCAACAGAACCCTAACACGCAGGCGGAGGGCTGCTGAAGCCATATGCTGGCGTTCGTTGCCAATTTGCTGCAAACCTACAGGTGATAACACCATATGGGAGAGGCAGGTCATTGCCAACTTGGTGACCATTTTCCCCTGCTCATGGGTCCAAATGCCCTCCCTCTGCTGTTGGTACAGTAGCTCTTGCATTTTTTGCTGGTTTTCTCTGATATTGCTTCAACCCAAGAAACCTCCTCTCTATACTGTGGCTGCACTGTCTTTCAGCTCTGAGACTCCACAGAGAGCTGGTAATATCACAGTTAGCTGCAAGTTCTCTGTCACGGCATTATTGTGAATTTTTACTTAGCTTGCCCATTCGTGGCAGAGTGTGGAGCAGTACTCACATTCTGATGTATAATAGAAAGTTGCAACAGATCAATGATGTTAAAAAAGATCAATATTCACTCATTTATATAAGCCCTTGGCATTTCTCTCTTGTCAAACCACACGGCAGCTTGGTGAGCATTAGCATGCCGCAGTGCTTAGGCCAGGAGTCTGGAAACATTGCATGTAAACAGTGGGAGGGAGGGCAGGCAGGGCTGCATCGTGGTGAGGGGTGGAGGCAGAGCAAATGCTAATTCGCACCCAGCCACACGTGAAATGAGCTCGAGATCTAACCCCCGAGCCAACAGCAGCAGCGGAGCAGCTACCCGCGGTGCGACCACATCCGGGAGAAGAAATTAAAGATCCTCCATGGCTGTTGGGGGGCCCGAGCGCTCGGCTGTCTGTTCCTCCCCTGAGGGTTCGATAGAGAAAGTGTCCGCTGCGAGGCGTCTTCTTGCCTTGTGTGTGCAGCAATGCTAGGTGAGGATTTACACATAACCCACATCTCTATTGCCAGGCAACAGAGGAATGTGAAACCAGACTGCATTTTGGCTCCTTTAGCTGGTTACCCACGGCACTGAATTTGTAAGTACCAGATGTTCAGGGACTTATCAAAGCCTTGTCGATCTCTTGCTGAGCATATTTGGATTCTTTGTCTGTGTACCTGTAACTGCAATTCAGCACAGATCAGCCTTGCCTCCTATGGATATGACCTAGTTTGGATCTGACAGAGTGCTCAAGGGAGATGTATGAAGAGGACTTTGCTTTTTTGGTGACACAGTATTAGGTCACCTCATATGTGCCCACTGAGCAATGAGGTGAATGAACATTTTTCCACCTTAAAATGCTAGACACCTGGCAGTGGCTCATGGCCAGAACCACACAGCTGGCACTCCTCTTCCCAACTGTGTTTGCCGGCGGCGTCTCTAGAACCCTGTTGTGACGCAAGCTGGCAGTTAGTGCGACAACTTCACTGTACATGAAGTCCACGGCCTTGGCGCGTGTCCCAGCACCTATTACATTGATGGAAACAATGTCCATCAGCATCTGGACCAAGGGCCAAGAGCTGTACCTTTTACTCAGAACACATTTACTCTACATCCTCCATCATTCTGAAACACTGTTGTGTTCCTGGCAGCATAAAGCTGTGAAGAGACTGACGCATTTCCCACCAGGAGGGTTTGAAGATGAAGCCAAATCCCAAAAGAGGAGCAAGAAAGCAGAAAGGAAGTGTCATTACTATCTTGTGGGATTGCAAGGTTCAGACTCCAGTCAAACTACAGAGCCCTTGCTTTTGAAATGCTACAATATTTAACTGTTCTCCAGTGGTGAACACTATTTTGCTCTCACCTGGCAGTTCGGGGGAGGGGCACCTACTTTACTGTACTCTAATATTAAATATCTAAATATTGTCTTTCTAAATATTGACAATCATAATCATGGAGCTTGAGAATGTTCCTTATTACAAAAATATTACAAAAATGAAAAGCAGAATTCTCTACTTGAACTTGAATAAAGATGACTCCTTACATGTGACGTTGATCTTATCCACATATCAGAGTATTTTCTTTAAAACAAAATAATGTGTGATTACTAGCACTGCTAGCACATGCAGGTACTTTCTTGTAGACACAAAAATTTAAGCTAAATTTGCATACACGTTTCAGTGACTTTACTTTCTGAGACAGAGAAACAGCAGGAGGGGGCTCATTTGAGGGCCACAGCACTGCTCATTATCTTTTGATCGGGGCCTGACAACTGTTGGCCATCCATGCGACGCGTGATGCATGGAGGCTTCGGCAGGGCTCACCTGTGCACTGTCCGGAGTGTTTCACTGTGATGTCCTTGTCCTGCCTACAGGCTATGGTCCTCAGCTGGCACTGGTCGGCATAGGTCACCCCATCTGAGCCACACACCTGCTCCACAGTGACAGAGATGGAGAGAGGGGAAATGGGAACACATGTTAACTCCCTGTAGGCAACCTGAAGTCTTCCTGTTTATACCGTGTTGCAAACTTGTAGATCAAACTAACTAAGTGCAGACAGACTGAAAGACCCACCTTGGTTTTATTTTTCTCATCACAGTCCGGTGGAGGGCACTCGCAGTGAGCTTGGCCGTTCACCTTGATGCAAGAAGCTCCAAAACTGCACACTAACTCTTCACATGAAGTTGGGGCCTCGGGACCTGTGGAAGTAAGGGTTTTGTGTTGTTACACAATCTGTACAGTCCCACTGGAATATAGCTGCTTCATGAATTCTGATTGTGACAGTGTGAAAATGTGGAGCAAAATGAAAAGCTACAATCTGCATGCATATTTAATGTTTTTTGCGTTTGCTTTCTTTTATTGAGTAAGCAGACATTCTCCTGTTAAACAGTCAATAAATTAATCAACACAGCATGTAGAGATTACTGACAGCATGTATACTATTGATAGAATTCATTTGTATTGGCTTGCTTTGTGTTAATGCTAGTGTTGTAACTAGGCTGATACTGAACTAGCCTTAAAATGTGTGTAGCAGGCAGTGCTGGGCAGGCTACTTAAATTGTAATATATTACTAGTTATTTATTCAAAACGTACTTAAAAAAGTAATATTATTACTATCTTTTTGACCACTCAAAGTGCTTTTACACTACATCTGCATTCACCATTCACACACTGAGCCTAAGTGCTCAAACAGAAACTAACATTGACACACATTCATACACTGGCGGAACAGCCGCCAGGTGTAATTCGGGGTTCAGTATCTTGCCCAAGGACACTTTGAAATTTATTGTGATAATTATTAATATCTAATTATATGAAATCTATTATCATGCTAACATTTTTTGCCATATTGCTCGGCCCTACCTAAAATTAAGAAACATTACGCAGTAGACAAACGCAAGACATCCTTTTAAGACATTCCTTTTGTAACTAGTTACATTACTCGTTAAGTTACAATATGCTGCAGGAATATATGCTCCTCAATCAAATATGATTTTAAATACGCCTAGTAAAAAATAGAAAATCAATATGTGGCGTCAGCGTTGATAAATAATTATAGGCTAATTATGGGAAACACTGCTTTCACTACCACCCCCTTTCACCCCAAACAAAGCAGTCTCTCTGACTTTTTAACTAATATCATATCCATAACAGGCAGCAAGGAGTATGGTTTTTACAAAGCATATAGCCTAACGTTTCCTAACACCACCGGCTGAAATAACCACCGGCTGAAATAAAAAAATAAAGCAAGTAAATCCCGACTTTTAAACAGCATTTTTACTGCACATGTAGCCTGAGAGCAGTATTCAGTAGGTACAAAACGTTACGTTAACACCACTCTCTCCCTACGAGTCCAAGCATCAGTGACAGCAGCTGTTGGCTGCTAAATCAGAGAATTGTTTGCGGTTGAAAGCTTTTTGCTGGTCGCTCAGAGTTACACAAGACGACAATGTTCTTTGCATCTTAGACTGTGACACAATAATGGCAGTAACTACTTTCAGCTGTGGAAAGAACGCCTCTCTCCCTCGTTCTCCTTTCTTTCTTTAGTTTTTGGCTATCAGTGGACATCAACAACAAAGTCTGGTGCCACTGAGCTGCTGCGCAGTCGCGCTTTCACGAGGGTGCACTCAGTAACGCAGTAACGCAGCGTTACTTGGAACTGGATTAGTAATTAGTTACACAACTAGTTACTGGGAAAAGTAATATTACTACTGCCCAACACTGGTAGCAGGGGACAGGCTGAATGACAGTGTTTCGTGGCTCTACGTTTTTCTCCTCTAAGTGAGTGACCTGTTTTTAGTCTTACAACCAATCATAAACTTGTCTAGTTCACACAGTGTGAATCATAATTTCAGAGACAACAGCATTTTCCCCAACAGCCTTATTGTGGTAAACAAAAAAGAAAGAGCGGTGTAAAGGTATACACTCAGGATATTTGGCTCTGCCTCTTTTTTCACAGATCTCTGGAAGCTCTCCAAAGGAGCGTTTGAAGCCTTGAAGTTGCCGCAGCAGGAGCTGCAGCCGGGGAGCCCACCATCCACCTGACAGCCTGGAAGTGTGGGGTCTTTGCATTGTTGCCGCACCACACTTGGAGTACCCCCCACCCCTTGGCTCCGGCTTTCATGAGCTACCAGTTCTCACTACCTTGTCTTTTCATCTGGCAGGGTGTGCGGCGGAGTGCCCCACCACAGTGCCAGGACTGCTGGCTTCATTAAGCATTTGACTTCCAGTCGATATCTGATGGTGCATCTTAATCAAGGAGCTGCAGGCCCCCACAGCAGGAACTAACCTTTCCTTCAACCAGCTTTTTAGCTTGTGCAATCACTAGGGCTATTTTCGAGGTAATCAATAGTCCTTATGCATAAGTATAAACATGCACGTACACGCATTGTGAATCTTTCAAATGGAGTATGATGTGGAGAAAATAATATATCAGTGGGCAATGTGTCATGCACGTCATTTGTACACTCTAGTATTTTCCTAATCACTAACGATTAACTGCTAAAAGCAGACAGAGAAAGAACTTGCCGCAACAAGGCAGATCCATGGGTCAGATGACAAACAGAAAAACACTTTAGAATGATAGAGAGAAGCTGGGACATAACAGAAAAAGTGTGTTTATCGGGTTTATTAATGCTCCACCAGTTGCCTGGGTACTCGCTCTTAGTACCTTTGTCACAGCCATTCATGCCCATCTTGCTTCCATCTGGACACATGTTGCACTTCATGCCCTTCACTCCGGTCTTGCAGGAACACAGACCCGACATCTGCTCGCAGTCATCTCGGACAGAGCCCGTGGCGTTGCATTTACACGCTACCATGGAGAAGAAGAGGAAAAAAGGAGAAAAGATTGATAAGGAAAGTAGTGTCAATTAGGGACAATGACAGGAATAGAGAAAGACTCGGTTTCTATAATGTGTTTGAGGCCCCCTTAGCTTCTTCACTTCAGATACATCTATGTCTTGCAGTCAAGGGTTGGGAATAGTTCACAGAGCTTTAGGGGCCACAGAGGGTAGAATGGGAGGAGGGGAAGGATGAGTATGTAATAGAAACCCTAGAAACAGCCCGAGGGAGGAACATCAACCCAATCGTGTTCCTAGAATCAATGATGTGTGTTTTTTCTCCTTTCCTGCTGAACCTGGTATTGGTGTGCAGTGTGCTGTCTGCTTGCTGTGGGTGGACCTTGTTAAGGTCAGGCCACGGGTGAGGCACCTGCAGGCTTCCTGCTGTTGACTGAAAATGCTCTGTGGCTTTGGGAGCGTATGTCCTATGATACATCAGCAGCAGGAAACGAGCTGGTCACCATATTGCATTACACCAAGACAAACAAGGGGTCCTGACCCCGTTCTCCACATGAATACAAATGAAAACCGTTCATTCAATACAGTTTTGACAGGACTAAAGGACACAGTAGAATTTCCGTTGACAAAATCTGCCATCAAGTCATTTCAGAATCAGCTTTATTGCCAGGTATGTGTACACATACAAGGAATTTGACTCAGGATTGTACATTGCTCATGATGTGCTTACTCGTACAAAAATACCATAACACAATAATAAAATCAGACACAAACTACAGTATAGAAAACTTGACCTTGGCCAGAGTGGACTGTATGAATAAAATTAACTTGACTATTGAGGCCACCGCAGACATTTCTTAACCAATGCTTGAAAACCAAATAAAACCACAACTCTGCATTGCTATTTGCTACTTGAGGAATGACAGATATAAATATTTTTTATAATCCTGGTGAATTCCGTCTTTGTGGAAATACGTTGTAAGGATGCCATAAGCAATTCATGGGAAGGAACAAAAACATTTGCATTTGCATTACATTTGCTCAATCAGCAGAGATAGAAAGAGGCGATTCCTTACGTGTGCAGCCGCTCATGTTCTCTGTCACAATGCCACGGAAGTTCCAGAAGCCCGGCTCGCAGCGGTCACACTTCTGTCCCCCGACACCCGGCTTACATGAGCACTGGCCGGTGGCTGGATCACATGTCCCCTTGTAGGAGCCGTGGACATTACACTGACAGGTACCTAATGAGTACGGAGCAACACGGATGCCACTTTTAACTTCTACTGCTTGAGACGGAACTCCACTGCAATACATCACTGGTTTATGCTTTTCTAACTTTGAAAGACCCAATCATCACATAACTTACAACACTTGAATACTACTTGTTATGGTGGATACTCTGTATTCAAGATGTATGCTTGGCTCAAATGTTTGGTAAGCCCTATTCCACAAATAAAAAGGTAGATAAAGTGTGCTTAGATGACTTTCCCCTTTACTAAATCTCTGTATATCCTTATTTCTGAGTCTGCATTTTCTCCATCCATAATGTATCCCCTAGCTAACAGCTTGATGCAGCATTTTCTCCCTCATCTATCTATAAGATCATCAGATGAAGAGATTTTTCTGTTGAGATGGTGCAACATTATCATAATTATTCCATGGATTAAGATGAAACATTTTTAGCTCTGCAACTTGTACTTTCTGTAAATGTACTTAAGGACAATAAGCTCCATATGCTGAAATAGCCTGATAGTATCTACAACATTTTGGGTGCACACAACAAACTCAAGACACATTGAAGGTTAATGGTCAAAGCAGGACATAGAGGAGGACTTACTGGGACATCCAGCCAGTCCAACTCCTAAGGCAGCTGTCACGTTGTCGGAGCAGCAGCCGTACACAGACAGACTGCAGTGCTGGGGTGATGTGGGCTCAGGCAGAGATGTGGCTGAAATCGCTGATGAGGTAAGAACAAATGGGAGGGAAGATGGGAGATGGCACAAGGAGAGAAAGAAGAACATCAACATTTGAGTGATTGCGGTGGGGAGGGTTTGGGGGGGGGGAATTAGACAACACAATCTCAAAGCAACATGTAACTTTTTGCCAACAATGAGATTGGCTTGAGGGGCAGAGGTGGAGAGGCTGGCAGCCAGCTTCAAGATAACAATTCTATTTGTTACTTTCTCCACAATGGCAAAAAATCAGGGGGAAAATGATGCTATTACCTCCAGTGAAAACAAACAATGGCGTTGCTGGTGAATGTGCGGCAGCTGACATTTACCACCTACTAGGAGGCATGTTCTCTTCATTTGTTCTTGTCTAATATTGCGAAATTGCGCTGTTGCCCTACAAATCCCCCCCCCCCTTAAAAAAAAGAACGAAAGCAGGCTGCATAATGTGAAGGAATATGCCAAGCAGTTTTTTGCCTGCTCACAGTGTGTGGAGAGCTCCTTTGTTTAAGGATGCACCAGCCTTCAAACTAGTGTGACAGCTCTGAATAAAGAACTACATTCAACAAAATAAAAAATGTGTTCCCAAAACCTGGCCCTTCTCCAGAAACTGGAAGAGAGCAACAAAACATACAGTGGGAGGAAAAGGGGTTTGTTTAATGGCCGAGGCAAAAAATATCATTGTTCAAATTCTCTTCAAGCTTTGGAGTAAAAAGTAAAGTTGTAGAGATAGAAAGCAGAAATCTTTCCCTAACTTATTCTCTGTCTCTCTTTCCCCTCCCGATCTCTTTTTCTTGTGTTGCTCATTTGGAGTTTAGAGGCTGGAGATACAGGGGCCATAAATCACACTGTTACTGGTGTGGATATGAGCCTCAGCCTAATGGTGATGACTCGGCTCGCTCTTTTTCCAGTGCTTTCCCACTCCAGAGATGGGCTTTGGACACAGTTCATTTAACTTGCCACTTTCCAGCGCTCCATTCAGCTATCTGTACTGAGCCTATTAGGACAAGGAGAACTTTTAATTTCATATGTTCTTCCACCCTTCAAGGGTTTTTCCTCCTCAGTGGCCATTGTCCGGCACAATGGAGCTCACTGTAACGTGCAATATTACCCTCCTATTTTCATGGTCTGCTGCTGTGACTGTAGCAGGTCTTTTGTGTTACTGCCTGGGCACATGCGTATGTGTTTGCTTGTATAGAAAAAATAAGTATTTCTTTGGATTTAAATGAAATCCCTGACCCAGATTTTAGTTTTCAGGCAGCTATAAAAGATGGTCTGAAGTGCTTTGGCAAACTTTACAAATGTGCATGCAGCAGGTGACACTCTTGACACCGTACGGCAGTGGTAAGCAATAGGTGGCCGACCGGCAATACTATCTGGCCCGTGGCCAGATTGCTTTGATAGCAGAAAAAAATATATATAAATAAATGGATAGTGGCTGGTGCTGAAATAGATCTCAGTCATGATTAGAGCCCGACCAATATATCGGCCTACGCTGCTGGACAGACGTAAATGTACATTTATTAACAGTGTGGCTGTTCTAGTAAACGGTCCACATTTGTTACGTTATGTAACATACGTTACAGCAGCTAACGCTGCCCATTGCTAAATTATCCACAAAGCTAATGCCGTGTTTATCAGTGGAGGAGCGCTAACATTAATGAGCCATTAAACTATAGTTTCTGACGTATTCTAAATATATCTGCGAGCCGCCTGTCTGCAGTTATTCGGCGTGTCTGAAATGATTAAACCAGAGTGGACATAAACGTGAGCTGAACAAGAATCTAACACAGCTTCCTGTAGCTCCTCTTTGTGTGACGTTGTAGATGTGAAACTCTGTAGTCAGAGCCGTAACAGGTTTGATTGTAGTTATAACGTCAGTTAAATGAAATCTCAAAGTTGCAGGTCCTCGTTGTAGACATTCCTGTAGTATTAGATGCATTTAACAGCAGCTCACTGTATCACAGACGGCATGATTTAGACATGATGAGAAATGGTTTCTCGTAGCTTTGGTAAGAAGAGTGCTGGTAAAGGGATGAACTGGATGTGAATATGCTACATTGAAATTATGGCAGATTTTGTGTAAAGTGAAATACACATGCTTATTCTCTCTTACTCTTTCTGTTTACAGACGGCTGAAAAAGTTGCATGTTCCAGCAACAAATATTTATTGATGTGCAATTGTTTACATGTTCACTTTTTGAGACTTTAATCTATTTTATTAACATAATCCATTTAGGAAAAGGTTTTATAGTCCACTACATATCAGCTTTCAAAATCAGCCTGTTCTAAGTGTAGTTATATAGTAAAGGGGTCTACTATCCAAATCATTCTCAAAATCTAAATATTGGCATTAATTGGCTCTTTTTCACTTTAATATTGGCATCGGCATCGGCCCCCAAAAACCCATATCGGTGGGGCTCTAGTCATAACAGCAACAGTTACTCACATAACCACTTCCTCTTAAGTGACTGTGCCTACAAAATAAAAGCGCAGGAATTTTTTTTGCAGCAATGCTTCATGTTGAATTTATTGAGAGCTTTTACTTTGAAAAGTTCTGAAGGACATTCAAAAGAGTCTCTGGCTTGCTTGACACGCCTTTGAAAAAAACGTCAGTAAATGGGTGATAGGATTCCCCTGAATTTGTTCAGGGAAATGAAAATAAGCGTCCGTAGGCTTATGAAAGCAGATCAAACGCCGGGACGCATACACCGCAACACATGCTTTATTGTAAGCATGTTGTGCAAAAGTGTGCTAATAATCAATTTGTTTAACAAGGGAGAAAAAAATCCATAGGATGTCGGGATCATTCATACAACTCTCCCAACGAAAGTCCCTCATACTGACTGAACTAAAAGTGCACGAGTATTCAAGGGTTTGAAATAATTTGACTATGCTCTGGCCTGCCGTTTTTTGGCCCGATGCCAGACTTATTTGCCAACCCCTGCTGTATGGTAACGTTTTTTTCAAGATCAGAACCTCTAAACAACAGTGTTGCTTTAATGCTGCTAGTTAGAGCTGGCACGTTTTGATACACTTCTGGAGTTGAGGTCAAATTAAATTTCTCTTTACATAGTTAATGTGGAGGGCAGTGAAATTCCCCAAGATCTGAGTTTCTCCATTTGCCAATAGGAGAGGAAGCACAGAGCTCTCGTATGCATAGAGGGCTCTTCAAAAAAGGATTGATTATCCATGGATGGTAGAGAAGCGTGACAGTCAGTGCCCAAGGAGGCCAGCTTAGGAGGGAGAAGAATCTGCAGGGATATGTGTGAAAACACTGGCTGCTCCCTCTTTCTCACTCTCTCTCTTCAACTCTCTTCATCCTCCTCTATTTTAGACCCACGGGGAATAAAACAGACTGGAATGATCACACAAAATCCCTTAAGTGCCTTCTGCACTGCTCCCCGGCCTGTGCTAGCATCAGAGCAAAAGCTCTTAATTTCACATAACCATAAAGAGGAAGAGGGCTTACCTTTGCTACTTAGCCCCTGATCTAACAACTATTTTGGCTGAAGAAATCTTTTACATGCAAAGAGAGAGTTTTTATATAAACGTAAGTGGGGTAAAGTGGTATCCTAAGGGTTAAGAAGCAAGCTTGTGCGCCCAAGTTTAATGGTTTAAATTGTCAGAATGTCTGGGCAGGGGTAGTGAATTATTCTATTAGCGTAGTCAATACATGTGCCCGTGAGAAAGACAAACTGTACAAACTAGTCAGCCCCAGAGGACCGGTCAGTTTCCAGATATGAACAAGATGAAAACGTTTTTGAGTCAACATGCCCTGAGCAAATTACACAAACATACACATCATATTTAACCTTGAACTTCTTCGCTTTGTTGCTTATGGCTACAGTGGTAACACTGTAGAGAGACAGCAGCAATGCTGTCTAAATGATATGCCCTCTACAGAATATTAATACCCCATTAATGGGTGAAATGAGTGGAGAAATGGGATGTCAATGACAATGAGTCTTGGTGAGGGTACTTCTGCACGCTGTGACATTATTTCTGATTGGTGTAATGTACCGACCTGTACAGGGTCCCTGATTCTGAATCAACAAGTGCTCTTGTTTCTCACATCTGGCCTTCTTCAGCTCACACTCATTGCTGTAGTTTTTTCCATCTGAGCCACAAACCTGAAAAAAAAACAATCACAGAAAGTTGAGTATTACACAATGTCTAGTTTAACCCTAGGCTCTTTTATCTTGGTTTCACTTCCGATATTAACAGCCTTGTGGCATAGTCACTATTGTACATATCTTAGTGAGACATGCCCTGTATATACCTTGGAAACTGTAGTTAAAAAGCAAAAACAAAAGCTTAAGTCAAGGTCCACTTACTGGCTCATTCAGGAGCTTTCAACCACATCTCACGGTGTTTATCAGCTGATAATTTGCTCATTTGTCATGGATATGGCTGGGTTGTCATCACTTCACCTACATTTAGAACTTCAGTGATTTCACCAAAGTTATCACGGCAACCACCTGTTACCGTCTGACCAACGTTCCATACTTCGGTGGTGGGATGCCAACTCAGCCACATCCATTACGACCAAGCAAACTAACTACAGCTGAAGAAGACTGTGAGATACAGTTTAGAGCCTGGAAAACATTTTTATGTAGACCTGTAATGGCTTTTCGTTTTTGTCAAATAGCCTACGGTGTAATTTGAAAATAACTAAAACTACTCTGAAGTGTTATCAAGTGGCATGTCAATTGTACAATACAACTTACAAGGCAGTTTGTGAAAAACTATTTTTAGGCAGTTTGAAGTAGTTTTAACAGGATGTATAATCTTGTCAGGGAGTGCTGTAAACTCCAACATTTATAAAAAAAATACTTATATAAGTACATTTCTGCAAATGTGTTTTTTTTTGTCTTGTATGTACCTGCCGGTTGTGATGTAAGCTGGTGGCAATTGAGTTTCCCCATGGGGGATAAATAAAGTTTTTCTATTCTATTCTAATAAAAGCAGTTCCTTTGTAACCATAAATGTACAAACAACTATCAGAGACAAAGTTAGAAGTTATATGAGTGCTTTTAAATTTCTAAACTCAGTTGTGTTAATCTCTTATGAACTCTAGAAATACAGCGGGGAACAGGAGGTCGACAGCCGTATGTGTCTGATGTCTGATGATGTATGTGTTCCAATTTGACAGTTGTCACTCTGAGAATAAGGTTTTTGACACAAATTGCAATCAATTGTGTCTTTACTTTCGAGAGTGTTTACAGGCAGCCGTACCAGGTTGGTAAGCACACTTTGGCAGGTGAAGTCACAGACACAACGGTCGTCCTCTGCATCCTCATCCCACGAGCCACCAAATATGCGACAGTGTTCTTGTTCACAGCTCTCTGCCCCTGAGCCTGACGCTCCTGAGCCACAGTCTGCATTATAAACACACCATGAGTTCACAATATCACTAATAAAACATACAAACACACAAGGAGGAGGATTCCCTTTTATCAGTGCATCAGGTGGAAACAGTGTCCTACTTTCATTTCTTTCAAGTTAAGGCTACACTTACATACATGCGGAACATCACAAAGTTATGATAATTTATATTTCCCTTGCACTGGTGGTGGGGAGAGGGAACCAAAGGCGCAGCTGGTAGTAAAAGATAAAGACCAACTGTAGTGAGGGTAAGAGATTGACTAAATAAATTAGACACAACCTCTCTGCACCACCATCGAGGCATCCCTTTCATTTCAATTAAAGGGGGAGGGAATTATTAACGCTGGCCCCCAAGTGTGCAGAGAGAATTGGTGGCAAGGCCTGCTTTATGGGTGCCTGCTTCCTGATATGAGAATACAACTAATTGCAAAGTGTTCTGTAAAATCTAATTATCGCCTAAGACTTTAAAGAAAGTTCCTCCAGCAACTCATTTTATTTAAAAATGCATTTCTCTGGATCGAAGTAAGAGAGCTGCTGAAGCTGACTGTATGTTCCTAGTAAAAGAGGTAGACGGCCAAACAAAGTTCCATAATCACTGTCCAGGATTTGTGGGTTCATAAAACTGTTGTCATTGTTCAACTGCAAACTTTAGTAAAAGGTAAGGAATCCAAGATTTTAAAGGGATACATGAAAGGGGAACATATCCAGCAGGACAGTTTGGAGTTTCATTTATGAAAAACAAATCGGGGGCTGTTGCAGAGTGCAGGCAAAGAAGGGGGGAGGATCCTGCTTTTGAAGTTGAAAATTTCACCTACTATGGAACTCCTGAGGGAGATTAGGTGAATGTCTGTGAACGCCGAGAATGAAAGCAGTCAGCATGAAAGATGGAGAGAATGTCAGACAGAGAGAGAGGCACCCTGTGGGCTGGCAGAAAGTTCATTTGAAACAAATTTGTTATTCAAAAAAGGAACGCAGTCCAACTAAAAGCTCCCAGCTGAAAGACTCAGAAAGCTTCAGGTAATCAACCTGATGCTTTCTGAGTCTTTCAGCTGCGTTGATTCTTCCTCTTCCAGTCTACTTTTAGGGATCATTCAACCCTCTGTATTGATGCACCACCTCTAATGGTGAAATCAATGTCGAAGTGATGGAAGTGTCACTTAGCATAACCCATCTTCTAAAGTAGATTATGGAGCAGCTCAAAGTGCAGGGGAGGGGCAGAGGCAGCTGAAGCCCTGGCTGTTCTTTGATATGGGTCATCAGCAATGGGATGTGACAGCTTTGAGTGGTCGATACAGTGGAGGGGCTTCACTTCATTAGCAGCGGATACAAGGGAGGAGCTGGAGCTTTCTGTAGAGTTTCAGAGGCCACATCCCCCTCAAACATCAGGCCTTGTTAAAGACTCACTCTGTCTTCGTTTTAAACCAGCAAGACCTCCGACCCTGATCTTTTTGCTTGGATTTGTTGTTCTAGCTACTTATCAACTGTGAACCACAGTCCGAGTTAAACATAGCATTTTGTTCTGGGCTTATGCACTGGCTAATGGCTTTCAACTGCCAGTGACATAATCACAGGCATTTGGCTTCAGCTGTTATCTGAATAAAAAGAAGTCAGCTGACTCCAGAACAGATCAGAAAGAGAAGTAATAAGAGGTGAGGCGCTGGCGATTGGCCATCTGCATCTGTGTACTGTACATCAGCTCAGCAGTAAAAGGGAAATGCTGGAGTAGCCAATTCATATTCCGCTCAGGCCCGCTTACAGAGACAAGATAAATAAATAAAAGAAGTAAGACATTAGAATAGAATAAATAAAAGTGAAGGGCGAAGGGGGGTCCTAATTAGCTGTTGCTCTTTGATGTGCCTGCCACCCGCGCTGCCTATGAACCTTTCAATTAAAACATCCCCAGCTAAGATGGCTGCATCAGCTATTCTCTCTGCACTGCCCATCCGTTCCATTTTACTCAATCATGTCAGAAGCCAGAGTCTATTTAGCCAGGGAAGCTCCATTAAGAGGACAGAATTTAGCGGCGGAGTGAAGAAAGGAAATGAATAACATAATAATAATCTCCAAGAAAGAGAGAGAGGATAAAACATCACAGGTATTTGACAGTGGAAATAAGAGAAGAAGTGATGGAGGAGATGCTGTTGTCAAAGCTGTCTAGAAGAGTGTTAAATAAAACAGAGAGTGGACAGGAAAATATGTGGATATGGGTAAATAATAGAGGATAGAGCGGTGAACATGTGTATGACCGACTGTTTTGCAGCCTGTTTGATCAACCTGACTAGTCGTGTCAACGTCAGTGGCTCCAGGAGTGACCGATATAGTTATAATACCTCTGATATCCTAACCTGTGTGATTTTCAACTTGGGTGTCTATCATTAAAAAACATATCTTCCCCCAAAGATCGAAAATAGCCTTTGCTGAAGGATGCAGATTGACGCGTGGCACGATTTGCCTTTGTTTTTGCTCCATCTATCGGTTCCCCTGTATGGCCTGCTGTTGACGGATGTGACAGCGTGTTAGCCCTAATAAAGTTGCGTGAGATAGAGAGTCACGCCCGGTGGGGAGCGTCACGCCCGGTGCGGAGAAGGATGGGGTGTTTGGAGATGGCAGAAGGAGAAAATAATTTTTTTTTGCCTCAACAGAAGGTTACAAGCTCTGTGATGGATGGACCAAAAAAGATAAATCCGCTGATCTCCCTCCAATAAGCTATTTTCCCACAGAGCTACCCACTTGCCTTTTTTTCATGCCCTTTCATGTCTTTTAGAGCTATCTTGATCAGATCTGTGTGATGCGAGGAGCAGGCTGTGGACCGCACATCAATGTGTGATCCCGCACTCATAATCTTGTTTATTAAATGTCTATTCAATTAAAAAGGGCCTGGGCCCCTGTAGGTGATGCACTGCTCTCAGTTGCCACTTTGTCAGTGTCGAGAAAAGGAGCTGAGGCCATGCCTACCCAAGTATGAAATTAAACAGGTGATAAATTTCCCTGTATGGCCAACAGTGGGAACACTGTCATTTTTCATTACTGTTAAACAAAAGGAGGGAGAAAACAACTTCCATTTTTCTGCTCTGTGCGCCCCTCCCCCGTACAAGACTAATGAGGATGGTTTTTAAGTCAGGTCTACGTAAGTGAATAAATCACATGTTCACTTTCTCTCCAGGCTTATCTTAGATATGAAGTATGGAGTGGGGGGTTGTGCACAACGGTGATGTAAAGCTTTGCTGCTGTCTACAACAGAGCCAGAAAATACAGTCGTTGGTCTTATATTTTGCAACAGAGTGCTGTATTATGCAATATACCTAATTTTGCCAAAACCTACTGCCCATACATCTAGGTGGGGTAAATAAATCAACAAAAAATCCCTTTCACTAAATGGTAAAGAGAAGTATACCACAGACAAACAGAAAACAGCAACTTGGTTCTGATCATTTTACAGTCACACCATACTTCCTGTGGGGGGTCTGGGTCAGATTTGAGGGGGCTGAAAGGAAACGTCACCCCTAGGGTGAAATTTATCGATTGCAGACGATCCCATCTCCACCCCTATCTGTGTAAGCATCGGTGTCCCTTTTGTTGAGAAGCACAATTTTGATGGAGAACAGTGCAAAATGGAGAGAGACATAAGTGGGTGGGATAGCAGGGAGCAACGGGGAGTGAAAAAAGTGAAAAAGAAAAAGATTCTATTGTGTCAGCCTGATGGTTTTCTCTGAATGAAAATGAGCAAGTGATGAAAAAAGGATGATGTTCAGAGACAGAATGAGACAGAGGATAAAAAGAAAAACTAAGCCATAAGGCACCACATGCAAAGCAATGCCCTTGAGGAGATAGAAGAGAACATTTGCCTGACACCAGACAACCAACAGACAGCCGGAGCGTGTAGATGTATGTGTGTGTGGGGAAGGGTGAGTCTGAATTGGGGGCATACAATTTCACATTTCTTCATGCTCCACATACAAAAAAGGTCACTCGTCTTAGTCAATGAAATGATGTTAAATCGAACACGAGAAGCTTTGGTGGCATGATTCGCCTCACAGGCCCAGGGCCAATACAGTAGACAATGGTAGAGAGAAAAGAAGAAAAGAAAAGAAAGAATCACCCCTGGCTAGCTATCAAAATGGAAGAGGATTCCTCTCATCACTATTTGCTCTGTCCTCCATCTACCCCCTCTTTGCTTTTCTCCAGCCATCCCTCCTGCTGGCAGGTGTAATCTGCTCCCCTTCACACCTTGTCAGAGGATGACTATGGTCCCTGTGACGACCCAACAGCCACGGGGGAATGGCATTGCTACCGTCTGCATGACAACCAGAGGTTGGCATGTTGCTCCCTCCAGAGTTGTCACCAAGACGGGCTGAGAGAGGGACTGCGATATCCTACCCTGGTCTGTCAGTGCTGATCAAGATATGATTTGCACGGTGAATTAGATCTCATTTATTCAGAATGTGGAGGATCGACAAAGCTACAGGCATAGAAATCAGCAATGCTCAATTTAAGTGCCATCGGTCACAGCAGAATTGGATAGAAGGGCTTGAAAAAATGTATCCCGTAAAATTTTCTAATAAAAGCCAGTATTCAATTGCTGTGACAGCACAAACAAAAAAGCCGGCCCCTAATAAAAGCCAAGTCAAATTACTTGCGGTTTTATGGTTCATATGTCTAAAACAAAACACGTTCTCATTCACGTATACTTTGCAGTTCTTTCGTTTGGTGCTGCGCTACTGTCAATGTCACTTAACATTTCCTCCTCACATTGCTGGGAAGACAGGAAGTTTTATGGCTTTTCATTGTAAACATATGTGCAATAAGAGTTTAATTGGCAGTAGATTAACACTAAATGAAAGAATGGCAAAGTAGGACCAACAATAACTGATCTGTTGAATTTACTGAGACAACAAGTAAAAACGAGGTAAGTGTTGGGATCAACAACAGCAGCTGTAGCGAATACGAAAAGAAGCAGTTAAGAAAACAGGGAGTTTTCTTGTAAATCTAATACATAAAATTGGGTAAATTAGAAGTGAATGATTGTCTCTAATATGACCCTGGGTCTATCTACATTTGGGGCAAATAAAGAACCTAGCAACTATTTGAGAATTTACGATACCTGAAGAATTAGAATATTAGAGATGGACTGATAAACAAACAAACAAGACAGCCATAGTACGGAGATGTTGTTTCTAAAATGTACAGCTGACATTAACTTAATCACCCAGAAGTAATTTCACAGGTTTGGTTTATGGAGTGACTCTCACTTTTGCTATGTTAGCCTGTTGGCATGCTGGTGGTGGCATATGCAACCATTATGAAAATCCACAGATGACTGAATACAGTACCACAGGTCAGTTAATACAGATAATTACACCATTTCAATGGCCGATTGGTTAACATAATTACAACATTACAAAGTCCATTTCCTACCTTCGTCACAGCTGCCGGGCTTTGCCACATCAATTCTCCTCTTCTGCATGCAGGAGGACATGCGGAGTTCACACTCATTGTTGTAGGTGGTGCTATCACTTCCACATACTGGGGAGAAGGCCTCGCCTGAGCACTGTGGGCACTCACACTTATTCTGGACACACCGGGCACCCCAGGCACAAACAGTGCTGCCGCATGTTTCTGAATTGCACACACAGCAGAGGGACAGGTCAGAGCATGATGGGTCAATGCAAAAAATATTCATGTTTTGATGGATTTCATTCACACCACACCTTAAAATGCCTCTCTGGAATAGATATTTAAATGATTTCTCTGCTCCTTTCCTAATTGCCACGCATACCACGTCCTCTTGTAATACATCCCTGCCTAAAACTGACACATACATGTCCCCTTAGTAATTCTCCATCTGAATATCCTGCAATTTCATTCCAAGTTTGTTAATATATGAACGAATAAGAATATGAATGGACTGCCTGCAGCTGTGAAATGTTGCTGTTGGGTTCTACTTTTATATGTAGATTAAATTTAGAGCTAGAGAAGAAGAACCTCATCTTGGTGTGTTTTGAAATGCACTTTTGTTTCTTTCACTGATCGCCAAGGATTTATGCGAATAATCATTTATATTCTTCATTTAATGTTGCGATGCACTGTACGTACTAGGCACATACTGCATGAATGTATGCATTACTTACTGCACTCTCCTTGGCTGACCACTCGGAGGTCCATCTGTTCATTGCAGGCCCGCACGTGCAGCTCACACTCGCTATTGTAGGTGGTGCCATCGCTGCCACACACAGGCTGGTGGGACACCACACACTCTGAAGCACACACACACTGCCCGCTCTGGGCATCGCAGATTGCCCCGAAAGAGCAGTTGGCACAAGCCTCATCTAGATGGAGATAAGGAGGAAGGAAAAGGCTTAGTGTGTGTGTTTATGTGTGTTACAGGATTATGGTGGCAAATTGGCTCTAATAAATACACTGAATTTGGAAAATATTAATTCCCCTTTACATGTTTCATATGTTGGTGTGTGGCAGAATTTAAAGGGAGTAAATTTATTGTATGTCATTAATCTGCCAACATACTGCATCGCGACTAATCTTAGTTTTGATAATCTCTCAAATGGATGTACCGTAAAGTTGCAAAGGAATCATTTTTTTCCTGACTTCAAAAAGTCAGCTCTGCATGTTTTTTTGAATTGTACATATTCACACAAAAGTAAGCACATCACAACATTCATTTTTATGCACTTTTATGGTCAATATTTAAACAACTTCTATCAAGATAATGTTATTGTGGCTAAAAGATTGTGGTAACTGGCTGGCTAATTTTTTTTTTTGTCATCCAGATCATAATTATCCAAAGTTGATTTTACCCCACCTTAGATTTTTTCAGATGCAGTAAACATGTATTTACTCATACATTTCATCAGTGTCATAATGTGAACCACAGCAATAATACAATTAAAAAGTAAAAATGAGTTGTTGTCTTTTCTTTATCAAGATTTTGACAAGCTGTGTTGCTGGCAGCTGGTATAGTGCTTAATGATGCAGAGCAGATATGTGAAGTTTTCATACCGAGTGTAGAATCGGTGTAAAACTTTATTAGAGTCCAGCTGGTGAGCATTCAATTGATTTTAATACTTTTAAAAGGCACACAACTGTATATTAAAATGTATTTTGTGAGAGGTAAAAACCAAGGAATGAAATTAAAAAACTCTCCAAAAATTCTACTGAGGCACAGTTCTGAGGAGGAGGATAACAAAAAGATGCTAAAGCGCCGAAAGCTCCCAGGAGCATGGTGGGCTCCATCACTGAAGAAATTTGGAACCATCCAAAAACTCTCTTTCTAGAGCTAAAACTAAATTACTGAACAACAAAAAAAAAGAAACAGAAGAGACTGCCAGAAGGACAAGCATCTCTGCAGCACTCTATCAATCAGGACTTTAGGGGAGAGTGGTCAGAACTGAAGATACTCCTGAGAAAAAGCCATATAACAGCCTGGCTGGAGTTTGTCAAAAGACACTTAAAGGAGTCTGAAAGCATGAAGGAAAAGATTCTCTGGTCTGATGAAACAAGAATTGAACTCTTTGGTCCGAATGCCAATTGCTATATCTAGTGAAAGCCAGGTACTGTCATCACCATTCCTGTGGGGGGAGCATGGTGCCAACACTGTCCTTTGGTGATGCTTTTGAGCAACTGGTCAGTATTGAGTGAGAAACGTCACTGGTTGTATTTATCACTTTGTAACCATGTTCATATTTGTTTCAAAATTTCCACCACATGTCAAGACTGAGTCAGGCAGATGATATCTGTATTTTCTATCCAAAGACAGTACTGTGATACCCAAAAGGCTTAGGGAGCTTCTGAGACTTTCCTTATTAGTTGGAGGATTAACTTGGATCATCTCTTGAGGAATTGCCTGCTTCTGGAGGCACAGTTTTCCCCTGAAGAAATGGCAAGGCAGGATCAGGCATGTTCAGGGTACTGACTGATTTCACATGGGAGCAGGAGACGAATGAGAAAGCAAACACTAGGCGTTTTAGACAGACAAGGATAGCAGTAGATGTAGTACCTCTCCGGGTGACACCAATTACACCTGGAGGATTGCATTAACACAGCTCGCTACCACATTCAATTAGGGGCAGGCTAATAACCGCTGCTGATACAGCCCTAATTGAGAGAGGCGAGGCTGGCCGCTGGAACCTTCCACATTAATAATCTGTTTATGACTCTTTCAGAGTCTTTCATTTCCTTCATCTCTCCATGTAGTGCTGGTATCCACTCCTTTCTTGGATTAACAGCCTTGACTGTGAACTGGATATGCCAATGTGTGGCACTTAGCATACACCCTGTAGGAGCAATGCATTGTGTATTAGTAGAATGAAAATTTTCTTTAAAGTCCTACCTAAAAATTGACGTGTGTGGAGCACGCAGGACCAATGTGTCACCTAAACCAGTGTGTAATTTTGGTCTGGGACTTTTACCAGTCGCTTGGGTAAGACCCCTAGGTTCCAACGAAGGTACTCTTAATGCTTCAGCATCCAATGTCATTTTAGACAGTAATGTGTTTCCAGCTTTGTGGCAACGCTTTGGGAATGTCCTTTTCTCTTTTAAAATGACAATGTCTGCCCCCCCCCCTCCCGTAATGAAAAGTGTTTCTCCCTACAACTAATCATGTTCTATTATTACTATTACTGTTATTATTACTATTACTGTATATGTCTTATTTATATATGTATTGTTTTTATCATAAACCTTTTCTTGTTATACTCATTATATTAGTCTGTCCACATATGTAGGGTTTGGGTCAGAGCTGTGAGACTGTTTTAGTGTTTTTCTTTCTTGCTGTTCCTCTCCTCTCTGTTCCCCAAAACATAGAAACCTAGACTGTGTAAATGATTATGCATCCCTTTGCTGTAATACTTCTCTGTTATTCTCTTTTATTATTAAATTCTTCAAAAACAACAGTTTGTTGTAACTCAATTATTTGCTCAACCGTCCCCTCTCCCCGTTTGCTGTGGGAGAATTGGACTGCACTGAGAACATCCAACACTTCTGGGATTAATTGGAACACCAAATGCAAGCCAGGCCTCAGCATCAGTGGTAGACGTCACTAATGTTCGTGTTTGCTGAATGTCCGGGTGTGAAAATTCACCAAATCCACATTATTGTTATTTTTATTATTTTCCATCTTGGGTTAATTATTAAACTAGTCTAACTTGCAGGCATGATCACCCAATCATGACTGGACCAAAATAGTCACGTGACACGAAGACAATAAATTGGTTGAAGGTGTAATATTTAGGTGTAATAAAATATTGGCCTACAGCTTGTGCAAACAGTGTTTTTGACATATACTTCAATTGGGCGGGCCGCCCAGCTGCTTAACTATATTTGGAGAAGATTCACATATTTGCAGAGTAACAAAGAGAGAAATGTTAGCTGGTTTTACCGACACAGCATGAAGTCACATCCATTAAGGGTGAAACAGTGGAGTGTGTGCAGTCTTACAAATACCTTTAAATCATTGATTCAAAGCTGAATTTTGAAGCCAACTGTGAAATGGTGTGTAGAAAGGGTCATCGACGTCTGTTCTTTATAAGGAAACTGTGTCAATTTCAAATTGAGAAAACACTGTTGATTATGTTTTATCGTGCTTTTATTGAATCCGTATTCTCCTTTTCTCTGGTATCTTGGTACGGGAACTTAACATTAAAGAGTCGGAACTCTATTAACCAGATTGTGAAATGGTCCAGTAGGTTGATTGGGGAACCACTACTGAACCCAGCCTCGCTGTACACTAGGCAGGTACAGCGCATGAGTATTTCAATTTTGAGTGACCAGCTTCATCTGCTGTATTATGAGTTCCAGTATCTGCCGTCCAACCGACGGTTTAGAGTACTGCGGTGTACAACAAAACGATATAAAAACAGCTTTGTTCCCGTAGGGATTAGTTTTATGAATAGTATTAAGATGGAGTAGATTGTTTTAGTGTGATTTTAGTGTGTTGTTCTGTTTGTATGGTGTTATTGTTTATATGGTTGAGAAAAAGCCTAAAAACTTATTCTCTGGAACGTAATTTACCTACAGGTATAACTAAAGGAACCTGAATCTGAACCTGAACGGTGGACATTTTACATTACAGAGAGAAGGTAACGCACCACTGCCGACCTCAGACACTCAGAACCATGTTGGTTTTCATCCACATGCGGCGCACTTGAAAACGGAATCGTGGGTGAGTTTATTAAACGTGGCAACTTTATGAAAGGTACTGCTGATGGAGAAAGTGGGCAGAGCAGAGACAGGGTAGCGGTGTATAACATACTTGTATTGATAGCAGGTTATTCTAGGTCATTTCCACCTTATTTTAGTGTTCAGATGTTGTTCCTTCTATCCCAACACTGCAAATGGGTTTGGATGTTTTGACTGAAAAAGATATCAGAGGAAGAAGCTTTAAAGTAGCTAGGGCTTTCTGTGACAAAAATAAATAAATATAGAATAAAATGGGGGTTGCTGTGGTTGTGGCCTCTTTCTGGTTGTGGCAGCTATTAATCAGGGAGTAGCCGTGGTGAGTGTTGTACTTTATCAGCCCTGTGTTCTGATAGCAGCCCTGCTTCTTTATCAGCTCTTGCCCCTCGCACCTGGCTCTCCACACTGCCTGATCCTCCAGACAACATGCATCGCAAACAGACAGAAAAAGAGGGAAGCTTCAGTTCAAAGCCAGGAGCGGAGGGAGAATTGTCACCATTATCGGTTATGTTAAGATATCCACTTTCTGTTATCTCAGATTCAGTCATCTCCAAGTCTGTCATCTCCAAATTTGAGTTTCTTTTTTCTGAAGCAAGACAACTTCATGACCATAAAAAGTTCAGACTTTAAGCTAAAAAGTCTGGCAGGCTAGGCATTATGACACATACTCTTGGTGTTAAGAAAGTGAAAGCTAGTGTGCTAGAACCTGGAATCTGTCATCCCATTCAAATACCTTTTCCAACAATGCAAGAACCTCTACAGCCTAGGAAAACTTTAGGACCAGCTAGAATTTGGTCAACATCCCCTTGAAGCCCCTTGGATCTAAAGGTGAGAACTATTGATGTCAGCTCTTGCACTGCGACAGCTTCTCTTGCTGTATTTGGTGGCAGTGTTTGTCGATTTGGACACGGGAGTGCGAAATAGAAGCAGGTTGGTATAAAAGTGGCCTTGAAAGCATGAAGAACTGAGTCATTGAGGAGAAAAAAACCCCAAAGACCCTTCAGCTTTTGTTGATATCCTCACCAGGAAAAAAGCTGAATTGCTGTTGAGGGGGTCTGGGTGGAGTATTACCTCAGGATTAAGCAGAAAGAAGTAGGCTGGTTTGTGTTTTGAAGGCTTGTGAACATGCCTGGGTGATAACAACTCCCCTGTCGATGCCTGCCTGGCTGGTACACTATTAACTCTGCCCCCCACTGTCTCTGCTGCACCCCATCTTATTTACCTCCATCTCCTTGTCCCCCTGCATTTATTACTTTCCCCTCCCTCTTTCTTTTCCCCTATTTTCACCATCTCTCTCCAGCCACTCATGCTTCTGGTGTGTGACCTATATTTCTTACTCAACTGTGTATATCATTTCAAACACCTGTGGGAGAAAAAAGGGGAATTTGTTATTTCTTTTTCTCCAGTGAATTTGGCGCCTATGCTCTCATCTGCTTGGGTAAAGCTGAATGGATGGGTCCTTTTCTGAGGCAACTGATATCCTGCTGGGGGTCTATTAACCGAGCGCACCTCTCCCAGCCCACCTTACAAGGTCGACCGCCACTCAAGCGCAGAAGAGGAAAAATCTAAGAATAATAAAGAATGTCACTCATATTGCTATCAGGTCGCACCTGAGCCATACAGATAACCACTTTTTCCAGCCCGAAGGGAAGGAAATGAAATTATGGTTGGGCCCATGAGAGGCTTTAGTAAACCACACACACAAACACACAGTTAAGCACACATGCCATGTGATTTTCCTATTGTGGCACCTCTCTCACCTCTTAAACTATTGCTTCCCTCACCTGCTTTTCTTAAGCTCCTACTTTTGAGTTTTGGAAGCCGTAAATGTGACAGCTCACATAGTGCATTTGGATGGAAATAACAACACCAAGCCAGTAAACAAAAATACATTTTTGAATGGCTATTTTGGAAACCACATACACAAACAGATATAATGACCTACTTAATGCTGCAGAAAGAAGAGATGAAAATGTATTGTATAATTAATGCCTTGATGAAGCAAAATGTCAAAGCTGAAGCAATAAATCTAGACATATAATGCCAATTATCATCACAGAATGGTAAACAAATGAATCACTTCTTATTCTCTTTTATAAGGGTTAGAGTTACTTAACACCTATCACAGAAAATTCTCACTTTATTCACCACTTTCTGTCATTGCTCATGCCTTAAACTTTTACTTACAATACTTCCAACAGCACATGAAAGCAGCACATGCTCTTCTCTCTCTCCTTTTCTGCTCCATAAACGTGTATAGTATATTAGTGTTGGGAATAGCCTGTGATAATTAGGTGAGATAATAGCTTAGTCAGTCAGTTGTTATGGTGCTGAATAAAGCCCAGTAAAGCTGTGCAAACAGCCCAGAAATAACCCACATTATCATCGCCATCATTCCTCGGCTGGCTCGCGCCTGGCAAGCCAATGCCTCAGCATTTTTATGGTACCATTGCGCTGACGCAGGCCTGTTCCTCTGGGAGCCAAGAACCATCCATAGTGCTGGATTACAGACAGGGCCCTCCACTCCACCAGCTCGCTCCGCCTCTCGCTTTTCAAAACAAAAACTATTCATTACCGCCGAGGGACCCCAGGCCGTCAGACCTGCTGTCTACCTGCGGTGCGGCGCACAAAACTCAGTCAGCCTGCCTGCCCATGGACCAAACACTGCTCTCGTTCCACTTCCTGTTGGCATCCACCCTTATGCGCTGGATTTCAATTGAGGGAAGGCAGGGAAGAAGACAGACGCAATACACGTGCAGGCAGAGAGGGAGAGTAGGCCCTCTCCAAAAACTAACCCTGTCATCTACTCAGTACAGAAAGAAATTCAAGCCACTACACAATTTACAAAACGATCACACTAGCTTGTACACATGCACTTGACCCATAAACTGTTTGCACACTTTAGGCAAAGCAGCACAGTCATTCTAACAACGTGAGACTAATTCCGTTGTATTGATCATTCAGCTAACTGCTAAGCTCATCCAAAAACACAGCACTGCAGAGGCCAACTCTTTTTCATTGTTAAGGTCTTCAAATATGTAGCAAAACTGAGTGAATAAGGTAACTGAGAGTTGGGCTAAGGGGGTAATAACCGCTGCACTTTGGCCCTTGTAGACAAGGAAGAATACTCAATCTCCAATTAGAGTCCATGGGAAAACTGGCCTTCCAAAGTGGCATGAAGCCATCAAGACTATTCACTAACAGGGTTTACCAAGCTGTAAAAATCTGTCAATATGGCTCTGTGCCTGCATAGTGGATCTGAAGATATTTTTACCACTTGAAACTCTGCTGTCGCTGGTGTACTAATGACTAGCTGATACTCCGGCACTGCAAGACAAAGCCAAGTGACTCATGTAGCCAATTACAGACAAGTATACTCCGCACTCTCTTTCATCTGGAGTACATGAAGTGCATCTTCATTTAAAGGTCAAAACAGCTTAGAGTCTTGGAGTTCAGGAAATTCTTGACACCTGAAGATTTATTAATCACTGTGAATATAACACAATACGTGTTATTTGTTAGCATCTTTGCATTATAATTTTGCCTCTGGGTAATGTAGAACTATTAATTAATTTGATCTTAATTATATTCCACAACGAGATATTTTCCCAACCTGTGAGCTATAATTCACACCATTTCATAGTGATTTCATGACTGCACTGTTAATGAATGTATGGTATAATGTGACAGCATAATATATGAATGAATTACAATTCATGAATGAGGTTCCAGCATACGTTAGTAACTGTAGCTCTGTGGTTTTTTGTCGTGCAGTTACTCACCGCAGGGTCCTTTGTGTTGGATGTGGATGGCCTTCTGTAGGGCACAACCCATCGCTCGCATCTCGCAGGAACTGCCGTAGCTGTGGCCATCGGATCCGCACACTGGGTCAGACGTTTGTGGGCAGGCCTCGGGGCACTCGCACACTGGCTTGTTGTTTTTGACCACGCACAGTGCCCCATGATCGCACGTCTTATTCAAGCAGGGGCTTGGTATGCTGAGATCTGAAGGTCGACCACCCAAGAGATAGAGAGCAAAGTTAGAGGGGGGGATACTGTACAGGGTAAACCAAAGAGAAGCCAAAAGAATATAAAGTAGAGGTTGGAGAAGGATCTGGGGCTGGAAAGGGCATAGGTGGCAGGGAGGTAAGTTAGAGTATGGCTACATGGGGAGCTGCTCTAGCTTTGCGTTAGAAAAGGTTTGGGGAGAAAAACAGATATGATGGAATATGCAATACAGCCCTATTCCTGTGACATGCCTGCTTCCTTAGCTTCCTATGTCATTTCCTCGCCTTTGTGCCTATCCTAATGTATCCTGGATCTTTGAAAAGCCCGCCGAATCTAGTGGCATGAGGAAAGCAGATAAAAACGTGGCCCTGTAGCACAATAGAGATGAAACAACCTGTGCAACAATGGTTGCACAGCCTTTTTTTTTCAGGCGAGTAAACGCCTGGATTAATTGACGTTCCCAATGTGCCCCATCAAAGGCTTCCATTTGCATCTCAGCGAGACCCACTGCTTCAGCCAAAGCTGGTTGAACTGACATGGAGGAGCGAGGAAAGGAAGAGCAAGAGGGAGAGAGTATTTTAGAGAGAGAGAAAATGTAGAGAACAGAGAAAAAGAAAAAAGAAAAAGACGAAGAGAAGAAAGAGTCCTCTGCTTAATAATTCAAAAAAGGCAAGCTCCTGGGCCGAGGCAGATATGAAATGTGAACATCACAGAGAGGTTGCTTCAGCCTCCCCCTCTTAGGCACTAGCTCCAGCATGACTTCATTAAAACAAGGACTGGATTTTGCAACTATGATTGTCTGTAGCGTCAGATAGGTGTGGGCTGGGCTGATATAACCTGACTTGATCAGGAGGGAGAGGAAACCTGAGAAACGGTATGAACAATCACAGCAATGATCACAGCCTGCCATGCCGACTCAATCTATTCTTTGTAGCTTTATGTGTCAGTGGAAATGTTACATGGCGTTGTGTATACTGAGACAGGGTGCCAGTGTGTGTGTGTGTGTGTGTGTGTGTGTGTCAGTGTTGAGGGCTTGGCTTGATGGTTAAAAGTGGGAGCCTTAAGGTAGGATGGTATACACTCTGGTGTCGAGAGTAAGCAGGAGACGATAGCCTGGCTCCATGGTGATTCTCATTTGGAAAGCTTCACGCATGAGGGATGGATCACAGCTAAATGTGGTGTGTCTGCAGATTAAAGGGAAAAGCAGACGGAGGCATCAAATAATTTTTGATGAGAAGCGCTTGGCGAAAATTGAAAGAGGTGCATTTTACACAAAAGTCAAACAAAACTTCTTCCTTCTTTAGTCTACCTTTTCATTTAGCTTTAGTTAGAGGGGTGGGGGTGCTGTCATAGAAACTGCCCTTGTAATGACGCCACCCATAGCTCCCCCATTATTGTGACCATTATAGGATTAGATGGCATCACAGGGGGGCAAGTTAGCGTGCTTGAAGCCCCATGATTCATTTATCAGACAGAATCATTTAGTAATACTCACCAGAGTAAATTATCAACTGATAACACAGGCGGTGGCAATTAGTTTGTTTCACTCTGATTAAGGCGATGGGAGAGATACGAGAGATCAACCTGAACATCTTAAAACCAATCCTGTGGACCATCTTTCCAAATAATGATAGGAACTGAGGTAAAGATATAAAAAAATAGCAAAAAAGTAGAGAAGACCATATGGGTTCTTAAGGTAACTGAACAAATCTTTCCCGATCTCAAGCGAGGACACAGGCTCTCCCATTTTGGAAAATGAATGTTTCAGTTTAGAATGTGGAACACAGCTATTGATTTCTGTGTTCTGATGCCAAGCTGCTGTTTCAAAAGTGCTCGGAGGTGCCACATAAATATGTAAGCTGTTCAATGCTGCTTAATTTGGTACGGCATCAAAAACAATTGATTCCCTCGTGATCTCCTTTAAACGCCTCGTGTGAGTCTGCGAGTGAGTGTGAGTGTGTGTGTGTGACCGTCTTCAGCTTGTGATCTGAGCTTAACTGTACAACCTTGGCCTCCATAAAAGTTCACCAGCCCACTTCCCAAGGACAGGCTCCTAAAACACAACTGCAGCTTCCGATAACGCCTTAGTCTCCCATTCTCTTTGTTTCACACACATAAAAAAGATGAAAGAATTCCCCTCCAAAACTAATTTTTTATCATCCTCTACCTCTGGGGAGCAGAAATCCTCCCTGATTTATTAACTGGAGAGGGTGTTAGAAAAAAAAAAAAAACAAGACAAAACTCCCAAAGTGTAAAAATCTTATGACACAGTTAAAAACTGAAGCTGTCTTTTTTTCTCTCTTGGATGCAGGCAGAAGCTTTGAAATGGCAGCCTGTCACAACTAAGGCTTGTGGGATGGTGTTCACAAGCCTGTTCCAGCTCTCTTTCTCTCTCTGGTCTTCTCCCAGACACTTCAATGCATCTTCTTCATGCATGTATCAGTGTTTCTGTCAGGCAGGTCCAGAATAAACCAAAGTTGCTGGGTCAAAACCAAGCTATTTATACGTGGAAATTGGCTTGACAGTTGAATAGGAACAGCTGTAGTGCCAAACACATAAGTGCAGTCGCCAAGGCATTGTTTTAGTGGCTGAACAGGTGCAGTGAGTGGTCTGCTGTGGCAGTGGGAAAAAGTCAGGAGAAACGGCAAAAAAACCCCACATGAATAATTCTTTCTAATCAAGAATTCTGCTCTGCTAGCGTGCACTCAGCTCTGTTTCTGTAAAATGACGCCAGTTGAGAGGACTTTACATTCTGGGTGTCACCTCAGTCTGTATCCTGTCCTGCCATCCGCGGTGTAACTTTTCTATTTTAATTAGTGTGGTATTTTAAAGGCACGGCCCCGCTTCAGGGCCTCGAAGAGGATTACTTCAGGTTAGGCCACACTGTGTCAACTCGCCCCAGCAGAGATACGGCCACGTCAAAAATTAAGAGGACACGTTCCTCTGATGTCCTGATATCGGCTTACCTGTCTGCCTGAAGTATTATTACTACCCACTTAGCGGTGTAATCCGACGGGTGAAGTGGTGAGGACACCACAGTGTAACTTCTAAAGCTAAACAACCCACAGTTAGGTGTGATGGCACAGCAATCTCTGGCAGGACACTGGCTGGGATTGTGTGGTTGCTGCAGTGAGCAGGCGTACACTGTTAACCCCCCGTAACATGTCGGTGAAATGCTGGGAGATTATTTTGGCGAGAGCTTCCTCCCATCTCCGCTCAGCTCATACATATGTTAATTGGACTTTTCCCCTCGGGTCCATGTGCAATTCCAAATCGTTCCCTGTATTATGCAGGGCAGTGAATCAGTGTAATCCAGGTGATGCTTGCAGTAGCCAACTGGCAGGGACAATCGCCCACAACTGCAACCCATTACAATACAGGACTCCAATGGGGCGCAGCCAATCTTCAGCAAGCCCCGCCTTCTGTGTTTCTTCACCTGCAGGGCTTTGATCTGTCTCCCTTTGCCTTCCTCGCATTAAAAACATTTATGTATCATATTAGTTGTGGGAAAGGGAGGCGCAGAAAAAAGGCTATATTAGCATACAGCAAAAGGCAAACCCGCAGGCTGTGTCTGTCTACCACTGAATACTTATCACAGGCAGAAGGTGAATCGACACCTCTTTGTGCATTTACAACTAAGAATGTGCTGCTCTTCAAAATGGAGACAAGCAAAAACAGCGTGGGGAAAGAATAAAGACAAGCCGGGATCCCTGATCTTGTGGCATGTATCTATCAGACGTGAGATGACGTGTAAACACTGTTTGTCTAATCCAAACACCTTATTTCTCATCGCTGTGTGTGTGCCACAGGAGGTTTCACAATGATTTTGAAGATTTCTCAGACTTAAGTACGCAAAAGAAAGCATAAGTGAAAATGGAACGATACCTCAAGCTCAACATTTATTGCATCTTCAATCAAGTCAGGAGCTACACCAGTAGGAAGGGTTCAGAAGAGACAGGAAATGAAATGATATTGTAGAAAATTTAAGAACTGTGTTGTTGATCACATCCCAATGGTATCCAACAAGCCTCGACACCCTATTGACCCACATTTCTCTGCAATTTCTGTACGATGACAGCCTGCGGGCCGCGGTAAGTGGACCAGCGCTCCCTAGCTGCTGTCAATCTGGCTCTCATAGCACTTCCTCTAATTAACTTGATTAGGAAAAAACAGCACTGGTGATCTCAGGCTGACTTACATACTCAGGCTCCATAACTGTTTGTTAGTCCAATCACTGCAGCCGGCTGAGACGCTAATCAAATAAACATGCAAATGATAAAATATTCGGCACAGAGTCTTGACACCTAAGGTGACTGAATTTTCTTTCCTACTTTGCAGAGCTGTTCGTCAATGACAATATGTCTGCTGCTGAGTGATTCTGTGTTAAACTCCGGAGGCGACAGGCAACACATTTGAAGCAACTCGCTTGAGTTTTTCTGCGCTTGCAATCATGCACTCACACACGCTCAACTGTGTACACATAAAATGACAAAAGAGCTGTGAATAAAGAATTGCTGAGTGCAAAACTAGCTCTTTCATTTGTTCATTCATAGTTTGCTTGCCAATGTGTTCCTCTCAGACTGTGTCTGTTTTAGTGGTTTTACAAAATGATCCTTCTCTGTGGTCTCAAAAGCCACGGTGCTGCTTGCTTTTCTATTTTATACCAGCCGAACAGCCTTTTTTTAACAGCATAACTACCAATTTAGAAGCTATCCACTTTCTATTCTACTAATACCAGATGTGATGCCAGGACATCAACATGCTCCAGTGAGTTGTGGTAAGCCACCTCACACCCCTGCTTCTACAGAATATGCACTAAAATAACTTTACTTACAGGGGCAGCAGAAAAAAGCCCATCTGGACAGAAAGTGAGCAGTGATTTAACTTGGGCCAAGCCTTCAGAATAATTCCTGTTTTTATAATAAGCTTTATTTAGCTTTTTTTTATACTATTATATCAGTTCACGGTCTTTCTGCTGTCCAACCAGATGATGTTTTACAGGCCAAAACTTGAGTTGAAAGTTGGACTGATGGTGGCACCGGATGACTTGTTTCATTGAAAATGTATTCCTGTTGTATTGTGATACAATAGACTCAATGGAGAAGCAAAAAAGCAAAGCTGGAGAGAAAGCCTCTGAAAACACAAGGGTGTCCATTGCTTGATCCTCTAAATATAGTGGAACAATTATCACAACATTTCTGCTACAATAGCCCGCACTGCACGCACACTTCCTTGTTTAGTTTGCGTTGGTACCCTGCTGTGCTGACATCATACGGGAAGGAGAGGAAAAAGAGGACTTGCTTCATTCTAAAAATATTCTTTATGTGTTCCATGCAGTGAAACGTCTAATCGACACCAACTGTATGGATTTACAATAAATTATAGATTAACCACAGCGGACAGATTTTTTTTTGCAGTGTGGGTTTGAAACAATGTTTTGATATTTTTTTGCATGTATTGGAGAACAGCAACATGATAAAAGCTTCACGCTAAGTAGGTTATGAAAATTCCAACACAAGCATGATGGCAAATTAAAATACAACTGATGATCTAACAGTGGATGTGTGCCATCTCATTGGGTTGTCTGGAGAAGACAAAGATCTTCTCTTCTTCCAGTGTCGCTGGGCTCTTATATTCTATCCCAGAATCACAGGCTGCAGACCTATTAACCCTCCCTCACAGCATCACTTATTCTTGGATGTCTTGACGATTTGTAAATCTCTAAATTGAAGAGCTTCAGATATCAATAAAATTTTCTAGGGCAGACAGCAGTCAGGACTTTCTAGACATGTGTGTTCTTTGCATGACCATTCTTTGTGGTGGCGAGCACTGAGAGGGGAGGGGTGATATTAAGCGCTGTCATGTGAAAGGAGATTTACGACGGAGTCTGAACCGAACTATTTCATCCGTTTGACAGCTGGCAGGGCGATCGATCTCGCCGCCCCACACACCACTCAGCCAATGAAACGAGAAAAGAGATCATTATTTATCAAATAACGATAATTTAATATATCAAACTCTTTCTTTTCAGATATATGAAACTTTGTCTGAAGCCCCAAGTCTGTGCATGCGTATGTGTGAGTGTGTGTGTGTGAGTGTGCACCACAATGACATTGGTCATTGTGCAGTCATCTTTTGATACTGCTCGTCACTGTCACAGCACAATAGAACACATTGGAAGTGTGTGTCTGACAGTCTACAGTGTGTGTTCCTGCTGCGTGATCAGTGTGGGCTACTGATTTATCTCCAACAAGTCAGTCTTTTTGGAAGACAGAATGACAAACACACACAAACACACACACACACACACACACACACACACCATGCATCCCTAGGGTGTCTGTCAGGGTTGTGAATATCTTGTGAAGTCTTTTGGGCAATGCTGTTACAGAGACAGACCTCTTTCTAATCTGGACTCAGTCCTACTAACACACTGGCAGTTAAACAACATCAAAAGGACATGAGAGAAGGAAGGAAGGAATGGAGGGAGGGAGAAAGAAAGAGAGAAAAAAGAAATAGAGAGCTACCATGTACATGGACATGCAAACACACAGCTTGCATGCATATCATCTGTTTGACTAAACCTACAGTCTCTGTGGGCGCCTACGCTTGCCTTTTTTGATGTTTAATTAAAACTGAATCGGTGGGGGTGAGTGTGTGTGGGGGGGCATTTGTGGTGCTCTGTTTTGAAAAATATGCAAATATCAATAAAAATGCATTAAAGAAACATACTACCAGCCGCTTCCAGGGGAAGGGAGGAAGGATAAAGAGAGAGAGAGAAAGTAAAATAACCAAACAAATGAGGGAGGGGGTAGGACACCACTTGCCAGAAATAATGAAACAGAGCAAAACACATAAAAGCTCACACGGCCATTTCCACTACTTAATTTATGCACAGCTCTGAATGCCCGAATAATGCTAACGAGCGCTGGTGCCTCCTGATGCTGACAACTGCAGATACCTTCTGTATTCAGCTCCACCCCCACCGCCTGGAGGATAGACAGATCTCTCTCATTTTATTGAACTCTATCACAACAACAATGAAAATGTGGAAGCTATGTGGATTTGTTGACTGAGTAGTGTGACACCAAGCAGCACAAGCAGTTCACCCTGGCTTTATCATGCATGCTGGGTTATCGGGTTATTATGGGAACCAATAAAAATGCCTTTTCAATTCAAGAAGACGAGCTACTCAAATCACCTTCAAAAATTACTAGAGGCACTTACTTGGCCAAATAATCTGTCTATGTCATGCCTTGAAATACACTTGGAGAAAAAAATTAAAGGATTCACATATGGATCCAACAAGGAAGAACTCAAAAGGTGTTAAGCACAGATCAGTGTCAAAAATGGGTTGTTATGACACTGGCAGATGGGGAATGAGTCAGACACAAAGTTTAGTGTCATCTTTCAAAATAGGCATGTATTTACAGGGAAATCCATTAAAATGTTGTTTTTGACAAGAAAAGAAATCAGAGATCCATGTGTAAATGTGGAGGTGAATTAAAAAGTTATAAGTGAGAAAATATGATTGATTGTAATTTGGGTGAATCTGGCATTTAAAATAGGGCAATGACCTAATTGTTTTTGACATTTCATCTTTTCTGTCCGATCGACACATTTGTTCAAGTGTGTGCAGCTCCTGGAACAAGCTCCTGAACAGTTGCTTTAAATTTGAATTCATTCACAGGTTAATAAATTGCCCAGATAAGCTAAGCTCAGAATCTGACACATCTCTTATTGACTTGTCTATCTCTCTTCAATCTTATTTTATTAGCAAAGAGCAATTTACAATACATTCAGGTAGCAGGCTTCTTAGTTTCACCAGACAGAACAATGATTATATTCAATGACAATGTTATATTATATTATATTGATTGTAGTCACAGTTAAAAAGAGCACACATTCATTTTTGGTCAGCAACAGGACACAAAATCTTGCATGTAGGTTGAATGTGCTACATGCTCATTCACCACCATGACCCGCACCCCATGCTTACTTAGCCTAGCTACATAAGAGACAAACTATTTCTTGCATTGGCATTGGACACTGGTAATGGATGTAAATTCTGAGTTTGCCCACACTGATATCATCCTACAACACTGACTGCCGGTTTGCCGCGAAATCGAAAACGTCGCCAGCTGCAGATGATATGAGCTGTACAAGCGATTTGAGCTTATCAATTGGTGACAAATATGTGCAAAAGTAAGTAACACCACACACACAACTGTGTCAGACACATAAAAATATCACATACCTGAATCTTAAAGTTTTAGCCAAGTTATTTTTAATGTTATTCACTTTCAATTGTTGAAAAGTCAAGATAAAATGATATAAGGGATTCCAAAGGAATCTACTAAATGCAGTCAAACTCCAACCCTAGTGCACTGTTTATGCTCCTAAATGATAAAAAAAAAAAATCGGAGCATTGTGCAATTGGCAGTTTCAAGCTTTTATGAAATAGTTCTGATGATGGAGAGAGGGATTGTTGGGAAGCAGAGAGGTTAGGAACTGGCGTGCACTACTGCATGCAGACAGAAAGGAGTCAGAAATGAGCAGTAGTTAGGCAGGTAGGAAGAGGAGAAGCGTTTTTTAGTTAGACAGGAAATAAAACACAGAGATCAGGGGGAGAGGACGACTTCTCCAACCTCACGGATCACATCTTTTCAGTTGGGTAAACAGAAGGAAAGGACATTAATGACAAAAAGAGACAAACAGAGACAGAAGAGTGAGAGGAAAAAGACAGCAGTACAAGACCCCTCCTGTTAGGTCCTTTCGAAGCGAGAGGAAGGGCTTCACCCCTCAGAGTCCGCCTGATGAGGTCGCCCACTGGGTGACCCCACTTTCAACCTGCAGCCAGACAGCCAGGAAGATGGCCACATGGACAAAGACAGACAGACAGACTGACGCACTGAAACAAGAAAGAATAGCTTTTTTTTATACAAGACAAAAAGCCACACACAAGACAAAGAGACAAAGACAGAGGAGAAACAATCGACAAAACCCACCAAAGTGGAAGACTGGCACTGGTTATGGAGTAGAGGACAGAGTGGATAAATTAAACATGAAGGCGTGTTTCATTTCGGGTGTGTGTTTGAGATGGAGGGATGAGGAGATGGATGGGAGTTGAAGGAGTGGAGAAGTGAAGGCACGTTTTTAAAAGAAGGCACACAAGTTCTGTTGGTTTGAGTTACCCCTATCCCCCTTTAGAGAGCATCACTAAACCATTTCAGACACTTTTCAGTAAAGTATAAAGTATAGCCATACATACAGTTACCCTAGAAGATACAGAAGGAAAAACACATTGACTAGGCATTAGTCAAAAGCAGAGAAAGACACAGAAGAAGAGGGATTGAGAGGAAACAAGCATTACTCGTTGTAAAGATCCAATAGAAGCCATTACCCCTCTTTCACATCCTCTAGCTCTACTCACCACAGGGCCCTGGCTCCTTGATGGGGATAAGGGTCTTGCTCAGACACTCCGCCTTGCGTCGAACACAGTCGTTGGTGTAGGTGTGGCCGTCCTTGCCGCACACAGGCTTGTAGGTGCCGTCACATTCGATGGGATCGCAGGAGCAGCGGGCCTTCAGCTGTTCCACCAGACACACAGAGTTGAAGAGGCACTCCTCCTTACAGTCCTCTGGAAGAAGGAGATTAAGAAAGTAAAGAAAGGAAATTTATCTACAATCTATGGATTGTCTATTCCTGCAGAGTTCACCTAACTCTAACCCATTTTCAGACTCATCAAACCTTGCAGTAACCTCTTGTACATGGTATGGAAACATCTGCATTCGTTATATTTCTCCGCTTAATTCTTCATGTTTTTTCCTTCAATTTGTCACCCATCCGTTCAGACACTGATAAGGTTTTTTTTTTTTTTAGAGCTGTTTCCAACTACTCCAACAGTGTGGCAGACTGATCACCATAGAGGAAAGGACAACAGTACTCAGCAAGCGCAAAAAAAAACAACATTTCAAGCTAGCAAAGTGTTGAACTGATTGTTCTTCCTGCTGCGTGACACTGCTGGTCCAACCTTTGGGAAATAAATCCGTTTCCATCCACACAGTAATTACTTGTTAGGGTGGACTGATGTCACTGGTAGTGCATGCAAAGTCTTTTCTTTCAGCAGCAGAGGTTACGCCTTCTACAGAAATACATGAAACTGAACACATTCGAAATTCATATGTGTCAGTTTGTTGAGAATGAATACAGTAATTCTAAGAAGAATCAAGCCAAACAAATCAGGCAACAGACTGCAGGTGGACACAGTACTACATTTTTATGTTAATTTTGAGTATTCATTGTTTAGGCTAATTTTGTCCAAAACACATTAGGTGAATAAAAGCAGTTAATTTGTTTACTTCATTTTTAGAACAGTAACAGTCATGTTTTTGCTGCGATAATTGAATGATTGTTTTTACCATACAAGGGACTGGATCATCAAAATGTGAAAATATATTAGATTTGATTGAATTTAATTAGATTATTAGATTTGCAGTTGTTTTAGTTTTAGTTCAGGATATTCCGGAGTAATACACATGTAAATAACTGCCACATTGTTTTATTTCTTTACACATAGTTCTATTATTGTTTTATAACTTGCATTTGTTTATTCCATATGCATATATTTTTACATTCATTTATGTCAACTGTATGTTTGTCTATGTCTAGCACCTAGTCACCATAGAAAATTCCTTGCACGAGCAAAATACTACATAGCAATAAAGCTCTTTCTGTGTTCTTTGGTCATGTAACGCATGACAATTGACTGGATATTAGGCTGGCCATCTAACTTTAATAATAAAGTTCTACAATAACTTTAATAAAATTGGGGAACTCAAACAAAGAATTTAATATTAGGGTCAAGTTAAAGTCTAAACTATTTTATTCATTACATTTTGACTCACTAAGCACAAATTTAATGCGGAAATTAAGAGGAAAAAAGAAATACTGGTAATGTGAAATGGCAAATTTGTCACTGAAGTGAGAAAATCCAATCTGAAGCAAGCCTCTGTTCTGGAGGCGCTCACTAGTCTACGGATTTATTTCATTCCTGATCAGTGGATCAAATTTGTACAGCAATTCAATTCCTTCTTCTCTTTTCTTTAAAAGCCTGTCATGCCACACTTAATTACATCACTGCTGTATCTGAGTGAGAGGGCTACAAGGATGTGCAATGTCATGGTTACAAGTCGAAATGGCCATTTTCATTAGATACCAATTTGCCATTTGCTTAGGGATATGATTTCATGGATCTCTGTTTCAAATTGAATTATTCTTTAATTTGAAAAAGGCATAGCGAAAAGGGGTGGGGGGGTGGGGGGGGTGGGGGTGGGGCGTTCACCCACTTGCTCACGCACATGTCCGCACACACATAGTGACACACAAACACAACCTTGAAACACTACTTGGATGGGATTTGTGCAATTTTAAACCTTCCATCAGGTTGTCAGGCAGAGCTAATGGGAGAACCAGGGTGTGTCAAAGAAGTGTGTATCAGTCTTTATTGTTGAATCTACCAAAGGGTGTCCTGCAGTGATCTATTCTTGTCTTTGTCATTGTCTGGGGTCTCAGTGAATGGGGAAAGGGTCTACGCACATCACTGTTGTACACCAACACAGTTGTGGCTTTACGTGGCCCCGCTGACAACACAGCGGGAAAATTGGATTTCCTCCGATGGCTATCAGATGTACAGTAAAAGCTGACAGCTCTTTGTTGACTATGGCTTAAACCCCCTGTTCTAATAGCACAGATAACAGCCCTGGAGGCTCTTATCAGGCTGGAGGAAGCTACTGCTAGCATGGATACAGTACGGACCCCAGGACCTTCGAATCATTTATCTCTGTGCCATGCAGTGGAATACAGTTACAGAGTTAGATTTTAATGCTAGTTCACCTACACCTGTTCAAATCTTAGGAAGATATCATGTGAAATATGTAAATGTGTGCATATATGATAATGTGATGCAAATGTTTCTGTTGCGTTTTTGCCAGCCCATTTCGTTTCAACCTTCAACCCCATCTCAATATTGAGGGTGGTTTGCCTAAATTAAAACATGCACTATTTTTGTTCACTAGACCTTTGTGATGAATGTGTTTAAGAAAAATAGTACATTGGTGGATTGCCAAACTGCTAAAGATAGGCATTATGCTTTGAAGGTTTCTGTTGAGCACTCTCCCGAGCATTGGACCAGGATTATTTTAACAACAGTGAATAAGTTTTGAAAATGAACCCGACAGAAAAGTCTCATGTGTTGTTACATAATAACATGTTCATCTCTACGTAACTTTTCAAAGTACTAGCAGTCCACAAACATTCTATAGTGGTAGAGTCCTTCAGGTGGAAAAGTGGGTGGTTATTGGGTGTCCACCTATCTGCTATGGGTGAGGTGCGAGGTTATGGAAAGTAACAAAGTAAAGTCAGGAAAAGTTAACTAATTCGACAGGAGGGCCAAAAGGTAAAAAAGCCAAAGGTACATTGCTACTCATCTTACATATTTTTGTGCATATTTATATATTTACAGTATATATATATATATATATACATATATTTAGCACATTTGGATGTAATCTTTTGCTGTAATTTTGTCTCGTCTCACCTTGCCCTCCTCAGGATAATACAGCAATAATGCAAAACAAGAAGAGGGAAGATATATCGAAATGTTATTAATTAAAAAGTCTGCATTGGAGTTATGAGCGTGTGATTTTACCCTACTTCTTTTTATATCAACCTACCTGCAAGTAGGCACCTCACTAGAATAGAAGGCATTTTTCTCCAGCTGCTCATAGCTTACTATACTGTTTTATCCAGTGTGTTTTTGCACTTAATTTTCCCGACTCTGATTCCAAAAAGTTGTGCAATTTGGCAGTTAGTGTGAGCCCAGTTGTCTTTTTCACAATATCTCTCTTAGTTTTCGGTAAAGGCCACAAAGTTCGCTCTTACCCAGACTGTTGCATCGTCCTGCATGGATCTTCTTGAGCTTGATGCTCTTCTGCATGGCCGTTGCTGTCATTGCACACTCGCTGGGGTAAGTTTGGCCGTCGCTGGCACACAGAGGCTCATTAGCTGGGGGGCACGAAGATGGCGGGCCAAAGATAAGGGGCTGGCGGGTGAGAGCCTCCACCCTGCACATTGTGTTCAGACTGTTCTCATTGTCTTTACATGGGTCTGTGGAGACATGGACATTCATGAATATGTACTGCACTACAGCACAGTATGTGGTACAATTTGATTTGTGAAATAACATATACAATATTACATTTAAAATATTACAGGATATGATGTGTTTACTAAACTGCCTCAAAACTTCCTTTCAAAGTTAAGCTCATGTTGCTTTGGTAAGCATGGTTTCAAATTGCAGTAAACAACATTATTCCTTTTTTTCAACCCAAATAATCATCTCAGCAAAGGTTGAATGGATTAACATTTGTAAATTTGACAATATTTGAGTAAATTCAGAGAGAAGAGAAATGAAGAAAAAGGAGAAGACTATGAAAAGGAAGAGGTGAAGAGGAGACATGAAAACCTCCATCACTAGGGATGTAGTGGTACATGTAATAATGTACTAATGTCGCTGCCTCCAAATGGCAAACACAACTGAGAGAACAGGTGCATGCGTACAAACAGTGCTGGAAACGTGCGTACTCCACTTCCCACACAAAGGTTGTGATTTATAAAAAACAAACTTGATGGGAGAAAGTGTGGTCCTCCTTGCAAACTCTGAGCCACATAAACTGGAGAAATGACAAACGGCGAATTACCGAATCACGTGTCAGAAGGATGAAACGGTCTGAAATGAACAGGCCTACTATTGTGTAAAATAAATTGAAATATTACCTCTGATTATAGGCTTAAAGCATTTCTGATTTTCCCTGAAGTGCGCAAAAAACCCCATCATTTAAGATAATTTACAGCGCACACAAAATGAACCAGATTTAGAATCATAAACACAAACGGAGATATCCGTTTCTGCAAAAGAACGCCTCAAATATGTTGTACAGTGTAATCAGGAATCATATTAATTAATAGGCTACTTGTATGCAGTGCAATTTATTCTAATAAATAAGGTGAACAGGAGGAGAAATTACATTTAAATGCAATAAATGTGTCAGTCGAGCAAATACGAGTGCATAGTTTCATGTAGCCTGTTGTTATCACATGTTCGTTGGCTTATCATGCCAAACGCTGTGCGCCAGCGTGTGGATGTGATGCGCTGCATGTAAAAGTTTATATCATATAGCCTGCAACAAGTTAGATTTCTTTAACTCATCGGCAGGCTCGTTAAGTGAGTGGACTGTTTGTGTAGCCTAAATACATGTTTAAACACAGGTGGAATGCATTTGGTTTACTCTCTTTTCAAACGGGGGAATCCAGATTAGTACCCGGGTCATCCCATCTTGTGTGTGTGGTTCCCCCTCCAGCCAGTGACGTCACTACTCAAGAGGAATGCCCGTTCCTGCAGATCGTTTGTAAAGGGGTGGAGCTCCGGTTCCCCCTTTCCTTCGGTGCACAAGCTTTGCGTGAAAGTGCGTTTTTTACCCACCAAACATGCTTCAGCTTCACCAAAATGAACGTCAGTGTCACACTGAGTTAAAGTTCATTTTGTAGCTTTTCTGTCAGAATTAGCCTCCTTTTCTTCATGTAGTCAGTTCGTATTAATATTAATGAGGGGTGTTTCAGTGACCATTTATAGGAAACTATGGGCGTTTGGAGGGTCGGACAAGGAGCTTGCTCACGCCACATTTCAGGTTGATTGTGATTTATAAAGGAAACATTGCTTACATGTGTGCGTACGCACGGTTTTTTAACATTTATGGATTTTGGGTGCACGTACACTTTTAGAGAGGATTCTACACACAGTTTTAAAAATGAGACCGCTGAGCTGGAGGATCCTCCTGTGACACAAATCCACTGTATGGGAGCATTAATTATGATTTCCAAGTTAGTTACATCAAAAATGGACAACAATTAGTGTCAAACTGTATGCCAACAATGATTAACTCAAGTCGAGTATGTTTGTGTAAACACTGTCATGTATGAGAGCATCAAGCAAATGTGTCGATTAGCGGAACATGCAAAAAATGACTGGAAGTCGTTTTCCCCACTGCGTTCAGGCAGCCTCACACAGCAGGTTCGGACCATACCAAAGTAACAACATATGCTATAGAATGTCTATTATTATTATATGCCAATATGCGAACACACTCGGTCACAGAGAATACAGTATTTAAACATATGGTCAAAGTGATTGAGCCCTGCTACAATGTGCCTCAATGTGTGCATTTTAGTCATTCTGTTGTGCCTGCCCTAAGTAACACAAATTTCAGTGATGCTCCATGTATTACTGACATTTGTGTTTTTTTCTGATTGACAATATGCCAACATTTGCATGCCTTAACTCTTACAGTAAGAATTATGCCCAGTGAGCCACTGAATATACGGTATGTTGACTGGTACATACTGAACCCCTATCCATCACTGTTGCTTCACAGATTTTATCAGTGGCCCAGCAGTTGAGAGCAGTTCAGAGTGGGACCTTGGATTTGGAGGCAAGACAAGGAAATGGATGAGGAGACGGTCGGTTTGAATTGCTCCCTGGCACCTCCCTCCATCCAGGGGAGCATCGGTCTGGCACACTCGGCCATATCAGTCCGTGATCATAATGGAATTGGTTTGTGTGGGGCGTGGGTGTTACTCCTTGAAACAGGAGCCCAGGCTTTATCCTATTCGCTATGCTTTCAGCATGTGGGAAGACAAAGGATTTATGTAGCACCATGACATATCAAATCACTGCCAAGCTGCCGGCGAGTCATTCAAAACACACCAAGGATGAAACACCCAATCATAAGGAAAGGAGTAGAAAGCAAGACAAAGTGCATGAGAAAAAGAAAATATGGAAAATGATTTCCAAACACCTCTGGCAGAGATACAAAGAGTGACAATGCAGAGACATAAAAAGGGACAGAGCACTTTGGCTGCTGAGGGCTGGGAGGCGGAGTGACCACGGCCAGCTTTGGCCAGGCCTCAGATTGTTTTCTATCAGCACAATGCAAAGGCTTTCAGAGACTAACAACCAAGGAAACAGGGGTTTTATTGTAATGCATGCAGTGTCTCTGCAAAACGCAGCGTCTCACCCGCCAGCCAGACCATTATCTGAGAGAAAGACCATTACCTCCCATTAACTGAGAAGAACTGCTTCCAGGATCCATGCTTTCCTCTAGCTGAGCAAGTATGGTAATTACAAAAAGAATGGTCTGTTTGCTGCAAAAACTAGCAGTGCAGATAAATCAACTGCATTTGTCTGGCTTGGGCTAGCAACTTGAAATAGCCAAGGCTTTAGATGAAATGGCTGTAGGAAGATTTAGAGGACCATCAGAGACGACTGGTATGAGAGCACCCCCCCCCGGGCAACTCAGGTCACTCTGGCCAACTCAGACTAAATTTATATGACCAACCTTCCACTGGTGGACCTGCACATCCATCTCCTGTTGCCCACCACCCTGCTCTGTCTCTCAAAGGCTAAAGCTGCTAAGAGACAGAGTTTGTGTTTGCTGTTCTTTTCCTCCACCTGGCTCGCCACAAAAAAGTTGAGTGCCTTGGGAGAACAACCATCGCCTGATGCTAACAACGATGAGCAAAAAAGCTCGCCCTGACGAAACGACAGCTTTGAAGACCTACTTCCGAGCTGGAAAAACATTAGCACTGCAGGAGTACCTTTGTGAAGCAAAGAGAATTAGCAAAGGCGCACTGTAAATAAGTGGGGTGTGTAAAGGAGAAACAACAAAAGCAAGAGGTAGTAAATAGAGTGAAGAGAAGAATAGAGAGGAAAGGAGCAGATAATGTAGAGTAGAAAGAAAGGTAGAGTATTTTCTAGTAATATATATTATTACTATTATTATTATATTACGAGAGACAGGAAATGTGGGAGAGAGAGAGAGTGGATGAAATGCAGCAAAGGGCCACAGGTCAGACTCAGTCCCAGCACCTCAGCTTGAGAAGTCAGTCTATCTATTTTCTTAACACAATTCTGCCGGAGACCCACCTTCAAGTAAGTTATAAGCAAGCATGTGAGGAGCCTAGCTAATAAGAATAACTATGTTAATGTTAGTATACAGCTGGGTCGTCGAGGTTACTGTACATAGCTGTTAGTCAATATCGATTGCACCCCCCCACCCCCACCACCCCACTGCCACAGTTACGCTGTAATTCTGTGGGACACACTGCACTGTGCATTTACAGATGTTTCTGCTGGTTTCTCTTAAAGCTAATAAGCCTGTTTCTTCCATGCTAGCATTTCAGTGGCATGCTGCAACATAACACCGCCCCCTGGCGATAAGATTGCCAATTTATGATTTCAAATAGCCATGATTAGATGATATGAAAACAGAGAAGATCACCCAAGCCTAGAGCGGTGAGCAGAGGTAGAGCTTTTTGACAGTTCTGAGTCATTTATCTAGCAAATATGCCAAAAATGGATTCCCCTTGCTTATATGATTATAAATGTAACATTTTCAAATAATTTGAAGATGGCATCTTCGGCGGTGAGAAATTGTGATAGTGGACAATAAATACACTACATAAATTGATCCATGATAGAAAATAATCCTAAAGAAAACATGAGGAGAGAGCTTACCACAGTGCCCTTGATATTGCACTCGTATGTTCTTTTGAATCTTGCAGGCGCTCTGATGGAGCTCACACTCGTTGCGGTAGTCCTTTCCATCACTGCCGCACACTGTCTGCTTGGGTTTGCCCTCGCAGCCGAGGGGGCACATGCATTTAGCCGACAAGCCATCTGAAGACTGGACACAGGTGCTTCCATAACTGCAGGCCACCTCATTGCAGGGGTCCTTCAGAGCTGCAGGCAGGGACGGACATGAAAACAAGGTTTAGTCAAAAGCAGGGGGTTCTTCCATTGAAGAATATACCTGTCAACCAGCTGTACTCCAGGACACTCACTGCTGCTTCAGTGGATCATGGATGACAGGCCACCTTATTTAGGTAGCTGCTGGTGCACTTTTAGAAGCTCAGTGCTGTTATTCTGGGTTTGAAGAACTACTTGACACCCCTGGGTAAGGGCCCACGGCCACAGCGGTCTACTCATGCAAACAAGTTGCGTTTCATTTCACAGCGCAGCACAAATTGATTTAGGAACTCTGAATTCATAACACATTCTCTATTGCTATGCTTGAGCATGCTTTAATCGCCACAGCTGAAAAGCGACCCTCTGAATATTTACCTTTCTATAACTGAGACCAAAAAGGGAGGAGGGAAAAAGGGAGAGAGGTATTCCCCCCCGAGGACTTTGTTTCCACCCTAATTAAACAGCATGCCACTTGTCGCTGAGTGACTCATTCCGATGATAGGAGACGGTGCAACTTTTAATTTCGCCTGTCTTTGCCACTGATGGGTGCTTTTCTTGGGTTTCATATGCTCGACAAAAGGCAGCCATCAGATTACAATCGCTTTCATCTTGCTGTATGATACATATTTATGACTGTCATGGACAAACATGCTCTCCCCTGAGAGAGAAGCCGAGCATATGCAACCCTCTCATTTCCTAAGCCTGCCACTTTAGAATAAATATTTACCCATGTCTGATATTATCCCCTCTTTTGTTGCAACCAACACAAATTCATTTAATTTAAAGATGGAGTGCATATATTGAATCTCAGATTCTGTCACCGCTCGTCTTGAAGAAAAGACAATAAAGGAATGTGTTTCAGGTTTGTCTTTTTTTTAAAGATAGAATGGCACTGCCTTGTTAATAAGAGACTGAAATGTGTGTAGAGAAATATTATGAATGTGTAAGGAGACAAGAGTGCTACAAGGAGTGCTCTTGATCAAAGGATATCCTCCCACCTCGCTTTCCTCATCTTCATGACACATTTTCCCCCCTTTCTCTTTCTGCTCTCTCCTGTCAAGTCCTTTTGAGGTTTGGTGCGTTGGACTCGTTAACGAACACTTTTCCCCCCCATTTTATATTTGTGCAGCAGGAATTTTGAAACAGACTCTAGACCAAATTTATGACAAAGACACCTCAAAGGTAACTTCAAAATAAGGTACTAAATTACAGCTCTAACTAAGGGAGACTGATGAATATGACTTAACTGAAATCATAAGTCATTGTGAGCAATCGATGGTGGCTTAATGGCAGCCAATGTGAACTAGACAGTGATTGTGACACTTGGCCTCTAATTTCTGTCATCATATGAACAATGAGACACTGATGACCTGTGGGAAACAGCGCTGTAGTAATGACCTTGTTTTTTCTGCCAGAGCAGGTAAAAGGCCATGTTCAATCATAGCAGCATCAATTACAAACAAGTTAACCCACTATACAATTTGACCTTATAACATAGTTTGGGCTCTTGTAAAGTAGCATACAATACTAGTAGAAATAATCTTCAAAGAAGTTCTGTTTTGATGCACTTTCTGTTGGAAATGGGAGGAGGAGATATGTTGTTCTGACAAGAAGAAGCAACTTGTCATAGCGCTTACAGTTTTCGTAAAATGGTGGTTGTTAAGGCGGAGGTGGCAGTTACAGCGACTGAGGAAGATGAGGGAGAAGATCCTCCTCTCCTGCAGAGAGGTCCCCTGTTTGCTTCGTGACAGTAAACAGCACCCTTGCGCTTCTTGATCTCATTAAAAAATAGCCCGGGCTTTCTCCCTCTCTTTTCCTGCAAGCGAAGCTGGCGTGTTGACAGGCAAAGAGGGGTGGTTGTGATAGTAAGGGGCACGAGAGCTAGGTAGAAAAGGGGGAGGTGGGGGCTCTTGATTTGAATGCTAACGGGGGCCGTTTTGGATATGAAGCACTGCCTCGATGGGGCGTTAGTGCAGATAAGCCTCTCTTCTCAGACTCAGACAAGCAGGCAAATTGCCTGGGTGAATGTGATCGGTGTAACAAGCGGAGAAAAAAAAGAGAGAAAAAAAAACACACTCACCACAGCAAACTTTAGGGAGTTCTCGCTTATATTTTCTCATAATTATCATGTGAAAGGTGGCAAAAAAAGAAGAGAAAGCGGGGAACTGAAAAAGTCAGCAGAGCTGGCTTTGCTAAATTAGAATGATCCTCACTGCCAATTAGATCAGTCTCCCTCGCTGGAGTAATGCACAGCAAGGTTTAGACTGCAAGGATAATGAGAAAAAAAGGCAGATAAGGATACAGATAGACATTTAGATAAGACACAAAGTGACACTGAAGCAACGGCATTCCAGCACAAACAGAGAGAGAGGACATCTCTAGCTTGTGGTGAAGGAAGGAGAAGACAACCCAAAGTTGGCATAATGGGGCCCAATTAACAGAAATTCCTTCATATATGTATTTACATGTAAGGAGACTAAATGTTGGTTTATTTACATTTAAGATACAGAATTTTTAAAATATATCTATTTTAAAAGCACTTTGGGCTCATTCCTGTCAGTCCATCACAGCTGGACCTGGATTTGATTGGCTCTTTTTACCGAACAATGGCTCCAGCTCTTCTGATCAGAGGCATGGAGTATTTGAATTAATACACCTCGTGGAATATCTACACTCATTTGAATCAATGGGCCGGCACTGTCTGCCAGTCAGGAACGTATTGTGACTGGTCTACCCCCGTGTCTTAGTGTGAACTCGTGTGATGTGGCGATTCCTGGATACACACCATCACACATCAAGAGTAACACACAGACATCTCTGCAAGTTGGGCTTTAATGTGGGGTAAATCCAGATGTAAAGTGGCAGAGATGCTCACAAGTCTTTGACCTAGAGTCCAAGTCAAGTCTCAAGTCTCTCGTGGTTATAATGAATGTTGTATCACCTGCTGCGTTCAAACCAGGCTGCTTATTAAACTGCATAGCTATGAGGGATTCTCTAACTGTAACCTGTTTTTCACTTATAGAGCACAACCGTGTAATGTGCACTGCAATTAATGACAGCTTATTAATGACTGTAAGTCAACACATCCCCCAGACTCTTAAACCAGTGTCTTATTAATGAAATCAACACTTTTCAGGGCAGAAACTACCTTTCAGTCAATAAGTAGAGGCTGCAATCACTTTCTGGCAAGTGAAATATTGCATTTTATGGGCTTTACTGGCCATTTAAAGGTATTTTAACAGGTAAAAAGGACTGGATTGGTTGGTACACAGCCAGTTAAATAATATAGAGTCATAAGGATAATTGCAAAAGAAATCATGTCTTTATTTTATATTTAACTCAGCAGTAAGTCATGTTAATTTTAGGCTATAGTCTGTTTTCCAAATATAAACAAGGATGTTAGACATACGCCTACCAAACACATAGGCTAATCCATCGGCAACAACAAGCTCCTTTTATTGATATCATGTCATGCCTGATTACGCTATAAACTGAATTGTGATTATTCCATTACAAGAAACGGTAAAGTTTCACAAAGACATACCTTTGCTATTACCATGGACATAAAGTGATGTTTATTTGCACGTTATGTCCGTTTGACCCACATGCAGCTGTAGTTGTAAAGAGACTAGGCGATACGACCTTAACATACTGTGCGCTCCAGTGGACGGCAATCAGTTTTGTGTTACATAGGCAAGTCATAGGTAACGTAGGGAGGGGAATAACAGCAAGCTCATCAGACGCACCTCAAAGGTCAAGGGTCAAGTGTTTTGGGGACGAGTCTCAAGTCAAGTCTGAAGTCACTGGACTGTGGCCCATCGTCCTGGAATGAACTTCAGTCTAAGCTTAAGATTGGCGTGCCAATTTCCTTAGCTGCTTTTAAAAAAAGAATATCAGACACTCTGACGGACATATTTTAAGTTATGTAATGTATTGTTTTTCAACTCATGGTTGAAAAATTGTGTTTTACTTGTGTTATACAGGACTCCCTTGTAAAAGAGACTGTGTCTCAATGGGACTTTTCCTGTTTAAATAAAGGTTTATATATATATATACTGTGGGTGCGACGTAAATGTGACTCCAGTCCGAGTCTCAAACTTCACTCCCCATCTCTGCAAAGTGGGACAGAAAATTCATTCTGTGATGTCTAATGCCTTTACAGTTAAGAACTACATGACACTTGACACTTAAGTAGTCAAATTCACGTAAATTTAAATGTAAACACATCCACAAACACATAACCTACAAAGGCCAAAGGGGACATAACCTACTAGATTCCAAATTAAGTGCCTTTCTCAAATCTCTTTGAGCTGCAGATATGATGAACCTTTGAAGACAATTTTGAACCAAAGTTGTGGAAAACTAATTTTGTGCCAACAACGATGAATTTCTCCATTTTCCCTGTCGGTTTTTTATTTATGCATAAAAATGCAATATTTAAATTAAGACATACCTTCTCAATAAAACAACAATTATTTGCATATTGGAATATATTTGAAAACTGCACTTCCAGCTGTAAAGTTGGTTGCAGCACTGCTGGAGTGATACTGCTGGTGCTGTATAGCAGTTTCCTTATGCGAGGTATCCTATAGAGTATTAGGTTGACATCAGACTCATGAAAATTACAGAACCTTCAGCACAATACTGAAGAGCAGGTCATGGGGGGTGATGTCTCCCTGAAAAGTGGGGCAGAGGGGTTTTGGAGGATGGGGGATTACAGTGATCCTCTCCCCTCTCATCTCTCCCCCTGGCAGCCAGCAGCCAGCTAGGCAGGTGGGGAGCTCTGCTGCTCTCTGATCCTCTGTTTTGTGCTGCAGTTTATTAATGCTTCATTAGGGACAGGGAGTTGTCTGTGCCATGCTGGTTTAGCCTGATGCCCTGCCGCCACGGCGTCAGCGGATGCCCAGATGTGTGTACATATGTGGAGATTGTGTGTGTTCATATATGCCAGTGCACATTTACAGGCTGTCATAGAGTTCAGATAAGTCCGCAAG